CCAGAGGGCCAAAGTAGTCCGAGACCCTCCGAGCCCGAGCCGGGAGTTGTACCCGCCGCGTGGCATCCGGCGGCGGCCATTGCGCGGCTGGAAGCTATCGAGCGTCAGATTGGGGAGCTGAAAGCAAGCTTTCAGCACATTGCAGCCACAGGGTCCGAGTCGTATCCGGGTTCGTCGTCGTCACCGCTCGTAGTTGAGACATCAAGTCCGGCTGAATCGGAAAGCCGGCCCCGGAAAGCTCCAGGACAACAAGTCGTCGAGGAGGCCACCGGCGCCACGATCTTCCTGGGACGACATGCAGACTTTCCTCGGGTATTGGGGTGTCGGGAGCCGCAGATGGCTCAGGAGCAGCTGCTGCAGGATGCGATGATGGATGACGGGGGCGTGCCCCGCGCGTATCCGTTCACGGGGCTCTGGGGACTACAGGCGACCACCCGAGATGTCTGCGAGACGTTGCCGGATGATGAGGATATTCTTCGGTGGGCATAATCACCATGCATTGGGACTTTAGTTGTGTGATGCACGACGGCTAACAGAAGTAGCTACTGGCAAACGTACCAGACCACCGCGTACCCGTTTTACCCGGTTCTGGTGTCGATCGACGAATTTGGGGCGGCGCTGATGGACTTCCTGCACCAACGCACACGGCTTGACCCCTCGGACAAAGCCAAGCCGGATGAGGAGCCGGAATCTTCCTGGCTGGCACTGCTGTTTGCTGTGCTAGCGTGCGCGGTGCAGTTCGCCGACGATCCCATTCAAGAACGCGATCTACGTTCTAGAGTCTTCTGTGAGTCTGAATCCCACCCAGTAAGCTTGTCCTAACGGATGGGATTGCAGTGTGCTCATCCTTCCATTGCCTGCGTCTGTCCAATTTCTTCAGCCAGACCAACCTGGAGCAGATCCAGGCCATGGCGCTGATCGGGCATTGTCTACGCAATAACCTTGACACCAACAGCGCCTGGATCCTGATGGGTAGGTTGCCCACAGTGCGCCTTACTTCACAAAGCCAGGACTAACGAAAGCAGGCGCAACCATGCGCCTCGCGCAAAGCATTGGCTTACACGACGTCCCAGTTTCTGTTCCACCTGCCGAAAGACCGCGATGGAGTAGACTATGGTAACTCTCACCGCAAGCGTTCCCCCCGCTCACACCCCGCTGACCACTGGGCCCAAAAAGGTGGACCCTAATCCAACAAGACTGTTTCCTCTCCTTCACCTACGACCGCCCGCCCAGCGCCCTCCCAGCCACCAGCACCACAACCCCACTCCCGTGCCTCAACCACCAAGCCCCCAAGCAAGGCGGCCTAACCTTCCAATCCAGCAGCCTCCGCATCTGCCAACTGGTTCTCAACCAACAACCCGTAACAACACCCCCGCAAGCCCTAACCGCCAAGGACCAATTCCTCGCGCTCCAAAACTCCGCCGCCCGTTTCCTCACCGACAAACGACACTGCACCAGCCTCCAGCAACACCTCGAGCGCCTCGCCTTCCAGATCCACCTCGGCTACGTCATCTGCCGCATGTACCGGCTCCATCTGGACCTGTCCGCAGCCCACGATCCAGCGATTGTGAAAGAGTGCACGGCGACGGCCGCGCGGGTCGTCGCCGCGTTTCTGGATCTGTATCGGTTGTCGAAGGCGGTGTGTCGGTCGTGGGCGTTTGTGCATAATGCGGTGAGTTGTGCGGTCACGCTACGGGGGTTGGGGGTGCATCGGGGTCAAGCTGAAGTGGATGGAGAGTCGGAGGCAGCGGACGATTTGGTGCAGCGGCTCGTGGGGATGTTGCAGCTGGAGGCAAGAGGGTCGGAGTGGTGCGATGAGGATACGAATCGGAGGCATTTCGGGCCGTATTCGCGGGCGTTGAGGGCTTTGTTGGAGGTTGAGGGGGGGCGGGAGGGAGATAGGGGAGAGAGGATGGGATTTGAGTGAGTTGGGTCACTTCGACACAAAGCCTTGGGATTGGGCTATCATCATCCAGTTATACTGTGCAGTAGAATGAGTGGCTGGCTAGTTTGGCCTTACCTAGTAGTGCTGGTCGCCAAGGACATTGAAGATTGGCCGGGCAAAACAATGCCCTAATTTGATACTTTCTTCATCCGCTGGATGCATCGCGGGAAGTTCGCATGAGGTAGCTTCCTCGCTGTTACTTCTTTCACCAAGGTGGCATACTAAGCGTCAAGTTATGATATCACTGGAGGGTATGCGAAAAGTTGGAGAATAGGCCAAGACCAAGACAGCCCAAGCACTTGCATGCTGTAGAATTGTCATACTAGCAGTTCTCACGTGTACCCGCAATCGGTGTAAATCACGTCTCACCCGCCCGTCGATCTGGCTTCGGCAAACCGGCTGGGCCACTGCGGAGCGGGAATGTTCAGAACTTCTCCGAGCAGCTCCGAGCGTCTCCGAGGTGTATCCGTTCTCAGTCCGATCAGATCTGAGCAGGTCGAAACCAAGTTTGAGATCGGATATGTGCGGATAAGACTGGTCATTGCGATCAGGTTTGCCTTGACGACATTGGTTAACTCACTAGAATATGGCACAAATGACGAAAACCCCCTTAGGCATTGCTGTGCAGTATATAAGTACCCGTGCGGCGACAAAAGGGCGTTTCAATCCATTTGCTACAGAGTCAAGATCATACTCCCTGAAATATGTCACAATCCTCCAAGACACGCCCGATCACCATCCTAGGCGCCGGCGTCCTGGGCAGCCGCATCGCCTCCGCCCTCCTCGCCGGCGGCCACCGCGTGCACATCCGCGACCTCTCCCCTGATGCCCTCACCACTGCAGCCACCTACATCGACGCCCACCGAGCGGAGTTCGAAGCCCTCCTCCCAGCCCCAATCTCAGCAGGTCCCGGAGACTACCAGGTGTTCACCTCTCTCCCCGACGCCGTCCGCGACGCCTGGCTCGTCATCGAAGCGATCCCCGAACGCCTCGACCTCAAGATCGCCACCTTCGCCGAGCTCGACGCCCATACCCCGGACGACTGCATCCTCGTCTCCAACAGCAGCAGCTTTAAGTCGCGACTGATGATTCCGCAGATCAGACCAGCGCGCCGCGCCCGTGTGCTGAACATGCACTTCACGATGCCGCCGACGATCCGCTCAGTGGAGCTCATGAGCTGCGGGGAGACTGACCCGGGACACTTCGAGCAGTTGAGCGAGGTGCTGCGCGGATGCGGGCTGATCCCGGTGACGGCGCGGCGGGAGTCGACCGGGTTCGTTTCCCCTCCGATCCTCATCCTCATCCTACATGGTATCAAACCCCGCTGACATGAGATAGATTCATCTTCAACCGCCTCTGGGCAGCCATCAAGCGCGAGATCCTGCTCATCCTAGCCGAAGACATCAGCACGGCGGGGGAGATCGACACCCTGTGGACTGAGATGTTCCAGCAACCGCACAGCCAGCCGCCGTGTCGGCTGATGGACCAGATCGGCCTGGACACGGTCGCCTTCATCGAGGACAATTACATCGGCGAGCGGGGGCTCGACGGGTCGATGACGGTCGACTGGCTGCGGGAGCACTACCTGTCGAAAGGGCGGTTGGGGCTCAAGAGCGCAAGCGGCGGGCTGTACGAACCCGCACCAGCACCTCCCGCCGGCGCCCTCCGGCCAGGCCCCGAGCAACCGCAACCCCTCTACGTGCTAGACGTAGGCCTAGGCGCCAACGTCCCCGCAACCACCCCCCTCGCGCAAGCCGGACGCATCCTCTCCTTCAACCCCACCACCCAGAAAATGCACCCCCTGATAACAGGCCAATCCCTCCCGGACGGCATCGCCTACTCGCGCACCGCCGGGCGCATCTTCTGGACCAACATGGGCGCAGCGACCTCCACGCGCGACGGATCCGTGCACTCCGCCAACGCCGACGGAAGCGACATCCGCACCCTCATCCGCGCGGGAAACGTCCACACGCCCAAGCAGCTCACCCTCGACGAGACGGCCGAGAAACTCTACTTCTGCGATCGCGAGGGCATGGGCGTGCACCGGTGCAACTTTGATGGCTCCGGGCATGAGATCCTGGTCCGGGCCGGCTCGGAGGCGCAGACGGGGGACATGACGCGGTGGTGCGTCGGGGTGGCGCTCGATGTGGCGGCGGGGTATGTGTACTGGACGCAGAAGGGGCCTAGCAAGGGGAATCGGGGCCGGATTTGTAGGGCTGGGATGGAGATCCCCGCGGGCCAGACGGCGGAAAGCCGGGGGGATGTCGAGGTGCTGTTGGAGGGGTTGCCGGAGCCGATTGATTTGGAGGTTGATGCAGGCGCAAAACGGTTGTATTGGACGGATCGTGGGGAGCATCCGGTTGGGTGTTCGTTGAATGTGTTGGATCTTGGGGATATCGGGGCCGGGAAGAAGGTGTTGGCTAGGCATTTTCATGAGCCGATTGGGTTGTGCTTGGGGGAGGAGGGGGAGGTCATTGTGGCGGATTTGGGGGGGAGTGTGTATTCAGTGAAAGGGGGGCGGAAGACGGTGCTGTGGCGGGATGAGGGATGTTATACTGGGGTTGCGAGGGGTTGAGGGGGTTGAGGGGGTTGATTAGTGGTATGGCGTCGTTATGTGTACTGTAGATGGTGATAGACAGTTTGCTTTGAGCCTTGTTGGAATTTCATTTGCTGTCGGACTCTAACTTGTTTTGAGAGGGGTTTGCACCGTGGAATAGAAAGGATATAGGAACACCAAATCTTGTAGGCCTTGGTGGTATAGTGCTTGCACGGGTGCGACGAATGTGAGGTAAGATGGGTCCGCACTGTAGAAAAAAAGTAGGAACAAACCGTTTCCTGTGTAAACATGCAATTCATTGACTGCGCTACCAGATTCAAAAGCCCCAGCTTACTTCTTGCATTCTCGCTGGACCTAGCACTACCCCGAAAGTCAATGGCGGGTAGGCAGTAGGCAGTCCACGCCCACCGCGTCACGAAGTCTAACCTTAATTTACGATCAACAAGAGTGGAGTTCCTTTGAACTCACCAAATCACTCCAGTCACAATGGCTCCGACCATGGGCAATCCAGGTCATCCTTGTGCTTATAACGGCGGGCGCATACAATTAGAGTGTATGGCGGTTCGTATATCCAAGACCGAATCTCTGGATCCAACCTTAACCGGGGATCTGGGCCGGTCTACCCCACACTTTCCACTGATTTTCCTTTCATGCAGCACAATCTGATCGAGTGTAGACTCATCATGCCACCGCTTCACCTCGTATACACCGCGATCCTTGCAAAAGGGCTTGGAACTTCGTAGTCATGATTACTTGGCTTGTCCTGCAGTCTTTGAAGCGACGGCGGTGCTTATAAAAAGCCATCCACCTCTCCCTCTACCCACCGAAACCAAAACCCCCATCAACTACAACACCATACCACCGCAAACCCAATCAATCCACATCCAACCCCAACTCCACAAAACCCAAAAAAATGATCCCCCCAAAAACCACAGCCTACATCACCCGCACCCAAAACTGGGACCCAGCCCGGGCGCACCCCGCCCTGGCGTGGATGGAAAAATGCACGCACGCCTGGGACACGCGGCAGAGCTGGACAACGCCCTACACGGACTGGGTGACGCCGGACTTTGTGTTCGTCAAACCCAACGGCGAGCGGTGCGAGGGCGGGCTCCCCGCGTGGGAGGCGATGCGGCAGGAGTACGCGGCGTTTGCGCGGTCGCACCACGAGCCCAGCTGGGTGTGCGTGGTGGACTGTGACGATGACGAGGGCGGGGGATGGGAGTTTGTCGGCGAGGGGCAATTGTTTATTGATCTACCAGACGGGAAGATTCCCGGGGAGAAGAAGGCAAAGGATCTGGATGGGCAGGAGTGGGATCTGGGCGTGGAGAGTATGTTTCGGTTCCGGTTTGTGCACACCTCAGATGAGCTGAATGAGGGGATTCGGATCAAGCGGTTCCAGTTCTATAGTGATAGTGGGCCGGTGGTGGCGGAGATGGTGAGGAGGGGGGTCGTGAGGGTGGAGGATTTGTTTGGGTAGGTGTTGGGGATCTTGGGGGTGAACTTGAAAAGGAGGGGTGGGCTTTGAATGGGGTTAATTCTGTGGAATTGCTTTGTCGTTCTGGGGTTTGTTGGGGTGTTTCTAGTAAATGCTTATGTTGCCTGGGTTTGTATATTTGTTGCGTCTGAATTGTTGTACTCATTGCTTGGTCTGCGAGATTACCTAATGATGAGGGTAAAGTTCATCTTATATAATGATCTGTACAAGCCGGATGTATACAGATTTCTTCATGTCATACTCAACTTGCCATTCTAGAAAGACTCGTGCTATATCATATTAGCGTATGCTAGACTACAAGAACCACCAGATCATCGAGCCGAACGGCTGCAAATCATCAAGGCTTGGCGCCGGATAAAGATTCACCGAGTGGAACCCCTTTTGTGGGGAAGGTCAAAGGACTAGCCTAGCACTCGGTAAGACACAGTGGGGTGCGCAATCAAAACGATCCGCAGCAGGCGGAGGGGGATATTTACTGGAATATGAGAGTAAGACATCGGGCGTCGTTGTGAGCCTCTTAAGAGTGTCTAATAAGGCGCATACGTCATCTGCGGCTGGCGACGGCGGTAGAGGCATCTCCCTGGGTGGCGTCTACTGTACCAGAGCATGTCGCCTGCATCTATGCAAGCATCAGGCTGCGGTACACACGTGTCGATCAACACCTTTAACCTCGACAACAATGACCCAACCAACCAGTTGTTCAAGTACAGCCAAGCTAGCGCCCCTCCGAGCAGGGGATAATCGAAATCACGTGACCAATAAGGCTGACAGATACGAGCGCCCCTCTCACACGCCCTCCAATCCACCAAACATCCCCAAACCTCCCACCCAAAGTGAACAACCAACAAGAAAAAATGAATATGCCCTCCGGATCCCCAACGCAGCACACCCTCAACACCCCCGAGCTCCTCGAGCTCATCCTCTCGCAACTCGACCCGCGCACCCTCCTCACCGCCGCCCAACTAACCTGCCGCACCTGGCGCACCCTCATCCAAACCTCCCACCCGCTCCAGGAAGCCCTATTCTTCCGGCCCGCCCGAGCATCCCCCACCACCCCCGCACCCGCTACCAAGAAGTTCAACCCGCTGCTGGCGTGGGCATTCCCCGGGTTCTTCCCGCGACCCCCCGGCTGCAGCAGCGCGTCGGAGGCAGCCCCCTTCGCGAGCCACGCAGTTTTCCACTGGCACACTCTCGACTTCGTCGTGCGCCCGGGAAAATGCCCCGCCTATTTCCGGAAGGAGGCCAGCTGGCGCCGGATGCTGGTGCACCAGCAGCAGCAACAGCATGCGCCTCCGCAGTCGGTGGGAGTGATGACCGCGTGCAGTGGGATCAGTGGGGAGGAGATCTGTTTGGAGAGTTGGGTATGTTTGTCCCCCTTTTTTTCTGTCTTTGTTTGTGTGTGCAACTCAAAGTAACGCTATTGCAGACATCCCCGCAGACGGGAAATGCTTTGGAAGATGGCCTCCGGATGGAGACGTTCTTCGAGCTGCTGTTCTTCAATGAGCTGCTGCGGTACAGTTGGTACGTCGCGGTGGTGTGGCGGGATGAGCGCCGGGCTCCGGAGCATGTGGTCGAGGCGTATCGGGGCCGGCTGGGGAAGCCGGACAACCAGGAGGTGGTGGTTTGCGTGTTTGCGTCGGTGGGGTGCGAGGAGTCGGATGACGAGGATGAGGAGTCGGAGGTTAGGGCGGTGCAGGGGGTTGTGGTTGGGGGATACAATAAGGAGGGGCTGCGGACTGCGCCTTTTACTGGGGAGGAGGGCGGGTGGGTGAAGGGGGAGGTGATGAAGGCTTCGGGGTGGTGGGATTAGAATTAGGGCTGGTTTGGGTGGGGTTGGAAGGTGGTGTGGCGTGGGGGGGGAGTACGGGTTGATGGGTGCATGTTGAGTGTGTTAGGTATGGGTATCGGATGGTAGAGCTTGTTTAGATCATACTCGGACTGAAGTATGCTACACTATACAAAACATACACGACAGTAATGGCGCAGCTGAACTCTGCGATTAACCTGATCCTCAAGCGAACTTGCACGCCTCCCCCACAACACTAACCGTCGTCGTCACCGTCTCCACCACCACGTCGCCCCCCTCTGCACTCGGCGCAGCAGTCACCACCGCCGTCGTCAGGCCTGTCGACACCTCTACCACCGCTGCCGTGGGCGTGGGCACATTGCTGAGGGTCACAGGGTGGGCATAGTCTGAACACCAACCAATAGTCTTAGGCACGATTCCAGGTTTCACGGTTTTGGAGGTCACGACGGGGACAACAGCAACGGGGATGGCGGGGGTAGCAGCGGGGAGGACATTTGAAGGAGAGTGATGATGGTGGTGGTCATGATGATCGGTGTGGTGGTGATGAGGCAAGACAGAGCTGGAACCGGTGGGGCTCACCGTGACATAAACGGTCTGCGTGGCCGGGGCCGGGCAGGTGGGGCCGGCCACCGGGGTGCGCGAGGGAGACGGCAGCCCCGGGAGAGACGAGGGTTTCGGGTCAGAGCAAGGCTGCACCGGCGGCGCGACGGTGAACTTCTCGCTCTGCGCGTAGATGATGTACACGTTGGTGCCGTTGATGCCACTAATCTGGTAGCCCCACTCCGGGTCGGTGTCGCAGGGGATCTGCACGCGGTGCGTCAGGTCGGAGGTCGGGATGTCCAGGGCCAGTGGCACGTAGGTCGGCGGCCACGAGACGAAGTTCCAGAGATACAGGCTGAAGTAGCTGGGGTCGGTGTCGACGCTCGTCCAGTTCACGGTCAGGGTGGAGCCGGCCGGGTAGGTTGCGTTGAGACCCGGCTTGGTGATGCTGATCGCCGAGGCGAGGGATGTCAGCGACACCAGCAGTGCGGGGATGGATAGACGCATGTTGTTGCGGTGGATTGCAGTTCTGGTGCGGGAGTGCGGTTCAAGCGGGTAATAGAAAGGGGTATATGCAAAGAATGCTCAAGATGGCGACAAGAGCGTTAGTCAGGAAATATGAGGATAGAATCGGAGGTAAACGAGTGACTGGATTCTGTATTCTGTAAAGAATGACTGGTAGTTGGAATGGCTGGTGGGAGTGATGGAAGCAAGGGGCGAGGGGGGATTATAAGGTGAGGAGGTTTGTCGCATCCCCGGAGATTAACGGTCAGCCTCGTGAACCCAACATTCCCCGCGCTAGTGGGAATAGTGCGTGCCGTAGACCTTTTTGGGGTGTTTTCATTGCGGGGCGCCGTCTTGATTTGTGCTGTTTGAGGTCGGTTGGGACCGTGCACCGAGAATGTCTTGGCCATGTCTTGGCCATCAACACTTGATTGGTCTGGGATGCACGGTTCCTGGGAACCCAATTTAACTACTCGTAGAGATCCCACTTATTTACCTTATCCAGTGCTGCTAATCATAAGTTTGCTGTCGCTGTGTTTAAAAACAGGTGAGATCCAGGGCCCGCGTGGATAAATGAGAGAAGGACCCATAAGGCGAATAGTGATTCGCACTCAGCGATCTAGTCCTTTACAGCGATAGGTCAGTTTCAGGCACCACAGGTGAACTAAACCACGATGTCATGTCCGGTCTTACTGTCCTTCCAGATTAGCCGGAAATTGCCTCGGCTTGGACTCAGTGCACGTATCCAGAGATCATCTCGATTCGATGTTCATGTTAGCAAAACAATTTCAAACTTATGCAACAGTGCGGTGATACAAGGATGGAACCAAGCCGTAGCCAAGTTGTGTTTTTCTAGATATCTTCCAGCGGATCAGTCTTACAACGAAGACATTATTGGCCTTATTATTTCCTTCTCTCTCAAGGGAACATAAAGATACCTCGGGGTTGCACCTGGTTCAATGCCGGCCACAAGCAGAGTAATAAGCTCCATTGTGCATAATCATTTGTCCGTGAATAATACTCGACCGTCTTTTATCTGTCTCCAGAGAACAAAAAGCTCGGGACTACCAATTGTATGAACAGGAGAGCATTTATTGGAATGCGTTTTGTTGGACGTCCTCTTTTATGCTACGAAAAACGAGGGCAGCGATGTAGAGGGTGAAGGGAACCACGAATTTAGGCTAAACGCTTGCCAAGAAAATGCCACATGCATTTTTAAATTGGTTGTAAGTATCTTCATTGTTGTACTCAGTATCTTGTGCTTCTGCACGCATTGTAAGTGTTGATGTGAGGTCCTCGTGGCTTGTGCAGGTAGGGACGAGTGTTTACTGAAATTGGCGACACTGGGTTCCAAGTTGTTTGTCTCCTTCGCCGGATGTCGAAAGTTGACATCCCAAATCTGGTAAATTCAGTCCCGATGGCAACAGGCTGGAACATATTGCAATGACTGAGATGGTCCGAATGGCGGCTCATTCTGAGAAGTCTTAAATAAGAGTCTCTCAAAAGATCCATGTTTCTTGGCAAAATGCGTTTTCTACGTACTCTCCAGATAGTTCCTGATTAAGTATCGTAGCTTGAACAGATTTTACTCTCGACCGCAGTCTGGAATCAAGCAGTGTAATTACCAGACACTAGCTTTGATGATGCATTGTATCTCGGTCGAAACATACTATGCCCTGGGAAGAGAACTGGGTATATGAATGTACCCATTTTATCGTATATCCTTGATACGATGGAACTTTGCTCCGTGTTTCCTTTGACTTGAGGGAGTTTTTCCAAAATTTTCTCGGGCCCTAGTGATTGACCGATCGGCATCGCACTCGATCTCTAGTTTGATTAGGGCATGATCAAACAGGGTCCTCATCCAGTGTTGTTGAAATAAAGATCAACATGTCCGAGATGTCTCTTGTCTTTTTCTTATTCTGTCTATTCAAATCATCCTAAGTTTTGTCGGTACTTCCTAACCCGTTTGAAGTGAAATAACCAGATCTCATTCTTCTTTTTACTTGTTATTGTATAGCTCCCAAGTTTTTCCTTTGCGGTGGTATCCTGGCTCGAGATGTTTGATTCTCTACCGTGCCGATGCTATCCAGATATATTTAGGGTTCGGGAATAACCATGATCGACCGGGTTCATTCATTCTTGAGTACCCACTTCCTATAATTGTCAAACAGAACTTTGGAATGGAAATAATGTTTGTGACAAAGGTAGCTCTGAAGCAATATAATCTAGTCCTAGTTTTATGCTCTCATGCGATCAGTTAGAAAGTGCTGTACCTACAAGAGCCCGTACTTACACCTTTCTAAGGACTTTTCTGGGCCCTTATTGGAGCCCCTGTTTGAGTACTTATGTGTATTGATATTAGAACTACGGAGAAGAATGCGTGCATTGAAGCAGTCCTACGGCCCCGACCTCTCAGTGAGCCCCCTTGAAGTTGTCACACTCGAGTATCCCGCAGAAACACTCATGTCATGTGACTACTGTTACAAAGGGCCAATCAAGGCACTTGGTTTCGAAAGAATTGCAGCCAATCAGCGCGGCGTCTGTCATGCTTGGCAAGGTTGACTCACCGCTCTCGGGGCAGAATTCTTGACCATGCCGAGATTTCTCTCTGACACGTTTTGACTCAACCCCGAGATGACCGAGATGACCGAGATGACCTGCTAAACAATTCTAGAAAGCTTCCATTTTGCTTTACAATAACCTCCAAGCTCCTGGCTCTTCGCTGGGGACAGGCGACTGGTTTGAGCGCCGTAATGACCGACAAAGCCGTAGCAGCTCATCAAGACGACTTGAATTACCTCGACATGCTTGGAGAATGAAAGGCATAGTACTGACTTCCTTTTTCTTTTCCCTTTTCTTTTTTCTAATTTCATAAGGAACTCGCGCATCGCATTGTCAAACCTTGGGAGAACATGTGCCATTTTCTGTGCGATTCAACGGCGGGCACAATCTTGTGTGGCAATCGGGACATGCAATTCGGGAGCACCGGGATCTCACTTTCCGACCCTGTGTGCTATACATACGCTCACCTGAGAAGTCTCTTACTCGTCTGGCCTTGATCCGCAAAATGGTGCATTCCTATTGAGTTCGTAAGACTGGAGATATGATGTCTCGTTCAACGAGCTTCATAGAGGATATGAAGAAGAATCGGGCTGGCATTCGAAGTGAAAAGAAGCGTGTCCGCCGTGGACCCACTTCCAGCCCGAACCCGGCCCGTCATCACGAGAAGCAGACTCGGCCGTCTTCCCATGCTATCTGCACAGTCTGTCACACGGGATGATCGGGCCCAAATAGCTTGTATCGCGAGACCAGAAGCCCTCAAAAACCGTTGGGTCTCCAGGGTAATACGCGGCAATAGCACACAGACCTGATTCTTGGCGAAAGTCCGCTCCGTGTATGAAAGGCTGTTCGGTTATCTGATTACCCGCTCACAAAACTCTTTTCCATATGATCTAACTACTGAATGGCCCGGCGCCATCCGAGCTAGAACCAGGATCTAGAGGAAGGTGGAAGCTGATTGGGATGTGGACATCCACTTTATCTTCTCGCATACGGCATTGAGCTTAGTCTACCTCGTATACTCTACAGTCCGCGTCAACCCTCCCGGGCTCAAGCTTCTCACAAAATGTTTGGTGAAGGCAAGAGACCGGGAAGAGAGCCAACGTAGATTAATACGAGCTGTCCTTGAACAAAAGCTTTCAGGAGTTGCAGATTGTGGTTAGCAAGGCGCGCGTCTCGGACGGGATTACATAAATCAATTGACTCTCAGAAGGTTGTGTGAAGGAAGAGGCAGCTTGTATGTACCTATGTTGGCATAACTCTGACCCACAGACGAGTGTCCAGGGACTTTGGCTCATGATAGCCGCTGTGCGATCCTTATTGTTGAGGGGACTGAGTAAGTCCTGAGTAAGTGATTATGAAATTCTGATAAAGCGACCCCACAACACCCTATCCAAGTTTTACGCCACGAGGTGGGACCGCCTACTGGACGCCGATTCGCCCGGCAGCCCGGGAGGCACCGGTCACCCTCGGTCATCATTAGCTGATTCTTCGACAATGAACGCATCAACCCTGTAGGGGAAAATAAATTTTCTTCTAGAAAAAAAGATATATAAACCCCGGGATCTGTCAAGGATGCATATTTCCACCAGTCACAGATCATCCACCAAGATCTTCCGCCATGCACGCCTTCTGGACTGCGACCACGCTGCTGGCTTCAGCCGGAGCCCTGTTGGGCGCCCAGGCCCGCCCGACTGACGGTAAGAACCACACGGTCCAGTCGGGATACGACTACATTGTTGTTGGAGGCGGTCCGTCCGGCATCATCACTGCGGAGCGTCTGGCTGAAGCCAACAAGACTGTGCTGCTGTTGGAGCGCAGCACGGCCGGCCCAACGGTCGGAACCGGCTCCAACTACACCCTGTCGTGGAACGATACCCTGACGGCCATCGACGTGCCGGGTCTGTCCTTCGATGTCGGCAACTTCCCGCAGTGGTCCGAGTACATCTGTACCGACACCGACGGTACGGCGGCCTGCATCCTGGGCGGCGGTGTGACGGTGAACTACATGGTCTTCGTGCACCCCCCGGACCACGACTTCGACGATAAATGGCCGGTGGGCTGGAAGTGGGCGAACGTGACTGCAGGAGCCGATCGCCTCTACGCTCGCAACCCGGGCAGCAGCGTGCCCTCGGCCGATGGCAAGCTCTACGACCAGACCCTGTTCACCACCCTGTCGACCTTCTTCAACAACCTCAACTGGACCGCCACCGACATGAGCGCCCAGCGCAACGAGAAGTTCCAGACCTACAGCCATCCCGTCTGGAACATCAAGGACTACAAGCGTGCCGGCCCCGTCCGCACCTACCTCCCGCTCGCCCTGCAGTACCCCAACTTCTCCCTCCGCATGGGCGCCCTCGCCACCCGGGTTGTCCGCAGCGGCAGTCTGGTGACCGGAGTCGAGATCGTGAATGCGGCGAGCAACCAGACTGAAACCATCCCTCTCGCCCCCGGCGGCCGCGTGGTCCTCTCCTCCGGCGCGCTGCACTCGCCGCGCATCCTGTTCAACTCCGGTATCGGCCCGCGGGCGCAGATCGAAACGGCCCAGAAGAGCGGGATCGCCGTGCCCCCGGCCAGGGAGTGGATCCACCTGCCCGTCGGCGAGAGCCTGATGGACCACCCGATCTTCTCGATCGTCATCCAGACTGACAAGGACTTCAACGAACTGGACGCGGCCGCGATCCTCAACGGCACCGCGACCAGCGAGATCACCGCGTACGAGGAGCAGAACGACGGGGTGCTCACGCAGGGCAAGCACCGGCTGATCTTCTTCAGCTCCAACGTCGCCAGCGACGGCCACACCCGGTACTACCAGGGCTCCTGCACCCCGACGGCCGAGGGCGAGGTCACCATCACCACCTACATGACGCACGGCCTGACCTCCAAGGGTGTCCTGGGGCTGGATGCGGACCAGCGCACCGTCATCGAGAAGTCGCCCTACCTGCAGACGGCCGGCGACCGCGAGGCCGCCACCATGTTCATCCAGTCCATGGTCGATGCCATCAACGCCCCTGGCTCGGGCTTCCAGTTGGTCGAGTACACCAACACCTCCGCCATTCTTGGTTCGCTCACCGCGGGGATCCACTACGCCGGCACCACCAAGATGGGCACCGATGACGGCCGCTTCAACGGTACTGCTGTTGTTGATACTAACACCAAGGTGTACGGTACGGATAATCTGGTATGTCTTCCTTCTCTTCCCAAATTTCAGAAAAGGTTACTGAGGCAGTTTGATAGTACATTGTGGACGGTGGTATCCACCCCGATCTGGCTTCCGGAAACAACCAGGCGACCATCATGGTCGTTGCGGAGAACGCTGTGGAGCGTATTCTGGCTCATTAGACGGGTTTGCCCTTTCCAGAGGGGAGAGTGTTGAAACTAGTATTCTGTATTTTACGTGTAAAGTAACGACTTTTTGAACCTTATAATGGGTTCGGTCGTGAATACTAGCTTAGTAGTCATGTACTCAGCCGAGCAGGTAATTGATTTCTTTTTAGACCACAGCCGATGCGTTGATTGGTATCTTCACAATCTTCCTCCCTGTATGTTGAGCACGCGTGACGGTTGGTCGCTACTTAATTTACTAGATTCTTACCTTGTGAGCGACGGTCTGTCTTCGTCTTGCGCGCAAGTTGCTAAGAAGATGGTAAATCACATAGACCAGTGATGAGGCCTGAAAAGAAACCCGAAACCCGCACCACAGATTCCTTTTACATTGCGGGTTCCTCTGACTCGCCGCTCCGCATTGTTTCCTTGTAACGGTTGTTGAACGCAGAAATCCTTCCAAATCCGGAGGTTCTCCTATTTATTAACATTCATCTTGGTACCAACTAGCGTATAGCCCGCCAGCCTGGATCGTGACAGTTTGAGGTTCTAAAGAACTCACATTCCCCGCTGTTGCTGCAGCGTCAGCGGCTATCCACCCTAGCCGAGCACAAGTGCCTGGACCCTGGAGTCCAGCCACTCCACTTAAGGAAACTGACTTTCCATCATGCACACTCCTGCTCCTGGGTGCGTCATTCTCTGATTGGGAAATGATCTTTCACCACTGTCTCAACGTACTCCTTCAATGCCCCTTTTCCCTGGCATGTGAGAATAAATGACATTACAGATACATCCACAATATCGCAGTAAGCGCTATGAAAGCATCATATATGAAATCATGCCTCTGAGTAAACTGTAATCTCGGTAATTCAGGGACCAAGCCCGTATAATCTCCGCCCCCGGCCGCTGGTGACTACGTACAGTACACTATACGCACTAGGAAGAAAAAGGGTCTTGGATCCTGCACCCTTTCCCCGATGCGGTCTTGGGACCCAATTGCACGACTACTCAATATGATCGACTGAGTCGTTATACCAATGCACCAGTCCACGCGATCCTGTGGTGTCCTGGCACAGTGAGCTTGAGTTAATATCCGAAGTCGGCAGCAAGCGACGGGGGATGGCGGCCGCGGCATCCGACCAGGGCAAATTGCCCGACTGGGGGTGGTGGCGCGACATTGTGAACTCACACTCCCCGATCGCATCGCTCGTCCTTTGCTCCGTTGCGGCCGCTGGTTCATCCGGACCATCAATCTTGCACAGCACCGCCTTGCAGTACGCCGCTGCCACCGCCGCGGCGTACCGATGCCACCCGTCCTGCTTGTGCGTATCCGCGTAGTCACAGATCCCGCGGATTACGAGGCAGGGGATCTCGTCCACGATACCGGCGGCCTCCATTTCGTAGCAGATGGCGTCGTCATAGCCGCGGCGGAGACGGTCTCGATGCTCGGGGCTTTTCACTACGCCACCACCAGACAGTATCAGGCCGCGATGCACAACCGGGTATTTCGGTTTCGTGGCCCGCACTCCGCGGGCGACCACCTTGCGCTCCGAGGACCCCTCACACCCGCGACAATCCGCCCCCTTGTTAACATGGTGAAAAGTCGGATCGTATAGCACATCCAATGCAGCGGCGTCGGGGCGCCCATACCCGGGCATCCTGGTGATGGACCTCAGAATCCTCCGGAGTGAACTCCGCCCCATGATCTCCTCCTCCTCCAGACACCCGTCCGCGCTGACTAGTAGCGGGTGGGGCTTGTTGAAGACCCCCTTGGATGCAAATGCACCGCCGTCTTCCTCGCCCAGATCATACTCCACCACCCCCGGATGATTCTCTCTCGGCACCCCAACCGCAACATCCCCCAACCGGATATCCCGCTGGCCGGGAATCCCCGCCCCGATGCCCACCATCAGTGCGAACCGCACGCTCGGGAACAGCTGGCCCACCGCCGCGGCGCAGAGCGCTGCCTTAACGGGGCCGATTTGATGCGGCCGCGCGAGCACGACCTTGTGCTCGCCGATGCGCCCGTAGCTGAAGACGTATTTGGTTTGCGGGTTGTATCGCGGGCGGCAGTGGAATTCTTCGTCGAGGGCGTAGCGCACGGCTACTGACTCTAGCGGGAGGGCGCAGAAGATCGCGACGGTGATTTCTTCGGGGGATATGCTGGCAAGCGGGCTTTCTTCGGAAGAGTCGGAGTCGCTTGGTTCAGGGTGCGGTTGTTGCATGCCGTCCATTGTGTGCTTGAGTTGTGGGATTCTGTGCGGGGTTTGGGGCTTGATGTACTCGTCGGCTTTTAGCCCACCCCGGTCTTGAGTCAAGCAGAATCGAGTGATTAACATAAGAGGCAGTCTTGGTTATATGGCTGTGACGGTGTAGGCCAGCATTGAGCCTCATGGAGAAGGCCGGCGGCTAGTCCGCCAATGATGCCCGTTCCTTCGGTGCGCGCAGTGTCCACTGCGGACGTCAGGCTAACCACGTTGAGCCGAAGCATGCGGGGCATTATCCATAGCATGATTAGCGTGGATATTGATCACCCGCAAGCGATGATCTTGGTGCGAAGATTGGCGAGATGTTGCTGGCCTTTGCAATTTTTTGATATCCAGGACTGAAGTCCAAATCTAGCATAACCCTGACCGGTCCCCCCCCCCAACGGTCGCACGGTCCAATTCTACACAAGGCTTGGCATTCGTCGAATGGCATGTGCGTGAAGGAATAAGCTATAAGGCGTTTACTACCTGTTTGAATGCTGCACAACTGAGAAACCTGTTTACTGCCCTCAAAGATCCATTCAAATGGGATTGTTGATTGGATGCCAATCTTGTACGCAAATAACGACTCGGTGATCCAACCTTTCCTCAAAGACGCCAAGAGCGGAATGAGACAGCTCCGCCGGCGTCCCATGACTCCTCTGGTATTGAGTTGGTCTACAATACCACACCCACTCAGGTATGCAGACCTGCGAATCGATGATTAAGCCAAGGGAGGCTGTGCCATGCCGAGAGAAGGGAAGTCTGGGTGACCCGGGGATCGGGTCTTGTTGCCGCTGCCATGCATCTGTCTCGGAATCATACTGTCAACAACCTCTCTGCCAACTCTCTTCACAGCCTCTTTCGAGCCCGGTATTTTGGAAATGATTGATCATGTATACCATCCACCCACACCCTGATATACAGTCGTCTATGTCTCCTATCCCGATTCCGGTTTTGCTCTTCCAACATACCCCCTCAAAGCAGAGATCAAATTAGGGTTCCCCCCACCCCCCAATCCGAGCAACGAACCACGGCTCAAATCCGGGGTACAACAGCACAGCCCCCAACCTTGTTCGCAAGGCATGATGAAACCGACAGCAACATAGTCGGCATAAATGTATCACGATGAATCAGTAGCAGTTCACCACGACCACCTAATCCACCATCGACCAAGCAAGATGACCACGACTATAGACGGCAAACCCACGCAAACACCACTCCCAACCTCCCGCCGGCCCCCCTCGCCCTCACCCTCCTCCTCAGACCCCTCCTCCTCACCCACCCCCTTCGCCTTCACCCCAACACAGCTAACCACCCTCTTCAACCCGAAATCCCTACCCCAGTACCTTGAACTAGGCGGCCTGCAAGGCCTCGAACACGGCCTCCGCACCAACCTAACGACCGGCCTGACCACCACCGAAACCACCCTCACCGGAACCATCACCCGCCAACAAGCCCACCACCACGCGATCTCCATCTCCCAAACCAAAACCACAAGCACAAACACAAGCACTTCCCCCCTCCTCGCCCACCCCACCGCCCCGAAACAAAGCCCCACGATCCCCCCGGATCAGTTCGTGGATCGTATCAAAGTCTACGGCCGCAACATCCTCCCTGAACCCCCCCGCAAATCCTTCGGCCGGCTACTCTGGGACGCGTACAACGACAAGATCATCCTCCTGCTGACCGCGGCGGCCGTCGTGTCGCTGTCGCTGGGCATCTACGAGGCGGTCAGCGGGCAGTCGCGCGTGGACTGGATCGAGGGGGTGGCGGTGTGCGTGGCGATCGGGATCGTGGTCGCGGCGACGGCGGGGAATGACTGGCAGAAGGAGCGGCAGTTTCGGCGGTTGGGGCGGTTGGTACGTTTCCCCGCGGCGCTTTCCTGGAATTCCCGGTGGGGTATGGGGATTGGGGTGTGGGGTGTGGGGTGCAGTTGTGAGTATTGGGTTTGGCGAACCGTGCTGATGTTGGTTGCTGGGATAGAAAGTCGACCGCGAGGTGCGGGTCATCCGCTCCGGGCAGCAGGTCATGGTGCACATCCACGACCTCACCGTCGGAGATCTCGTGCACCTCGAGCCCGGGGACTGTGCGCCTGCGGACGGGGTCGTCGTCACCAACTACGGGCTGCGGTGCGATGAGTCCCTCGCCACTGGGGAGGCGGATCAGATTGAGAAGGTCGGTGGGGCGGAGGCGTGGGAGCGGTTGGTGGCCGGAAGGCATAAGGCGGATGAGGGGGTGTTTTGCGAGGAGAAGGTGATTCAGAAACTGGAGGAGGAGAATCTCGACCCGTTCATCATCTCCGGGAGTAAGATTCTGGAAGGCCTTGGGACCTACCTTGTGCTTAGCGTGGGTCCGCATTCCACCCATGGGTGGATCATGGTGTCCCTCGGTACGGAGAGTGATCCGACCCCGTTGCAGGTGAAGTTAAGCCGGTTGGCGAGCTGGATCGGGTGGTTCGGGCTGGGGTATGCTGTTCCATGTTCTTGTTCATGTTTTGTTGGGTTATGTGACTGGGGGTTTGCATGCTGATGTGTGGTGGGTTAGGGCTGCGCTACTTCTCTTCTTCGTCCTCCTTTTCCGCTTCCTGGCGCAGCTGCCCGATAACCCGGCGCCGTCGACGGTCAAGGGGCAGATCTTCATGGACATTCTGATTGTCACGGTTACGGTCATTGTGGTGGCTATACCTGGTATGTGCTGGCATTGAGCGGAAGAAAATATGGTTTATGGACTGACGTTTGCAGAGGGCCTCCCCCTCGCGGTCACCCTGGCACTGGCCTTCGCGACGGGTCGGATGCTGAAAGAACATAACCTGGTGCGACAGCTGCGCGCCTGCGAGACAATGGGCAACGCCACCGTCATCTGCTCGGATAAGACGGGCACCCTGACGCAAAACAAGATGACGGCGGTGGTCGGGTTCTTCGGGGTGTCCGAGTCCTTCGGCCACATGCCCACCGACACTTCTCCAGCTGCTTGTCCGGTGCAGGTTCCACAAGCTGCTGCAAGGTTCCCCGCCTCGTTCCGGGATCTGCTGGTGAAAAGCATCGTCGCCAACTCGACTGCTTTCGAGGAACGAAGAGAGCACGGGACCGAGCTGGTTGGCAACAAGACGGAGATTGCGCTGCTGCAGTTGGCGCAGGAGCATCTGGACGTGCCGGATCTTGCTGCGGAGCGGGCTGGGGTCGACGTTCTGCAGGTGTATCCGTTTGACTCGGCGCGGAAGGCGATGGCCTTGGTTTATCACGTGCGTCCAGATACGTACCGAGTGCTGGTCAAGGGAGCAGCGGAGGTGGTCTTGCGGGCGTGCAGGACGGTTGTCCTCGCTGATGATGATGTGGACGAGGTGCCCGTTGGCCAGTTGGCTGACAGCGATGTAGACACGATGGAGCGAAGCATCAACACTTATGCCTCGGCCGCTCTGCGCACCATCGGGCTGGCGTATCGTGATCTCCCTGCTGGGGTTGCCGGAGGCAGTAGGGGAAGCGAAAAGGGTCTTCCTCGCTTTGAGGAGATATTCACCGACATGACCTGGATTGGGTTGTTTGGGATTCACGACCCGTTGAGACCGGAGGTGACGGAGGCAATTCGACAGTGCCATTCGGCGGGGGTGAAAGTGAAGATGGTCACCGGTGAGTTTGGCTCTCCTTGAGCGCTCGTTCGCGTTACTGACGTTGCAGGCGACAATATCAACACCGCATTATCTATCGCCGCCGCATGCGGCATCAAGACCGACGAGGGCATCGCAATAGAAGCGCCTGAGCTGCGAAAGCTAAGCGAGGAGGAACTAGACGCAATCCTGCCGCGTCTCCAGGTCCTAGCCCGCTCCTCCCCGAGCGACAAGCAACTCTTAGTACAGCACCTGAAGAAGCTCGGGGAGATCGTCGCCGTGACCGGAGACGGGACGAACGACGGGCCCGCCCTTAAGTCGGCGGATGTGGGCTTCTCCATGGGCCTGAGCGGGACGGAAGTGGCACGCGAAGCCAGTTCGATCATCCTACTCGACGACAACTTCCGTTCGATCGTCACAGCCATTGCATGGGGGCGTTGCGTCAACGACGCGGTAGCCAAGTTCCTGCAGGTGCGCACCTCCCTGACATTGTTCCTCGCAAAGCCAATCACTGATGAATGTACTGAAGTTCCAAATCACCGTCAACATCACCGCCGTCTGCCTAACAGTAGTAACAGCCATCTACAACAGCTCCAACGAAAGCGTCTTCAAAGCCGTGCAACTCCTCTGGCTGAACCTGATCATGGACACATTCGCAGCATTGGCCCTGTAATCTCCCCTCCCCCGCCTTCCCTTCCCCCTTTCCCCCAATTCCCCATCCCCTACTCCACCAACTAACAACCATCAGAGCCACCGACCCCCCGACCCCCTCAATCCTCTCCCGCCCCCCAACCCCCCGCCACGCACCCCTCTTCACGACCACGATGTGGAAACTCATGCTCGGCCAATCCCTCTACAAACTCGCCCTCTGTTTCACGCTGTACTTCGCCGGCGACCGGATCTTCAATCTCAACCCCACCGGGGACGCCCACGACCGCGTGCTCCTCGACACGATCATCTTCAACACCTTCGTGTGGATGCAGATCTTCAACGAGTTCAACTGCCGTCGGCTGGACAACAAGCTCAATATCTTCCAGGGCCTCACCAAGAATGCGTGGTTCATGGTGATCAACGTGCTGATGGTGGGCGGGCAGATTCTCATTATCTTTGTGGGTGGGGAGGCGTTCGGCGTGACGCGGCTGAGTGGCGCGCAGTGGGGGTATTGCTTGGGGTTCGCGGTGGTGTGTGTGCCTTGGGCGGCGGTGTTGAAGTTCGTGCCGGATCGGTATGTTGCGTGGGGACTTGGGTGGGTGGGGGTCGGGGTGAAGATGCTGGTAGTACGGCCTTTGGGGGCTGTGGGGGTCTGGGGTAAGAGGGTGGCTGGGAGGTGTAAGGGGAAGAGGGGGGTAGGGCGTGGGGATGAGGAGATGGGGGTGGAGCGGTGATATGCGATCGGATTAGGTTATGGTGTTGTCTATAGCTGTTGGTAGTCGGTTGGTGATGCGGCCGCAAGTAGAGACTCTTGTTGACGATGTACACAGTATGTTAGCCCTAAATGCATTCCTCTGAGCCTGCTCAGTGCTAATCCCTCGTGATGGCTTACGCAGTCTAGATCCAAATTTAGTAATGTCTTATCATACGGTCATTGGGGGGTAAGACCAACCACCACTAGCATATATTCACATTATAATGATGTATCCTCCACTCGCTGCTAACAAAAGCCCCCACCCCCAAGAACCTACACCAACCGCCTCAGCAGAACCATCTCGGTCGTCAACCCAGGCCCAAAACTGACGGCCACCACCTCTTTCCTCAAGCTCCGCCCCTCCCACCCCCTCAACCGATCCAGCCCCGCCAACACCGCCACACTCGAACTATTCCCCCTCGACTCATACACCTCGCGACTCGCCCGGATCGCCTCATCCGACAACCCCAACGCCAGCTGCGCGCCCCTGAGAACCGTCAATCCCCCTGGATGAACCGCCCACTCCAACTCCCCCGGACCAGCCGACGCCATCCCATTCGCCTGCATCAACTCCCCAAACAACCCCCGCAAAGACGCAACCGCCAGCGCCGGAACCTCGCGCGCCAGCGTCAGCTGAAACCCATACTCTGTCGTCCGATAGGACATAGCCTCATGCGTCTCCGGGGTAATCGCAGTCCGATAATCCACCACCGCGAACCGTCTGGGCATCTCCCCGGTGAGCGCGAGCGCATTGCACAGCACCAGCGCGGCAGCACCATCACTAAACAGCGCCGGTCCGATACTGATATCCTCCCCTCCGCTCAACCTCACCTTCTTCGCAGTGGCGTGCAGCTCCGCCGCCAGATGGATACTACACACCTCGCACGCAAGCACCAACACCCTCGCGGGCTTCCGTTGCAGCGTGGCCGCCCGCGCAAGCGAGCTCCCCACTCGCAGGGCTGCAAGTCCCCCGGCGCAGCCGATCCCGCTCAGCAGCACGCGTTCCGCCCCCGGGGAGATGCCCACATCCCGGAACACGGCTTGGTCGTAGCCTGGCGCTCCCGCGTTGGTGACGGTCACGGCGACGGTGTGCGTGATGGCCGACGCCGGGAGGTGGCTGTCGGTTAGGGCGGCGCGGACGGCGCGGGCGGCGAGCGGGACGCCGTGGCGGTGGAATTCGGAGGAGACTTGTTTCGCGGTCGGCGGGGTGGACTGGTTTCTGGGGTCGTACCAGAGGGGGTTGTTGTTGAAGCCGATCAGAGCGCGGGAGGCGATGCCGCTGCGGGCGTTGATTTTGAGGAGCGTTTGGACCCTGCAGTGGTTATGAGTTGAGTCGTGGGGGTATTTAGAAACGGGAAGGGGAGGAGAAGTACCTACCACGCTGCGTCTGCGGGATGATGGCGGAGGAGGTACTGGCGGAAGTCGTCGGAGGTGACGATCTGCGACGGCCATTCCGTGCCAAGGCCCGTGATGGTCAGCTCGGGCTCCTCCCCCGCGTCCGCTGCCCCGCGTGGGGGGTGGGCGTCGCTGCCAGACGAGAATGCGGCGCCCATTATGTCTCAGATGGGGTTGGGAGCTGGAGAAGAGTCGATAGAAAGGTTAAGGTTGGAGTTAGGCGAGGCTGGATGCTTTTGATGTGTTCTTTCCGTGCCTGTCCCTTTGCATGTGTTCCTTCCATCAATTTGTCAGAATTCTTGCAATCAGGGACGGAATACGAGCGTGGCGGTCATGCAGCGAGCTTGGCGGTGTCGCTTGGACCCCTGGACCAGACTACCTTACTTGTTGGCAGAGTGTGATTTCGTGCATAATTGGGGTGTTGCATGCAGGACCAAGTACTGCGAGTCTCTCGTTGACGTTGTGAATTGGGTCTCTAATACACGGCTACGTCACACATCCAACAAAAACGAATCGACCGCAGCATCGAAAGTCATGCAGCGCACGCTAAACTCTGTGTCTCATGATCCCGGGTTCGTCCAGTCTTTGGATGTGTCTGGTTCGGACGGGTCTCCCGAAGTCGCCTTAGTTGGCGGTGGCCGCGGACGTTCATGGTATAGATCGCTTACTTCCTTTCCCACACTGACCGGCTTGCTTGGCTTCATAGAGAAAGACACTCTGTCAACTGGCGACTTCCGGAATCGATCAGAAATCGCGGAGGATGACCTGGTCGGGATTGTTGGGATTCGCTGTTCATCTCCCCATGATTGAGTGAGGCTCCCAGGTAGCTTGTCATGCAGCTCAAAACCTACTATCCGTCGCCTTAAAACATGAGTCTCTTGAATCGGCATCTGTACGGCTTGGTTCTTGTGGTAGTTCTCGCAGAATGCCGCCTGTTCCTCGAGTTTGCGGGGGCAGCGTAATCGCTTGTCGCGAAGAAATCGCTGGCCTAAGTATGTCGCGATCGCTGTCTTTCTACTGCACACATTGGATTGTCTTTTCTCTTGGTCTTCCGATCTGTCCTAGATAGTGGTCAGGCGAATTGATGGGAAGGGAGGCGGGGGGAAGAGGAGGTTCTCTGGCCACCCACTGCAATTGAGCATGATTATCGGGTACAGTATCTATCCTCGTCCGTGCACCTGTCCACTTTGGCTTAGCTTGACAGATTCCGGGGACTCTCAAATCACCAGATCTGAAAAGGTGGGCAGTGCATGATGTTTCGAATTAAGTTTTGGTCTGACGAGTACTCTAATTGCCACTTCACGCTGCAAACGGAAGGGATACGACGGGGAGCGGGAGCGGGAGTGGGTCGGGAATGCGGGACAGCCATGGGATGTAGAGAGATTTAGCAAAGTGGTCCATCATAAGAGCAAACCTAACAACAGCCTAGACTGAGATACCTCCGATCATGCAGGGCCTAGACGCTGGTTATGCTATCTCGTCTAACTTGAGAATGAATGCTGCAGTCTTTGGCCATACAAAGTCCCTCGCTCATCGACTATAAATGCGTTGCTCTTCACTCTCTGATCTGTCACTCACCAACGCTGCACTGTCCCAGAAAGTACCCTATTAAAAGCCATCATCTCAATCCACAATGAAAGCCTCACACTTCATTGCATTTCTCCCCACCGCCGGACTGGTCGCAGGGATGCCCCATCACGCCCGCGACCTCTGCGCCGGCTTGCCCACCAGCGGCATCCTCAGCGCCGCCACCAACCTGCTCTGCGAGAAAATCACCTTGACCAACACGGGCTGTTCAGTGCGGGTGAAGTTCCCCTGGGATGTACCGACCAGCTCCTTCACCCTCGACGATGATACCTCGAAAACCTTCCTCGCTCAGCGCGGCCAGACGCTCCAGTTGGACGCCCAACCGAGATCCGACCACTCCGCCGCCACCTGGACAGGGACTAACGGTGGAAACAATCCCACTACTTACAAAGTACCCCTGGTGGGCGACCTCCCTGGTATCAAGGTGTCGTGTCCCGAGACCTGCGTGGCGACGGACAAGATTTGCGATATTAATAATCCAGGGATGTGTTGCTCGCTGACTTGTGGGGTTAAGCCTCAGATTGGGCCGGGTTATTTCTGTTACTAGCTTGGGAAGGGGATGCATTTCGGAGAAAGGGGGGTAAAAGAGTACTTACTCCTTAGCATAGGTAGCACCAGGAGATGTTCCATGGTTGTATTGTGAGAATAGTAATTGTCAAATAATATTCATTGTGTTGTTGTTATCGCCATGCATAGTTGATCCCATTGTTCCTGTAACCTAACTACCAATGAGAAACACGAAAATTAAATGCCGACGCCCAGCCCCAATGACGATTTCTGCTCATCTCAAGTATCACCTTATAGAGAGACTGGTAGAGTGAATGATAGTACACTTTCATTTCTACCCCCATGAATTGCAATTCTTTTTTATCCTGTTATAGTCTCCCTGGTTGTGGTTCTGCTCTCGTGGTACTGTATTCAAAATGCTAGTCTTGATATAAGTGGTGTCGGAGTTGGTCTTTCGGGCTGATACAACTTAGGGCATTGTGAAACACATCGCCGGTGAATGGGCGATAGAGCACATACGAAGCATAAGTAGTGATGTCCTACAATCGAGCTCAAAAGCATGTAACCCCTCGGATTAGGAGGGAAAGCATTCTCTTCTCCTAGTAAAGCATCGTCACCGCCTTTCAGAGGCATGACTATATCTGGGAAATCCTCTCAAATCTCGTGGGTGCAAGCAGAGAACTTCCCGACGTTTCGATACGAGATCGCTCATAAGCTCAGATCATAGCTTTTGATTGAATATGCTGAAGCTAGACATCAACAGCAGTTTCGAACAACGAGCGAAGTTTTTGCATCTTGAGCAACGGTGGCGAGATGGCCGGTTTGATATATAGCGGGACGGGAAATTTCACTACATTACCATATGCACTGTTTTCGAAGCAGCAACCGCCGCAGGTGAGACAGGATAACAAAGAGGCTTGTACTATACCTCACTTTATCAAAGACCGTCATTCCCTAATACCGACCATGGACATTCAACTCCGCTGTGCCTGGCACTGCTCAGGGTCGAAAGTGTAGACCGCCTCCCACACCATTTACCACTTCGGGATACTGCCGACATTAACCCCCAAGAACAGGCTAAGCCTAGCCGTCTACGGTAAGCGGTCCGGAAGCGACAACTAAACCGTCCATCTCGTATAGCATCTGAAACAGGTTTAGCGCCACTATATTTCCAGTGGGTTTCAATCAAAGCTTGTACGAGACGAAAGCTTCGGCAAGAGGGCTTCGAACCAGGGGCATTGGCAAATCTCATTATAAGATAGCCGAACAGCCGTTATCCCTGCGGAGACACCCCGGCTGCCGCACATCTACCACTACCGACAATCCAGTCCTAGCCAGCTCCCAGCCGCCACTCCGCCGCCAATGGACGCGACAGAAGCCAAGCCGACGATCCAGCCCTTTACGGGGCGGATCGGAGGCAACCAGACGCTGGTGGTGGACCGGCACGACCCGGACAACGCGGCGCTGCTGAAGCGGGTGCCGGACGCGGCGCCGATGATGAGCATGAAGGAGGGGCTGCAACCGGGGGGTTTCGGGGAGTTGGATCTGTGGAAGTTCGGCTTCATTGAATGTATTGGTCTGCAGCGGCCCTCGGTGCCTTCTCACAACCACCCCAACTAACGCCCCCCGCGCAGGAACAATGCTCAACGTCTTCATAACAGCCTGGGCCTCCATCAAACCTCTCCCCACCACCACCACCACCCCCACAACACCCGCCGGCGTCTACGCAACAACCACCTTCCTCGGCCCCACCATCGGCAGCCTGGTCAACTGGCTCACCCTCACCCTCTGCATCTTCACCTTCTCCAACGTCACCGGCAGCCACCTGAACCCGACCATCACCCTCGCCACCTTCTTCGCCCGCCTCATCACCCTCCCCCGCGCCGTAATCTACCTCGCCGCCCAAACACTGGGCGGCACCCTCGCCGGCCTCATCCTCCGCGCCGCCTACGGATCCCCCGCCTTCGCTGTCGGAGGCTGCACCGTCGACACATCCCTCGTGCCCGTGCGCGAGGCCTTCCTCCTCGAATTCGTGTTCTGTCTGCTCCTCGTGTTCTGGTCCTTCGGGGTCGGGCTGGATCCCCGCCAGGGGAGGTTGTTCGGGGCGGCGCTGTCGCCGTTCTTGGTGGGGATGGCGCTGGGGACGGTGAGTTGGGCGTCGGCGTTCACGAGGGAGGGGTTTGGGGGAGCAGGTGCGTTTTTCCCTTTCTTTCGTGGTGGTTGGTTGGGGTGTTGGGTGGCTGGGGTAGGGCTAATTTGTTTACTCCGGCGCTAGGGTTGAATCCCGCGAGGTGTTTTGCCGTGTATGTCGCTACGGGGTTTCCGGGGTATCATTGGATTCATTGGGTGAGTTGGGCTTTTTCTCTGTGCAATGCAGGTTGGGTGTAGTGCTGATGCTAATGCTGTGCGTGTGTTGTGTAGGTTGCTGCGCTGGCTGCTGCGGTGGGGCATGGGGTGGTGTATTTCTGTGTGCCGCCGTGGAGGGCGGCGGATGAGGGGATTTGAGGCTTCGGTCTGGGGGTATCACCGGTGGTTGAGTGTGAGCCTCGCTCATGGATGGGATGGGATGGTAAGAAGATTAAAGCTTGTCTTGGCCCACGGCTTCTGGTACGTGGGTGGCTTGCTGTTCTGAGAAGGTGATGAATTGATGGATAACCAGATCTGGGATTATGCAACTGTTGATAGAGTCACTACATGTCATAGCTGTTAGAAGATAGATCAACAGCACTTCCCGCATGACTCGTCATTCCTTTCAATAACCCCCCACAGCTCCGCTCTCATTTCCAATAACTCCCAATCTCCCTCAAATCCTCCATCAACGCCACCGGATTATCCAACCCAGGGAAATGGCCCCCGCGTTCGTGGTCTTCACCCACGAAAGTTAGCATTCATCTCAAACCCTGACAACACCGCAGATATCTCAAGAGGGAAAGAACGTACTGCGATACAGCACCAGATTGCCCGTCTGCGCAACCAGCGCCGGCGGCCAGAAGCCCACATTGTACTTGAACGCGCTGAACAGCAGCGGCGCGTCGGTGTGCGCCTTGCTATACACCGTGCTGAAGCCGTTGGGGTTCTGCGCGTAGATGACCACGGAGGAGGCGAAGGTCTCCGTCAGGTAGTAGAGCGAGACGTGGCGCAGGATCTCGTTGTGGGTGAGCACCGAGGGGCTGGTTCCGGCGTTGGGGTCGGACCCTTTTCGGTTGTTAGATTGGCCTTTGGGGAGGTGGGAAAGGTGGGGGGCTGCCTTACAGTTCAGGAATTTCTCGCCGATCCAGGCGAGTTGGCCGACCGGGTTGTCTTGGAGGGCGAGGCCGATTGTGTTGGGCTGGAGGGGTATATGGTGTTAGCTCTTCGGGGGGGGGGGTGCTATCGGCTTGAGATTTCTGGAGGCAAAATACCTTGGTGGTCTGCTCGTTGAAGTAACCCTCCCCGGTGTTACTCCACTCCATCGTCTCGGCCTCCTCGAAGGCCTCCAGCGAGGACAGCGTGATGTTCTGTGCCGCCAGCGCTTCCGGGGTTAACGGGAAGAAGGGCAGGAAAGCCAGGTGGCCCGCGCGGACGGTCGAGTTGTACTGGTCGTACAGGTTGTAGGCGATGCCTGCGCCCCAGTCCGTCCCAAAGACCGCGTAGGTCTCGTAGTGCAGGACCTGGGTGAGCAAGGTGTTGAAAACGCGCGCCGTGTCGGCGATGGTCCAGTTGACGCGGGGCACCGAGGAGAAGGCGAACCCGGGCAGGGAGGGCACGATCACGTCGAAAGCGACCTTCTTGCCCGTGGCGGTCGTCGCCTGCGCGGTCAGCTCGTCGATGATGGGGGCGAACTCCAAAAAGGAGCCGGGCCAGCCGTGCAGCAGCAGCAACGGAATGGCGTCGGAGCTGTTGGACTTCTCATGGACGAAGTGGATGGTCAGGTCTTCGATGGTGGTCGTGTACTGGTTGAATCTGCTGATAATTAGCATCGAACAAGCATCGGCCTGGTGAGATCCCACTTGTTGATTCTCTTCTGCTCGGTCTTCCAGTCAAAGTCTTTCAGCCATTCCTGCTGGAATGATTTCAGATCTTGCAGGGTGATCCCCTGCGCATTGCCGGTGTTGACGTACACCGGGTGCGCGGGCAGCTTCGTGCTGCGAATCTGCTCCAGCATGCGCGGCACCCTCGCCGCCAGGTCGACGTGGAACGGCTGCACCTGCGATGCATTTCGCGATCGCACGGGACTGGCTTGACCAGTCCCTAAAAGGGAGCCGAGGGCAAACACTTGCGCCCACGACACTCGCATTGTGAATTCTGCTTGCGCTGTAATTGTGAGTCTGGGCAGCTATATATGCACCACCAGACCCGGGCGCATTGACTCTTCTTATACCCCTCATCCCTCTCCCGCGAGCCTCTCGAGAAATTCAACGTGGAGGCCAAATGCACAATTGCTAAGCTCCCATTACCAATCACATTATCAGTTGCATCGCGCCATCGAGAAGCGCACTGCAGCTGAGGCGGAATACCTCGTATACGGGCCCCGCTATTGATGAAGAACAATAAGCGCTAAGCCGTCCCGCTAGCTTATTTCCGCAACCCCGAGCCACCGTATTAGCTGGATTTTTGATCCGCTAGATGATTAGAGTATAGTCCTTCAGCCGCGTCCCCTGCAGAGACTCTTAGTGTCGCGAGAGGGCTCAATCTCTGGGCGAAGCCTCTTTGGTTAAATTGCCCGGGCAGATGCAGGGCTCCCTTCCTTCCTGGTTGGTTTTCGTGCAAGAGAGCAGTCAAATAAGCTCTTAAGAGCCTCTGATGCTTGAATCTCTCTATATGATCCTAGTATAGTGCTCAAAGAGGCGGATGCGGTCTTGAACTTGACCTCACAAGAAGAAGGCTGACAGGGGTGATCGGTAAAAAAACAGTCATGATTTTACTCATGTCAGCTTAAAAAATACTGCCTGTAGAAATCTGGTTCGACGGATTGGAACTCATAGCCTAGTTTACTGGGCCACGCAAAGACCCGTCGTTTGTCGAGAACGTGCCTGCAACAAAGCCATACCAAACCCATAATCCATTCACCAGGAACAAAGATACACCTGTTCGTTGTCCGTGAAGGTTGCTAGTCATAGCTCATTATAGTTACCAATAGGGATGCCACCACACAGTCTTTCTCTACCAGCCGACCAGACGATCCCAATAGTCCAATTAAATATGCCTATCGAATTCAGAGACGGATGACAGAGATAAAGTTGCCGCCACTTGACCACAAACATACTCTCACAAGAGGCAACAACAAGACAAAGTATGGTGAGAACAGAAATAAGAACGAGATCGTGCACACCAGTGTCATGCAACTCAACAAGTCCCAGCTAGTCCTAGCGCCCTTGTTCACTATCGGGGACTACCAATCAGTTTCATACACCGAGCTAGTCAACTGTTTTCAAAGGTATGAGATGGACGCCTCGGTCATAGGTATTACCGAGTTGACGGATTTCATCGGGGCCAAAATGTATCGAGTCTCGAACGAGCGTAGTTCGACGGTGGTCCTGAGAAGATGGGGAAGCTCAGCGGGTCGAGCTGGCTGAAACTGGTTAGGAAGTCTTCCGGTAGTATATCCCGATCCGAGAAATATACCTCAAGTCCCGGAATTCCTTTGCTCACCCCGCATTTTCCATAGGCTAGCTGGACTCGTCTGGCTTGAATATGATGTGCGGACAAAAATGGAGGGAAGATTAAGCATTGATCAGAGGAGGGCTACTTGCATCTATCACAAAAGAATACCTTGAATTACTGGCCATTTAACTTTGCTAGGCTTAAGGTTAGCACTAGAGTCTAAGAATTCTTCTCATTGGCCGGGCTTCAATTTTGTGTTTCAAATATTGGTACTAGGTAAGGTTAGATACTGTATCTGATCAGCCATACAGGTTACTAAGATGAAGATACATCTATCTCCTCCACAATCTGGCGGACAACCTGTCAAATGATGTAAGTCCTCGAGAGAATGTGGAAACACAAGGCATCTCATTTGGCTGATGCTACGAGTTGCCAGATCGGAAAGCGTCAGCACATTTTGGCAAGAATGCTCCGCTTCCGGTCAGCCTTGCATGTCACCATGCATCCTAGCGCAGTCAGCACACCATAACTCTGCAAAACATGTCGCCTTGGGGGGTGCCTCGCAGACGCGGGGCCTTATAAATTCTGATCTCCTTGGCGTTTTGCCAACACCAGTAGCACAATCCTTCAATTTGATCCACATTTACCCATAACAGTCATGTCAGGATTAGCCCTGGGCTCTCAAGGCACTCATATCTCCTTTGGCGCACTTATCGCTACTTTGTGGACCTTTACTGCTCTATCTTGTTGCTCTATCATTTTCCGTCTCTACGTTCGACTCTTGACTTATCGAAGACTTTTCCTTGACGATGTTCTTGTCGTGTTGGCCTGGGCGATGATGCTGGCAACGACGGTGATGTGGCAGGTCGAGGGGCCCGTCTTGTATCAGTACTCGCCCGTGTTCAGTGGCGAGACACCCCCGACCCTAGAGTTCCTAGATGCTTATACGCAGCTGCAAGGATACATGGTTGCCTGGCTCGTCTTGTTCTACTCCGGACTGTGGCTGGTGAAACTGTCTTTGTTGACCTTCTTCTACACTCTCGGGACCAAGATCCGGAGCCACCGTGTGTGGTGGTGGATCGTCTTTGGCATCACAATAGCGTCGTGGATTATTTGCATCGGAATTATCGATTATCGCTGCACCATCAACAGCACCGCCTACATCATGGGTGAGTCCCGATCAACCTGGCCCCTGAATGCACCTGTTGACCTTCGCATCCTGCAGCACACTGTGGCTCCATCGAACATGTGCATCATGACAATCAGATCATCTATGGCAGCTGCGCCGGCGATATCTTGACGGATACCCTCAGTCAGTTCCCATCACTTTCCTTCACTCTGGAATTGTGATTGATTTCGAGCATAGTCCTGTCCGTTCCGATCTTCGTCCTCTGGAACTCACAGCTTTCGCTGCGCCAGAAGATGGTCTTGTTCGCCTTCTTTTTTGTGACGGTGGTCATTATGGCGGTCGCCATTGTGCGAGTGGCTGTGGGCATCGACTACGCACAGACGATGGACATCTCGTGGGTCTACTTCTGGTCCTCCATCGAGATGGGAACGGGTACGTGATATCTTTGTGAGCCTCTGCTTATCCTGACTGACATCTGGCGTTCTTGGCGAATGACAGCGGTGATGGTTGCCTGCGCCGCATCTTTCCGGCAGCTCTATATCACCTCGCGCAACCGACATTTCTTTGGTAAAGGGCCCAAGGTGAAACAGGGACCCGCTGGGCAGGTCGATTCGGGTCATCGCCGCCTCCTCCAGCTTCGGGACACGAAGTTGAGTATGGTTCGTGACTCGGAGGAGCCCTCCACCAACTCGACGGAGCATATTCTGATAGGTAGGTTAGCGCACAGAAGTCTGGAGGCTAGTATTTCTGTCTAGAAACAATCTTCTTTCTTGATTTCTGTTTGATATGTTTCTCCTTTGAATGGCGGATCAAGCTGCTTGTCACGTTGTCAACAACCCCTTCCTCCCCCCCCCTTCAATTTTCTGAGAAACAAGAAACCAGCTCTGTCCCCTGCAGCAATCGGCCCCCACGTCTCAATAGCAAATCAAAGAACAGCACATTAACTGAGAGGGGTGGCGAAGGGGTGGGGGCTACCCCTCACTTATCATTTCAGACCTTTAGCTTAGCTCAGTCCGTCAGCAAGCGCATAAGCACTAAAACTGCACCCCCCTCCCAATCAGCTTCATCTCCATAAAGATTGGCGGAATGACAAGCAATAACATTTGCTGTCATTCAGCCTGAACACATCATCAACTAAATGTGTAGATGAAAAGATGTGCGTGTTGGTTGCTAAAATGAAAAGCCCCTGTCGGGGCGATAATCTACGAATTCCCGTGGAAACATGACACTGACAGCTATTTATGGCAGACGACATGGATAGTCAGCACTCACAGGTCAACAAACCGACCCAGACTGAAGCTGAGTGGCCGACGTTGCTTCCAATAATGATCATTTCAGAAACCTCTATCAAACCGAGATGAAATGCTAGAAACTCTTGGAGACTGGTAATCAAGCTAAGATCGACAACTTTCAGCAATTGGCAGTGGCAGGATCGATTAGCGCCCCCGCGAGGCTGGCTCGTGCTGGTCGGGCAATTTCGATATGCCGAGAAAAGGAACAGAGTAAAAGGCCGGTTGCGGTCACCACCATGGCAAACTTGCCACAACACATGCAGCGATTGTAGGCAAGGATAGGTTTGTAGGTCGAATCTGACCCCACATTAGATAGGTGAAAGGGAAGAAAGAATACTGATTGGCTATCAGGCCAATTGAAAGAGGGTCAAAGATTGCCTCCAAATAATATAGTAGTTTGAGCGGCCATACTCATCTGAGTGGTCAATAAAGCAAAACTATTTGAAATACTAGTATAAAAAATCACGGATTGATAAGTAGCATTCTGGACAATATGAACAAATCTCTTGTTTTCTTTAGTGGTTAAATTTCCTTTAGAACAGACTACTGAGCTAGTAACCGAATTGAAAAAAGCCAGATCCTTTATACATTATCTACTCTGTCTGCAATAGCCTCTCTCTCAATCATACGTCCGAAATCGATGCGGCAGCTCTCCACTCCCGCCCGCCATAGTCACCTCCCAATACTCGCCCATCAGCTCGCGCTTGTACAGCTTCTTCCCGGGCGGCTTGGCCACCAGCTTATCCAATGTCTCGACCACCTGCGCAACCCAATCAATCTTCCTCCCCACCTCCTGCGCCAGCATATTGCACCACACCATGACCTGCCAGCATCGCGTCAGGTAGTCGCGTAACTCCGCGCGGTTCGCGCAGTGCAGCGGATCGTGCGGGACCGGCAGTCGTCGCGCATGCTGACCATCGTACTCCGCCATCGCCGTGATATACTCGACCAACTCCTGCGGGAGATTCCCGCGCACTCGCAGATAGGCCTCGACGCGCGCGACGTCCGTCAACTGCGGTCGATAGGCCGCCTTCTCCCCGCAGTTCAGGAACACCTCGAACGGCACCTGGCCGTAGGGGAAGGTCTGGTTGGTCAGAACCAGAGTAGGACCGGAGACAGCCGTCTCGCTCGGGCAGTCAGCATCATTCAACCACCCCAGCCTCGCGCCCCGGACGTCGTTGGTGGCCTCCAGCAGCGGCAAGAACCCGGGCTCTCGAAGATAGCGGGTGACCCGGGTCTGCCAGTGGAAGTGGCCGTCGAGGCCGAAGAACCGGCGGTGGAGGTACTGGGCGACGTCGTTGGAGGAGCCCTCGAAGGTCCAGCGCCGCAGCGTGCGCTGATAGATCCGGGTGTGGCGGTACCCGTCGGACTTCTTCTTATTGGCGGCCTGGCGCGAGGCCGGGTCCCAGAGCTCGGGGATGCTGTTGAGGATGTTCAGGGTCAGGTACATCTGCAGGGCACCGGTGAAGAGCTTGTCCCAGCCGCGGTCGTGGGGCTGTTGTTGCATTAGTACTTGCTTGTTCTCATTGTCTGTATGCGGTTTCGAGGTAGGGGGGAGGGATCATGGTGGGCAGTACGTACCATGCAATTACATTCGTACATCTCCATCCACTCCGCCAGATCGTTGTCTGGGGTGGCGGCCAGCCGTAGCACAGGGTCCATCTCCCCGAGGAGCATGAGACTGCTCACTACCTGTATGTTGTAGAACGCTTCGGCGTTGACGTCCATGAATTTGTAGCAGTCGTTGCGTCGGTAGCGGCGCAGAAAGGCCGATCCCAGCCGCTCGCTGTAGGGTAACGGGCATCCACAATGTTCCATGAACCTCTCGGCACTAATGCCCTCACTACTGCTGACACTACTGCTGCTGCTGCTGATGCTACTCTGCCGTGCGTTGCTGCCACTGTTATAGTCTCGATGCGGGCACAGCTTAGGGCTTTCGGCCTTAACAGCCGTCCTGTAAGGCCATTTGTGGTCCTTGTAGGCTGTGCACCACTTGTACGCTAAAGACCGGAGTTTCTCCGCGACACGATCATTCAAAACCAAATCATCTCGATGGATAGGATCATATCGCGCTGGGTACTTCCGCCGCTCGGTGTGAGTGTGCTTCTCGATGGCGCGGGCAAAGGACTCGGCAAAATAGCCGATTTCCTTGCCCTGGGCGGGCCGGAACCGGAAGTACAGATCCGAGACGAGGTGGGTGGTGTCCGGAGAGGCTGGGGCCGATCGGTGGTGGATGTTCTGGGCGAGGATGTTCCAGCTGATGCTGTGGGCTTGGTGAGCCATCTCGCAGTAAGACGGGTGGTGGGGATTGCGTGGTGATGTGGAGAGGAAAGATGCAAAGCTTTCAGGGATGTAAGCTTTGCCACGCTATTTTTGCGGGTGGGCCCACTTGTGACTCACGGTGCACATCTGCAAACTAGCAGTTAGATCCATATCTTTCGATCTATCCGCAAGGAAAAAACATCTCCGCTCAGTTAATAGTTGAGAGACAGGGAATTTATTCACCAAGTCCATCATGGATCAAGGGTAGGTATACATAGAGCCAGAAATACCTTCAATCGAGAGTGAACTCACATGCTATCAGCAGATGAAGCAAAACTTAAATATAATGTATATCCCTATTAGATCTTCTGCAATGTAGCTCCATGCTTGATGACTTTCGACTTCTCAGCCTCACCCCGAAAATCTCCGAGAATAAGCAGGTAGGCTTGGCGTCACCCCGCATTTTAGTAAGGCTACTTGACCTCCTTTCCAAACATACTTTTACTGTCTCATTGAAGTTTTCTTCATTTCACTGTCTACACCATCCCCACTTGTTGAGTGCCTACCTACCTTCTACTAGAATCTCCCAAATCTCTAACCATGACTTTTCCACCCACCCCGACCGGTAAAACCAGCTCCCACGCCGGGAACTGCCACTGCGGCGCGGTGCAGTTCCACTTCACCCTGTCTCCGCCGCTGCCCGAGTACCCGACTGCCAGCTGCAATTGCTCCATCTGCTCGAAGAACGGCTACCTGCTCGTCTACCCCTTCCAGAAGGACTTGATCATCGACCAGGGCGCCGAGGTGCTCAAAGTCTACCGCTTTGGCGACCGCAAGGCGACCCACCAGTTCTGCAGCTCGTGCGGCAGCAGTTGCTTCATCTGGCCGCCTCCCATGGTAGGTGAACCGATCACGGCTGTCAATGTAAGTGGCAAGGGGCACGTGCTGAATGCTAAGGTCTTGTATACATGCTGGATGGGTGGGACTAACCAGAAGCTCGGTGTAGGTGCGCCTGCTCAAGGACTTTGACCCAGAGATCCTGAAGATCAACAAGGTCGATGGGAAGTCATTCCAGCCGGAGTACAAGGTCTAAACTCACAGGACTATGTGGTCCGATATGGGGACGTGCAAGGCTGGCGTTGCTTGCTCTGGTTTTCTCCCTTGTTATTTTGTATACTATCTGTATCTTTCTTTCTGCATCAGATAAAATCTCTTCTCCTCACAGTCGCTTTCCTTGGGCTGTTTGTCCTGAGTTTGATCGAGATAACATCAGGTCGCTTTTCTTCTTATCCCTGGGGCCCGATTTCCGGTGGAAAGAAAAGTATGGTCAGTCGGAATGTCGAGGATCTTGTACGGTGCTTACGCGGGACTAGGATTCATTCTTGTACATATCACTACCCGTGATCGGAACTATATGATCTACCTCTTAGAGCGATAAATACGAAGTCATGTTTATTGGAGGTCTATGATTTCCACAAAGATCTATCTGTAATGTCAATCTTTTCTTTGAAACCAGAGATAATCAATCAACCAGTCATAATTGCAAGAACGTTGTTCCATTATCTCCCAGCTGTCAGATCTACAGTCATCTTGGGAGGGTGAGCCAACTATACTCTGTAAGATTTTGATCACTCGTAAACTCTTGCATAATAACTTATAGGGCACGGGTATTGCTGGGAAGAAGGCACCACCTTGACAGAGTTACCATTAGGCCGTCTCTGCCTTTATTCCTAGCATCGATATTCCCGGGCTCAAAATAAGACTGAGAGGTATGGCCCAACTGGTATAGCATCCAGAGCTGTGCCACGTACTGTGACAGCCGTGTGGTGTTGCAGACGTTGGCACAGCCTGATTTACACTGACCGAGTCCGTTCTTTCACTACCTAGACAATGGCTAAGTAGACACTTCGCACCAGGTGGTGTTGGCTTTCATACTCAAAGGAACAAGGCAATCATCCTACGCCATTCAATTTACCTGACACTTACTCTACCGACGAATGCGCGACTCCTTCTTGAATACAAAGGCTATTGGACCTTTTCCTCTATTGCACCTTTGTTGCCTTGCTGCCTCATTGTGAGCCTCGCGCGAATCGCCTTCTAAATCACAGTGCCTTTGTCTTTGCTTGGAAGGGAAAATGGCATCAACACGATATAAATAGAGCAACAAGCCCGTCAGATCTGTGATATTCTTCTGTAGCACAACCCCCGTCCCAGGAATCTTGTGTGTGTTTGAGGTTTGATTCCCATCCCAGGAAAAGGCAGCGTGTGATTCACATTCTCACTGCCTCCAAGCCTTCTCTACCACACCTGCGAAGACCTATCGCAACCGCATTCCTGACCCGTCATTTCTCGAGTGGCGTGAGACACAAGACAGACATCATGCCTGCCAGGAAGAGCCAGCCCCAGTCCCTCAAGGAGACCCAGCCCCCGAAGCAGGGCCAGTCCCCGAAGAAGGGCCAGTCCCCCAGGGAGACCCAACCCACCAAGCAGCGCCACCCCCCCAAGCAGTGGTCGATGTACCGCGCCCTGCACGAGCAGGTGCAATCGCTCCTCGCGGACGCGGGCCTGGGCCACTTCACCTTCCATCCGCATGACATCGACGTCGGCAAGGCCCGGGACTACGACACGACGATCATGGGCCGATTCGTCTGCCACAACCCCACCTGCCAGAGCGGCGGGTGGTCGAGCAAGGCCATCGCCATCAGGATCCGCATGTGGCGCGACGGCAAGTACAACGCGCGGGTCTACCACCAGCGCTGTCGGGGCTGCAATGCCCTCATCCGCCCGGTCGTCAACGCATCCTCCTACGCCGAGCGCATCGCCTACCGGCTCAAGAAATGGAATGGCATCCAGATGACCCCGCCCGCTTATGGACGCGCGGCCAAGGCCCCCCATGAGAAGGAGCTGGGCGAGAGCAGGAAGGTAGATCACCGCGTTGTGGGCGAGCGCTCCCGCGGTGGGAATGGGGATGTCGAGGAGTTGTGTAAGTCCATTGCGGCGTTGTGATTGGGGAGTCAAGTGTTCCCTCAGGGGATGAGATCTGGTGATGGTCCTTTTTATGACGATCCATCACTAGTGCCATAGTTTAACATCAATAAAGAAGATTCTTTAACTCAATCCAGATTCGTGGAGCATTATCTGCAAACTTGAATAGCTGCTTGGAATTGCTGATTGTTTCATGCTATCGTAGGGCGCAAATAAGGCACGAAAAAGCAGATATCAGAAACTCTCAACTTCCAAGAACAGAAAGGTCAGTGTGGCTGATATTCTCTTATTCTTTGTCCTCTTTCTTTACTACCTCTGCTATGCTTTTACTACAAGTAGCCATATTTCTACCGAGGACATCGACTCTTCGGTGTCTTTGAGAAATTCTGATCATTCAGTAAAGTACGCACTTTGATTGATTACGTCTCACCAGCCCTACTGCGAATTCTAGCGTCTAACTAAAATCACTTCCATGCTTTGATGCGAAGCTGCACATAGAATCAGAAAACCTTACTCCGAAATTTCACCTGAGTGACACATGACTTGAAAAATAACCCAAAAGAATAAGATGCGATCGTGGACATGTCAAAGCCAAGCCGTTCCCCCCTTTCCAACCCTGGGGACGTCTCAGTCCATGCTAGCCCTATGCCATACCACCCACGCCAGCAGTAAAAGGCCACACAGCACGCCAAACACTCGAAGCCCCAACCCTGAGCTTCTACCAACGGTTCTACCTCGAAGCAGGCCTCGAGTCCATTCGGGAAGAATAACCGCAAACCCCGACGAACAGTCCGTTTCAGCCTCAGGCCCGACCGCGCAGAGATTGAAGATCTGATCGAGCGACCTTTCCACCAACAGTCCAACCATACGCTTGTTCTCCCCGTCATCCTGAATCGTCTTCGCCCGGAGCGCCTGCTCCCGCCGATCCAGCTGCTCCCGCTCCGCCTGTATGCTGTCCAACTGGCAGGCGAGATTCGCTTCCAGCAGACTCTTGTTCGACTCCAGAATCTGGACCTTCTCCTGCAAGTCACAATGCAAATCATCCAGCTGCGCCGTGCGCAACGCATCGCCCAGCGTCGCGGCCAGTTTCACGGCGACAGCTACGAGGTCGCAGACCCCCTGCGCCGTCGTGGGGAGGCGATGCACCGCAGTGTGCCGAATCTTCACGACCGTCGCGAGCATCGTCTCCAGCGCGAGGTCCGACGGACGGAGCGTGCCATCGGGCAGCTGCGACGCCCATGGGCCCAGGAGCCGCGTCCACTTGCTCAGTTCGACTGCCGCCGCGCAGTCCCAGCCCCGGCGGGCGAGCTCGTCTGGCAGCCACTTCTGGCAGAAGTCGAAGATGCACTCCTCCAGGACCTTTTGGACGGTGGTTAGGATGTGATGCTGGGTGTGGTAGGGCAGATATAGCGGGAAGAGCGGGGCGGGCGGTCGCTCGGCGGACAGGGTCTGATCTGTGGGTGTTGGATTGTGGTCAGTGAAAGAACAGCGACGAGCTGAGTAGATCTGGGTAGAGCAAGCTCAAGATGGCTGATATGGTGCTGTACCTGATGCATTTGCCCACCCGTGCTCTGCGACTGCACCGGAATCGACAGCGATCGGTATCGAGGCCATGGCAGGCTCTGGTACGGGACCACCGTTTCCTTTCTTGTTCTCTTCCTCCTCTTGACACTGCTGTGCCTCGTACGTCTCCGTCACCTCCTGGAGAACCTGTGCAGCGGAACGCGATGCCTCTTGTTCAAGCGCAGCATGCTGCGTTTGCCGGACGGAACACGGCTCCAGGAAACCAGGAAACTCCACCTGAGCTTTGCTGTTTGACTGGAACAGGCCCTTTTCCAAGAAATACTTGACCACAGGCAGGGTACGCCAGATGTTGTAGCTGGGAATCAGCGCTTGCAGTGAGTCGTGGTGGTTTTCCAGGTGGGCGCGGATGGTCTTTGTCTTTCGGATGTTGGCGTTCGTGCCGCTGAAGATTGCACGACACGCGAGGAAGATCTGGCGTTGTTCTGCGCTAGGGACTGTCTCCATGCTTTGGTAATTCTTCTTTCACTGATTTTGCTTCTGAGGTTGGGGATCGAAAGGGTTCTTGAATGGTTGTGTGATGAATGGGCGGTAGTGGTACTACAGGTGGTAGTGATGAAAGCGCAAAGGACAAATATTTGTTGTGGATATTGCTCTTTATTATATACCCCTGCCCCATAAGTCTATTGTTCACTTTTTCATGAGAAGAGTACGATTAGTGGTGCTCAGGCTAACTGAACCAAGCGTCTACCTGTGGCTGTAAACCGTACAAGGCTGGCCCGCTACAACCGGAGTGAGCACGCTACTTCTAATTGTTGGCAGCTTTGGAGCCATTAGTACCCGCCTTAGTCATTGCATCGGCCCACCTGCGAGGAAGTAGTGGACATCGATTGGATGAGAAGTCCCTGTTCTCATGTCGGGAGTCGCAGCGGACCGCAGATGCAAGTGTACTGTGCCGTAGCGCCGGCGGCAAACCGGCTGGGAAGCGTGTGCACAGCCACAAGGGGGGGAGGGGGGGTTCAGCTGTGGTGGCTGTATTCACTCTGCTATGCTGTCATCGATCTTAATCATAATAGAAAATGGAAGCCATTGATAGAATTGCCTTGCCAGCTGTTGCGGTGTGTCAAGCTACTTTACTCACTACTGGACTCGCATCCTTACATGTTCATCCCGCATTCGAAACGATAAGAGCAGTCCCGCTACTGTTTTTGTCTTGCGGTAGCCTACAGATACAATGCTCATACTAACCCTGGCATTTACTTTCTTGCTTGATGTCGCCTTTCTTTGACATCAGTGTGGGATTCATCTTTATCTACCACTTCTGCTCGCGGATGTACCCATCACGTCAGGGATCTCCTTTCTGTACCTTCAGAACTGCATGCGCCATATGCGCCACACCCCACCGGCTGCCCGCACAAAACGGCGCAGCGATCTTGCATAAAACCACAACGTCCACTCACTACCCACTGACTAGAAGGCAGTGCAAACCTGTCCCCAATCGGCCGTCGCAGCCTTGCTTGCAGGGGTACGAGCTGCACCTGTTATTTCAATGAGCCTATTGATCCAGCCGAAATAACCACTGCCGTGTGGGCTGAAAGCTCACCAGAAGCACCGAATGTTCCCGAGCCGCGAACCCGTTGCTGCCCAGCCATAACAATCCGTGGAGCGCACATAATGAAACGGCCTAGAGATAGATATGAATATTCCATTGATTAAATGTAAAGTCTGCTGATGCTACCAGAAAGACATGAACTATAGTCCTTACCACCTTCCATAATGTCAACATATCCAGCACACTCCCCACACACCCATACCCCCCCCCGAAAAAGCATCAGAACAACCCTACCCCTCCGAAGCCTCAATCTCCGCCTCATACAGCCCCAAGCTCTGCATCCGCGCGACACTCTGCTTTGCCGTGTACAGAAACGGCTTCTCCTCGCTGGCCACAATCACCCGCCCCATCTCCAACCGCACACACTCATGAACCCGCGCGTTCACCTTCTCCACATAGGGCCTGAGACTCTCGACCTCAAACTCCGATGCCGCCATCCCCTCCACCAACTGCACCAGCAGCACCGGCTTGGCCCGCCCATGGCCCCCAATCAACGCCGCCTTGACAGCAGGATGGGCCGTGATCTCCGGCTCCAGCGACGAGGCATGCAGCCCATCACTATGCGAGAGGGGCACGTAGTCGTCCGTGCGGCCGACGATCTGCCACAGGTCCCTGCTGACGGGGTGCGGGCGCCAGAGGTCGTGGGTCTCGAACCGCGTGAGATGCGGGTAAGTCTGGAAGATGACGGGTTCGTCGTCTGTATCTATATCCCTATCCTTGGCGATTGTTGCGGGATCATCGCGGACGAACACCAGCTCGTGCAGCCCGTCGGCGGTGCGGGGCTCAAACGTTACGCCCTTCTGCCGCGCAAACGATAGCCACAGGTACGCGTCGGCGTCGCGGTGCTCGTGGTGCGTCGCAAAGTATTCCCCTGCTTCGGTAGTGCCCACTCCGTTGATCACCACCGGGATGTAGGGGGTCAGCAGCGCGGCGGATATGGCGGCCAGCGGGGCCCCGGTGTACATCAGGAAGCTGAGACTGCGGAGGGCGGCTAGTCCGGCTTCTGATAGGCAGAGACCGTCGATTAGGGCTGGTGGGAGGAGGGTGCCGTCTATGTGGGTGTTTTGGAAGACGGAGATGACGGTGGCGGGGGTGAGGGCTGTGGAAGGGCCGAGGACAGCGGTCATGTTTACGTAGGATGTTGTGGCGAGAATGAGCATCATTCCTGTTAGCTTTGGGGTTGTTAGCGGGGTTAAATGGTGGTTTTGTTGTAGGGGTGAATGGTGGGGTAAATGGTGGGCCATACGTGGAGTGAGGGGATCGGGGTAAAGAGTCGGTGGTTGGCGGCGCGGTGGACCATGCTGTCCTTGATGTTCGGGGCAGCTGCCATCATGTCAATCAAGGCCATCATCCGGTGCGTCCAGGTCACCGGCTTGGGGTTTCCGGTCGTCCCCGAGGTGTGGAACAGCAGCCACGGGTCGTTTTTGCCCTCGTCCCATGTTTTACTGTATGTGACAGACTCGACTTCGGTCTCATGGAGGAACTGTTCAAGGTCTGGGATGTTGATTGTCTGGATGTGAGGTGCATCATGCAGAATTGCATCTACTTGAGCTTTCATGGTCGATGGACGCAGGTACACGGTGCACTTTTGTGACTCCGGAATGCGGCGTTGTGCTTCCGCCGTCACCAGCAGGGAGGGGAGGAAAAGCTAGTGTTATATCAGCGGGGAGATTATTTACCTATAGATGTATGACTCGACACGTACCACCTTTTGCAGTTTCGCGGCGGCGACTGCCAGGATCGGATAGCGGAGGTCTTTCAATCCAGCATAGGTGAATTTCTGGCATGGCTCCGAGGTCTCGGGGAGGTTTTGTCGGAGCCAGTGAGCGGCGTGGTTTTGGCTGCATTATTGAAAGTTCGAAAAGAAATGTCTTTGAAGCCCAGTGACATGTTCTCCTCATCAACGGGGAGGGACACCCAGGGAGCGTCATCGTCCTTTTTCGCTCTCGCCTCAATCACAGAAGCGATGATCCGCTTGCCGTGCTGCACTCCAGGGAGAGGGAAGATACTTTGCGTGATAGTCATGGTGATAAAATGTCCAGGAAAAGGAGGAAGAAAATGGCTAGTGAACTGGCTTTTATAAGTTATATTGGAGGCAGTCAGATACGGCCGAACCACGGCGATCTTTAAATAACGGCAACCGGTGCTGCCGACGACTTCGTCCCTAGTAAGCATGCCCGTGTCTGTTGAGGTGGAGAACAGGAGCTGAATCTTCGATCTGCCAGAAGCGATATAATTAGTGAATTCGTCTACCAGATGGAGAATAGTGTAATAGGATGGGGATAGAATAAGGGAAGTCAAGCACTTGATGCGCTATCCGGTGTGGCTAATGAACTAGGGCTGACTCCTCCGAAGATCGGCCGGTCGCGTTGGCGAGTGAGAGCTCAATAGGGCCCGCAAGGATGAGAAGAGTGACCAGCTACGCGAGGTTGCTGTTAATCTTCTCGAAGCTATATTCGTCTCAACGCCCTAAGCAGCTGTAAGCGCTAGTCAAAATGTAGGTAAATTGTTCGAGGATCCTAGGGTAAAGTTGGGCCCAGCCTTGATCGACCCCTTAGGCTGGCTGGCAAGAAAGTCTATCGAGAGAGTCTGTTTTCCCGCAATGCGTGATCATGGGACTGTTACAATGTGTTCTCGTAGCACGAGAGCTTACTTATTGAGTTATATTGGGGAAGTCATGCTTGCTATAGGCTGGCATTCCAGAAGATATCTTGTTGATGACCCGACCGGGGAGAATAGCCCTAACGCCGCTTCTTGGAGCTTGTATTCACCAATGTTAGTGCTTACATCTATGCCACAACTGTACTCCCGCCAGCTATGAGCTATCGGTCACATTCGAACAAAGAAAATCGCGCTTCAACCAGCTCAGCCATCACAGTCTCATGCACTAAATTGAAAACCAACACGGAACAATGCCTTCCAACATTGATACCAACCAACCATTTGACCTTTCCTCAGACCTAAAATTGTCTGGAGATGGGACTAAGCAAATAATACACGACATCAAGGATTGTTATTGAATACAACTTGTTGGCTGCAACTGTGGTCGATAGATATACCACACCAGGACCAGAAAGGTATCAACCACCACTACCCTACTGTCATAAGATGGCACCTCTATTGTAAGGGTGGAAGTGGGAGAGCACACAGAGAAACTAGATCCTCGAACCAAACACCCAAGATAACAACATGTGTTACTGACTGTTTGAATCGGTGCATAAGCTACTCCAAGGGCTTCCTGCTGGACGCCAACTCAAGATCAAAAGACTCTGGGCTCGACTACCCCGCGCCGATCTCGACACACCTCCAACGCACAGCCCCATTCCGCCTGGATCGACCTCTCGCGCCCAAACTGGCGTGACAACATGAGCCGCGCCGGAGGCAGCCTTATCTCTTACGAGCTCTACTGCAAAGCCCTTAGGGTGTGTGCGAAGGGATTCTGGCTTCGGAATACGAGAAAACTGGGTGGTTGCCCGGTCGGTACGCGGAGGGTGGGCGGAGCATGCCGGATCTGCGCCAAGATCCAGCCCCACTGCGACCACTATCTTAATATCTACCCGAGATCATGCCGCCCACTGGGTTACCTCGATCAAGAAAGGGTCACGAGGGGTGAATTAATGACACAGTATCGGGTTAAACAAGTTCTTTACCAAAAAAAGGTCGTCACGGAAGGATAGATCGAAATAAGAAAAGGAAGAAGAAAGGGTGTCCCGGGAGAACCGCGACGACATATGAGTAAGATAATCAATTGCGTTGCTTCTCGACAAGCCAAGAATGGTGGCAACAAATCTGCGCATGTGCGGTCATCATGACCCATTTTTGCTCTCCAGCCCTTCTATGCCCCGCCGGACATGATACAGTCCGCGCCGCATCTAATTGAGCTTCTTCCACCGGGACCTGATGTAACGTCCTCGGGCAAGACTATGCCAGCCACTCATGAAATCGCTCGGGCGGATAGATCTCTTACAGGGACGAGAGTTACTCTATAGGCGTGGCTAATCAAGTTTGTGGCGTAATGCGCGATATACGCTGGGTGATAGATTTGAGCAGCAGTATCGAACGTCACGATTGGGGTTCCCTGTTCCGAAAGAAGAGGTGTATTGCCCCACTCGACAAATCTTGCTGTATATATTAATCAGCTGGGACCTCGAATACCTCGATGAGTTCTAATCTTCTTCTTATTGAAATAACCTTATAACTACAGCTATTTTCCCATCAGCCATTGAAAACAGTACCTGCTCTGGAGCACCAATAGAATCTATCGATAGCCTCTCGAGCCTCCGCCTTTGAAACACTCATCCCAGGACACAGTCAATCCATACCACTGAAGGCTGAACCGAAGACACCGTCATGGACGATCAAGACAATATTTTTACTCGCGACGAAGTGTGTTCTCCCCACCCGCAACCCTCTTTTGTTCTGTGAACCGGATCCAGACTCACTCATTCATCCTCCCGTCTAGCCTCTCTCCGAACACGAACATGTGATCCTAGCCAACTACGCCACCGAACCGCGATACAGCCAGGGTATGATGAATGCTCGCAAGTTTAAAATGGTCAGCCCCTGCTCCGTTTCTACGGAGAATAGAAGCACTCGCTGACAGCAGACATCAGCAACGGAAATATTTTGACACCCCCGAATGGGCCTTGAACTCCGGTCAAAAAGAACCGGACCAGGGCGCCGACCAAGCCGGGGGCCCCCTCTCATTGCGCCAGGACACATCCAAACCGTATACACCTGTCCCTGAGGGTAGTAATGTGGGCGATGGTGCCAATCACGAGCAAGGGTAGAATCGCTCGCTGGGGTATGAGATGTCTAGTCGTCCTTTAGAACGAGGAAATGACTTTGATTTTGTTAATTCGACAATCCACGATTAGGGATACAGGTTTTGTGGAGGTCTGGGGGAGTTAATGTAAATGAGAATAGGCTTGGGGGGGGGGGGGGGGTTGATGAATCAGACTATGGACGGTCAAGCAATTTGTTAAAATTGGTGTGGAAGCTAGGGCTGATTGAGTGCTCCAGGTGCAGGGTAGGGAGCAGGGAGGCTGTGGATCTCAGGCATACGTGTCACAGATGTCATAGGTCGAAGACGTTCGTGTCGATGCAATAGCCACACTCAGATTTGCATCAATGGAGATAGCTCTGACAAGTACGGCTTGCAGCAGAGGATGGACACTCTTATCATGGAAAGGTCTACACTGAAGTGGAGGCAACGGAATTTATGTATCACCGTCCAAGTCTGGGGACCAACTGTACCGGACATCGTGATATAATCTGTCCTCCTTGCTTAAAATAGTAGCTATACCGCTGTCTCCCGATATTTATGTGCAGGCAGTACCTCACTACACTTGGTATGTGTCGTCTATCGTGTCAAGAACCGTGTCGAACGCACACATCACACCTGAAAGTGTCCAGGTTTTGAGTGTCCGCCGGAATTCCGTACTTGGGTTTCCGCAGTAAACATGATGCTTACGAGTCAGATCCCAAAGTCCCGTCTGGTAGTAAGGTCTTGCAAGAGCCGTTGATATTAGCCTGAAAATAATTGAACGATGCTATGCTATCCCCCGGCACGGGCAGCCCGGAATGGCAAGGCCAATGACTCAGCGGAAATTGAGGCTTGGCGCAGTCGAGCCTGTTCCAACTGTGGAGAAACCAGACACAGAAATCAGGTGCCTGGGAGAGTGACTTTGGGCATTGAAGATGCTCTAGTCGAAAGGTGGGCCTTTTGCGCCATTATGGATTGTTGATTTTTGAATAGGAGGGTGCACTCGGTGCCCTCGAGACCATTTCTGAGTTCCGTTAGGGTATTGCTTTGCGTAAATCAGACCCCAACCGTAGCACTAATGGCCATCGGAATGTTCTTAAGATTGCGGGTTTCTAGAACTGCAAAGAGTGAGAGAAAGATAAATCAAGAAATAGAATTGTTATAGTACCCAGATCGCGATTATCTACACGCCAGAAGGCAACATTATGCCGAGAGCTTGGTCATGGTGCTTTCGCTCGATAACGCGTGGCCAGGATTGTGTGTAGATGACGAGGTGCACCTCCCAGGAGCCAGGGTAGGCGAGCCAAGACATGCAATGGTCATTCCTAGAAGCGCGCAGAGATAGATAAGCATGTCCCACGATTGGCAGTTCTTACCTCCATGAAGGAGAATTACAACCCCGTTAAGGCAACAAGATTCCTCACTAGACCCACAATATGCCCTGGTCTACACGGTGGCATCGGAGGTCGGTCGGTTTAGCGTAGATGCCGATTAAGACCTTGCTAATCGCTTCACCCACGATCTGCGCAGCGTACCTTCCCAATTAAATCGTCTTTGATAAGTGAATGAAAATCTCTTCCGGCATTTTCCCCCTGGTGAGCAGGTATAAATCCATCGTGTTCGCCGGCTGCCAAAGCCTTCCCATCACGACAATCCATCCCACTCCCAGGACTCTGCCTCCCAGAACCCTGCACAAGGCTTCCTCCAGAATGCATCTCTACTCCGTCTTCATCCTCTTCGGGACCGCAGCCCTAACAGCCACGACTCACCCCGGTCCGCACGAACCACTCCCGGCCGCAGCCCTCCACCGCCGGACCGAGCTCCTCAAGCGGTGCCCCGGCCACGCCGCCACCTTCAACAAGCAACGCATGGCCGCGCGCGACACCCTCACCAAACACTGGGCCGACGGGCACAATCACAACGCAACCTACGAGATCCACACCGAAGCTCCCTTCTATGAAACCATCTAGAACGAGACCTGCGTGCTGACCCCGGAGGTGACCCGGGGTCCCTACGTCTGGCCGCGCTCGCAGACCCTCCGCCAGGACATGACAGAGGACCAGGTCGGCGTGCCGCTGTGGCTGGACGTCGGCGTGCTGGACATGGCCACGTGCGCGCCGCTGCCCAACGCGCTCGTGGACTTCTGGCACTGCAACGCGACGGGCTCGTACTCGAGTTTCACGGGTCTGTCGCCGAACACTCCCTTTGAGGAGTTGTTGAGTGAGCTCAACGTCACATACTATAACCTGGGGACGACCGACCTGCATACTGATGACACCACGTGGTTGCGCGGGATGTGGCCGACCGATGAGCGGGGGGTCATGGAGATGAAGACGATTTTTCCCGGTGAGCGAGCAACATACCCTCCTCTGGTTGACGTCAGCCTTTGATAGTGCACGGGGTTAGAGCTAATGGTTTGGCTTTTGGGCAGGCTTCTACGTTCAACGAGCAATCCACATCCATGTCCAGGTGCACACGGACTGGACGTTGCGCGAGAACGGGACCATCACCTCCAGCCACACGGTGAGCACGGGCCAGATCTACTTTGCTGAGGAGCTGGAGCGCGAGATCATGGCGCTCGAGCCGTATGGCTCGCACACCCAGATCAACCGCACTACCAATGAGGAGGACTCTATCTTCTCGCAGGATACCGAGGGCGGGTACAACCCGGTGGTCTCGGTGGTGCCGGCTGACGGCAAGGACGTGAGGAATGGGATGATCGGGTATATCACCATCGGAGTGGATACTTCAGCAATTGAGCGGTTTAGCAAAGGGGATGTGGATTATGGATTGTGAGGCTGGAAGTTCAGGAGAGAGGGTTGGGGGCCGAGTTAGAGTTGCTCGGTGAAGAGAAAAGTGGATCGATGTATTGTTTTACTTCGTAGAATTTGAAGATAGGTAGCCGGAAGATTCGAGGCGACCGGTTACACACCGTGCTCAGTACGATAGAGTAAGATCATATGCAAGAGATTACCCTTCACGGCGGTACCCTGCCTTTTGTCGTCTAGAGCACGGTGTCGGTCATGTGATCCATCTGGAACAAAAGATGTCGCTTCTTTGGGAAGCTCAGGGGTATTCGGCGATCTCCCGACGACTACAATGTAGCAACCTCTTCTGTGTCGCTTTAATAAAGCGCCCACACAAGGAAGTACCTTTGACCCTGCTGGATCTCGTATTGCGGCAATGTCATTATCCACGAGCACAGAGTTCTACGTGGATGCCACGCCAAGCAGGATATAAAACCACCCTTTGCCCACAGAGCCAAGCCCTGAGCTCCAGTCCCCCGAGAAGGATCTCTCTGCGAAACTGCCACCCTGCCATGATGCCCCCCCAAACCCCCTACCAACTAGGCTTCGAGTTCGTGGTCCGCGAGCACCACCCACCCAGCCAGACCCCGGCAGACTTCGAGTTCAACGAGTCCAAGGACCCGCTGCCCGGCCGCTTCGGCGAGAAGGAGCTGCGCCTGCGGGTGTGCAAGGGCCTGCGCGTGGGATCCGGGTACTCGGCACAGGTGGCTGTGGTGCAGGAGGTGCTGAGCGGGCGTCCTCCCAAACACGCCGGGTCGCTGCACCGGGACCCGGACGAGCTGGGGCCCAAGATGGTGGCCAAGCTGTACGACGCGCGGTACCTGGGCTCGGCCTCGAGGACGCGGGTGCAGGCGGTGCGGTTTATGGACGAGCAGTACGTGCGCGAGTCCGCGGCGTACCGCCACCTGCTGCACCACCAGCAACACCGGTACATCCCCGAGTACTACGGGTCGTGGTCCACGCACACCCCGGACCCAGCCAGCAAGCAGTCGTGTGAGGTGCGCCTCATCCTCACGGAGCTGGTCGAGGGCACGGACATGAGGCAGCTGCGGCCGGAGTCGTTCTCGCTAGCCGACCGCCAGGCGATCATGCGGCGGATCGTCAAGATCGAGTCGGCGTTCTACGCGTGTGACCTCCAGCACCGGGATGTGTACCCGCGGAATGTCATCCTCACCAGGCCGGATCCGCGCGCGGAGAAGAAGGCCGGCAAGGCGGGCGGCGGCCCGCTGCGCGTCACGGTCATCGACTTCGGGCTCGCGCGGATCGGCCGCTCGTGGTTGGATGTCAAATCGCCCCACTGCGCCAAAGCCGATCTCCTCCCGGGCACCTATATCAGTCCCATCCTGCGCTGGTGGCAGGTGGACAACGCGCAGGATACATGGTTTGACTGGGTCACTTGGGATTGGAATCGGTGGTTGTCGGAGACCTTCCGCGCGGATATTCCGCACATCACCCCTGACATGCTCAAGTGGCTGGGTCCGCAGGAAAGGGAGGACCCATTTTTTCAACAGTTTGAGAAGGGTGGTTCTTGTGATGTGTGCTGAAAGTCGTCACGCAGGTGGGCAGATTGCTAGAGCCATTGTAGAGATTCGATTTAATCCGTGATGGCACAATGAATTTATGATTATGTAACGTATCAGGGGCGCAAAGTAACACGTAAAATTGATTGGTATATGTTGGTCAATGTCCACTGCCCGGTGATGACACGAGTCCATGTATCATCGGTTCGCTCTAGAGCCTAACCATTATCCCAGGCAACAACCGTCGCATGGGCTCTCATCGATATCTAATTCTTCTCCCTAGCTTTTTCTACAATGGATCACTCATTTTAATTTGAGATAAGTCCAAGTCTGCTAGCAAAATGTCTATCATCTCTCCAAGCACCAGTAGAGGCACCCTGCTTCTCCTAAACCTCTGCCCCAGGAAATATTACTAAGAGCGTCAGACAAGATGCACTCAGCTATGATCATTTAGTGCCGAAAATCATAAGTTCTCGATAATTCGAGTCTCGAATTCTTTGAGATTGGGTGAAGTGCCCAACCCTTCACGAAAGTGATTGCTCTCTCGGGCCCCAGTGCAAGGTCTTTGCCCTAGCCAACAAGTATTCATCTCTGTCTATGTACATCCACCGCCCCCCCCCCAGAATCCACAGCCATGCATTACCAACCCAAGATCAGATTACTCAACGAGGACCCAGTTACTTCCGACAAACCACCTCCGCACTGGGAATGGCAATCCACGCATCCCGATCCTCACCCCACTCCCTCCACACCCCGGAAATCTCCGTCAGCTCCTCCGCCGACGCCAACCCATTCTCCAGCGCCCCCTTCGCAAACGCCGACTTGACCGCCCGCTCCTGCCACGTCCCACTCCACCAGCTCACCTCCTCGGGTGTCGCAAAGCACCACGCACTGACCTTACACTCCACCCCCAAGAAGCCCGCCCTCTTAGCCCAAACATGCAAAAACCGCCCCGCATTCGGCTCGCCCCCATTCTTCCGCGCCACAGCGTCATACAGGCTCTGCCACCGCCGCAGCCCCGGCAGCTCGGGGTGCCACATGAAGGCGGAGTAATCGGCCTCGCGGGCGGCGACGATGCCTCCCGGTTTACACACGCGGCGCATCTCGGCCAGCACGGCGACCGGGTCGGCGACGTGCTGCAGGACCTGGTGGCAGAAGACGACGTCGAAGGTGTTGTCGTCGTAGGTGAGGGCGTTGGCGTCCCCCGTTACGAAGTCGATGTTGGGGAGGTTGCGGGATGCGGCCAGCGCGCGGGCGTCCGGGAGGATGGTGTCCACCATGTCGAGGCCCGTCACGTGGCCCTCGGGGACGTGCGTGGCCAGGTCGACGGTGATGGTGCCGGGTCCGCAGCCGATGTCTAGGATCTTGTGGTGCGGCTGCAGGTGGGGGAGCAGGAACTGCGCGGAGTTTTGGGCGGTGCGTTGGCCGTGGCTGCGGAGCACGCTGGCGTGGTGGCCGTGCGTGTAGGTTGCTTTTTCGGTCATGTTTGTGGTGGGGGGGGTTTGCTTTGTGTGGTTGATGTGCAAATGAGTATCGGTATGAGTGAGTGGGGTGGGAGAGAAAAGAAATGGTCGTGGTTGTGGTTGTGGGTGTGATGGGCGTATGGAGGGTGGGTTTATATAGTGCTTCTGTTGCTGTAGATCGAGGGCCGATATCGGCGTCGGCCGGCCTGTGCTAAAATACACTGGGTAGTGGAAGTGCATGTAATGCATGCCGATTGCTCGGTCTATGCAAGCTTACGTGACTTATGCCAGTCGGTCACCGACCGCCCCCGCAGTGGTCTTCCGTAGCCTTCAGAACACCCAAAACAGCAGCCGTTCGAAATGCAAACCTCCTCCAGAATGAGTCATGTTTGTGCCAAAAATACGCTAACTGGTATATATATGCATGCTTCGCACAATGGGATCTGTGGGAAATCGCAGATGAGGGATCGGATAGTGGCGCACTGCGCACTCATCAGACCCCGCACAAACGCGACCTTCCATGATCTGAATACGTTCCTTGCACGGTACCCTTAATATTGAACACCAGAGCCTACCCTCGACCTAGAAGATGCAAAATACCTACTGTGTGAGCTTCATTCTGTTCTTGTAGCGTCTCGGCGCTTGAATGAGAATAATCCGGCCACGGACAGCTTCGAGCCTCGGAGACTGCGGCGTGTATTCGCAGTGAAGGACGATGTGTCCGCCCGAGTACATCCCAGGCGTAAGCGGTGCTATGGGTTCCCTAACATGATTGCGTATGAGAAATACTCGATCTTACGGAGAGGTCAGTGTCAGCTGCAACCGATCGGATATCTTTACTCGCTCCAGACACTAGGACGTTGATAGCAAAATCGAGAAATGCAACAAGAAATCCATCCAAGCAAGAGCCAAAGCTTACTACATGGGCGCCACCAATGGAATAGATTCCATTGTTCTTGTTCGTATCACTGAGGCATCGGTGATTAAACAAAACGGGAACAGTGCAGCACGCTTGATGTTATCTTATGAGGAGACTGATGATCAACGTCGCGATAGTTCACCATCGTTGTCCCACATAAATTGATATGGTTGTTCAGCCCACCTTGCAAGCTCAATCTTGAACTGATATCCCGACCTGCGAGCTCCCTGCTTCGAGCCACTGCAGAGAATAAGAGACTCCACCAATCCTCGTGCGTGCAGACCCGGCCGAGAGTGGCGATGTGGGAAGACACGAAACGACCATTTGGGTGACATAGAGATGAGGGTCTGGCTCTCATAAGAGACCATCACATGCGTCAATGGCCGGTTCAGCCCAAACTTTCGATTGCGGCTATTGAATGCGGGGTTTCCACAATCCTCAGACCCGCTTAAACATACCTTGATCAGGTATGGTTCCGACCCGGCAGTCAAGGCATAGCATATAAGAAATATGATTGCCGGCCATCTTCTACCAACTTCAAATGTGTTGCTTGGTTTGGCGAGTCGCGAACTGTGCCCAGTGCCCCTCGATCCGCTTTCTCTTCCCTTGCAGAAATGTACAGTAGTTCCTCGAGATATGTCTATGTACCCGCCAGCGCCCAGGCCTCACGCAGCATTATTGAACATTCTTCATATACAACGACACCGAGCCAGTCCCCGGGGACCACGCCGCCTCCCTGCGGAGAGATCATCTACAAACAGTCTTTGGCGACGGCTGAAACAATCGATGACAAATTGATCCTCAAGAAACTATCGGCCACCGCGGAGGGATCCATACTCCCGAACGATGCGGGCCTAGACGCCGGGCCGCGTGGGAAGAACCTGGATGGTGGGCTGGAAGATCCCTCTGTCGCATCAGAGACCGAAGGCGAAATGTGCTGACAGTCATGGGAGCATTTTGAGCTTTTCTCTTCTTGTCTGTGGTTTCAATTGACTGGCCAGGGTGACAATTATGAATCAACGAGTAAGATGCCATACAATGTCTCTGTATGGCCTGATCAGCAACTCGCCCAGGGTCACGTAGGTGGACAAGCAGCTCATTCTGTCTGTGTCTCGGAAAAAATAGCGATTCTTTGGTGTCCTTCTGGCGCGAGACAAGTCGGTTTCGCTGACGCTGACGCTATTGTGGTGCCTTTTCGTTTTTCCTCTGCCTAATTACTCTCTGTTGAAAGCTAGTTGTGTGTAGCCCGTGGTTACGATCTGCCCGACCGTACGTTCTCAAAAAGGCAAATTGAGATGCCGAAGGGTGTGCAAGAATGTAAGGATACCACATTTTGCGCTGAAAATGGTGGTTTTTGGGTTCGTTACATTGAGCTTAGAATTTCTGTTCCGGCTCACTGACTAAGCTCTCATTTCGAGTATATAGGCTGCGTCTGGCAATAGAGCCCTATCAATTTAATGGAGAAGCTAAGCTAAATCAGCCTCTTCCTCCCCTCCCACCCATGCCCGCCTCCTAAAGGATTAAACGCACGAACTCGAGACGAGGCCACATTCCAACCCGTGTCTGGAGGACTGTAGCCTTCAAGCGATCCGGCTTCTCCGAAGTGAGCTTTCGACGGTCAGGCGGTGATCAATGAACAAAGTTGTGGGAGGTCCACGACACAGCGCGACCGATGAGAGCATCGAGACATCTCAGATCATATCAGCGCTGGCATCAGATGCCGTGGCGTATCGGCCGGGTGTCGGGTCGTGGGGGTGCAGTGCTCGACGACGGTCACACTCACAGCGTAGCCCGCCTTTCTGGTGTGCACATGGGTCCATCGATTGGTTCTCGCAACATCGAATACCACCGCCAGGTCGTAGTCCTTTTCGGTGAACACCACCGCCCAGTCACTGCCCACGCCGACTTCCTCGCGCGTCCCATACTGGACCGACCGCACGTTCGGGTCGAGCCTGGCCAGCTCCACGAAGGCAGCACGCAGGCCATCGATCTTCTGTTGGGCGTGCTCCTGCGGACTGAGATTCACACCTAGAGGTAGATATCGTTTAGTGATATACGTCCCTTTCGGATGGAAGCATAGCTGACTCTTGTAGTAGAAGTTCTGCTTGTAGGCTACCTCGTGATGTACTTGGGACATTCTGCAGCGATATTGCAAGGGTATGTGGAAGTGGAAACTGGTAGATAAGCTATCGAGTCCAGGTTGGCTGTTTGGCCCCATTGAACTTCTGTAGGAACGCGCTCTCCTATTTAAGATATAATTGGGTACGCTAATCTGGGGGTTATACGATAATGGGGGAAGAAATCCAGGTATCCCAGGATCGCGAAGAACGGGTGGTGGTCGCGAGACTTAGATCTGGAGATTGTGGCGTTTGAGTGACAAGATGCGCTTCTTTGGATATGGAACAAAGAAAGTCAAACTTTCCACCCTCGTACATACCTACTATTATTATTGGCGCCCGGACCCGTCCACCAAGTCACTTACCTTGTAGATGGACATTATACTCGTACTCGTGTCATTTATCGGCGAAGAAAATGTGATTACGTCTTCAATGCTCCCAACCAACAACTTGGGCTATCCATCACTTTTGCGTGAGACACGATGTTTTCGTTTCGATTTTTTTTATTATTTTTTTTTCTTTTTCGCTATTCCCTGCCTATCGCCTTGCTCAGCACCAACTAGCTATCTGTGCGGGTAATTCCCAGTAGAAGCGCCTCAGCCAAGCCCGATAATAACAGTCATTACCAGAGTCTAAAAACATTATCCACCCGCTCACTCCCCGATCGCAGCATCTCGTGCTTTCTTCGCTCGACTCTAGCTTTACAATAGGGAAGATTAATGTAAACGCTGTCTACTTTATGCAAAATCAAAAGCTTCGCACCAAACCGAGAGGTCCCCCACCCCGGGGTCCGAAGAGAGAGACACAATCGCTAGCAATCTTCCGCATGGTACTGCAACTATTCGACCGTCTACCTCTGGATCAGGACGGTACGGCTCGTATCAGTATGGAGAGTGGGTCGAAAGACTCAACTCCGGCAAAACGCCGACAGGGCAAAGCGAGATTCGACCCGCAACCGCACAGGAAGCATTTCGCTGCGGTTTGGTGGCTATCTTCAACCCGAGCTGACGAACTTGGTACGAGCCAAAATGAGCAAGAAGAAACTCAATCTCTTTAGACGGTTCGAGTCGGTTGGGGGTCGTACGATCGGGGACCGGACCGGGGGGAAGGGGGGTTGGCAGGGGATTAAAACACCACGGCAGCATGAGACTTCATAAAGCGAGCTTTTGGCCGGCATGCAGCCGAGTCGCTTCAGATCATTTTCGATGCTATCTTGTCTATGAAGCTCGCCGTCCTTGCTGAGATCTTGCAACAGTAGACGGCCTTGCTTAAGGTGGCCGCTGGCAGGGTGTGATTGTCGGACTGATTTCTTGAAATGCTGTTCCTGCGGGGTACAGGGCATATGGTAATGCATACAAGGGTCGAATTGTCCGTGAGCACTACCACGTCAAGTCATGGCATTGGTGATGAGTGTTATACGGCAGAAGAAATCTTCCAACAGCAGAGTTCAAAAGAAAGACTTCCAATCCTTCACCATGAGCAAGAATCCTAATCTTGTGGCGACAGCATTTGCCGATCAGAGCGGTATCTCTCAATACGGTGCTGGGTCTATCTTCCGAGGTCGTTGGCCATGTCCCTGACCCGGATGATCAGATCGCCGCGCAATCAAAAAGTCGAATACGATGCATAAGATTGTCATGCGCGTGGTAGTCGCGACCTTTCCAAGAAACAGGATGGATGGACGTGATATTCAAACGCCCTAGAGCAAAGACATCACCCGCCTCTGCTATGGAGTTGCCGGTTGATACAGGTCTCGCTATGTAATCTATTGCTCATCATCTAGTCTCCAACTAGTGTGTTCGTAATCCAGCGCATAAGCCGGGAAGACATGTAGCCGAGCATCTGGGGCCCGCGTGTCAATCCTCCCCGACGAAGCAGAGACATTTGGTGAGGACGGGAGGGCAAAGCAGTGAGAAGGGAAGCAGTTGAGCAGCCCCGCAAGAAGGACAGTTTGACCACACTCGCCCCGTGTACAATGCACACGAGCCCGTTTCATTCACTAAACGGCAGATCAAAACACGGCCCAGGCTTCTGTCTCCGCGTCGCCGACCTCTCCACCTGCGAAAGCTCCCGCGCGAGCTGGTCCATCCGCTCCTCCTCTTGTTTCACCCCTTCTTCCCCCGGCCCTCCCATCACACCAGCAGCATCCCCAAGCTGCCCCTGCCCCGTACCCGCCGAGCTCCCCTCTTCCTCCCCATCCCCCTCCCCCTCACTCCTCTCGCCCACCTCCCCCTTCTCCTTCTCAATCGCCAACCTCCCCGCCACAGCAGCCGCCACCTTCTCCTGCCACTCCCTCTCTCCCTTCTCCTTGGCCAAAACTGCATAATGCGCCCTCCGATACACCCCGACCGTACTCCCGAGCAACCCCAACACCTCAAACCCAAACAGCACGGGCAACGCATACCCAAGCTGGGGATTACAGCCGCGGGACCACACATCGACGAGAACCTGGAACACCGCATGCGCCGGCAAGGCATACCCCCACCGATAGAACGCGGGCGCCAGCTCAAACGGCAGCAGGATGGAGGTGACGTTGGCCACGATCCACGAGATGAACGCCATCGGCACGAAGGGCGGGGGGATCCAGATGGTGAAGAGGTCCAAGACCAAAAAGTTCAAGTGCGCGAAGAGCCACAGCGCGAGCCAGGTGAGCACGAATTGTCCCCCGGAGACGCGCCACCCGAACCGGAAGGCCCAGACGGCGCCGGTGGTGGACAGCGAGCCGAGCAGTGTGTAGGTTCCCGCGAGCAGTTGCCGGATGATGGCGATGCGGTGCGGGGAGACTGTTGTGTACAGGTGGAATTGTTGGTAGACGCTGTTGATGTAGCCTAGGTAGAAGAATTCTTGGATCATGATGAGGATGATGACCAGGGTGTTGTAGATGAGGCGCGAGCCTTGGGTGGTGGGTTGGAGGTTTATGGAGGTCAAGGTCCAGGGTTGGGAGAGGGTGGTGAGGGTGGTATTGCTGAGAGTGCTTTGGGGCAGGGTGCTGGTGTAGGCGATGCGGGCGGCGTTGGAGAGGGTCTGCATGCTGGTGTAGATGGCCGAGTCGACCACGGTGGAGTAGCGCGCCTCGTTCCACACCAGGGTGAGCACGTCGTCGGGGGAGTGCGGTGCTCCGCTGGCGAGGGCGGCGGCCAGCTCGCTCGATGCGTTCGGGGCAATGTACAGCCCGCCCCAGTAGTCGATGTGGCAGACAGCAGCGGTGATCGCGTCGGACTGGGGATACTGCGCCGTGGCGTGCTCGGTTAGGGTTGGGAAGCCCGGGCCCTGCAGCTGCTCGTACGCGGCGCGGACAGCCGCCCCGATCGCCCCGCCGTCGTAGTCCACGAACACCACGTTCAGATTGTGCACATGCGTCGTCTGCTGGAACAGCGAGCCGAACAGGTAGCAGAACAGCCCCAGGAACAGCAGCTGCAGCACCAGCAGGTTGATCCCCGCCGCTTTGAGCACCGCCAAGCGCAGCGACCGCACCGCCGGGTCGTGGATGCTCGCGTGCTTTTGCCTTCGGGCGCGCGCGTAGAAGGTCATCGGGTCGGTCCGAGCGCAAGCTGGCCAAGCTGTCAAGCTGGATTTCTGAACAAGCTGGATTTGTCGTCGAAAAGGTTCCCCCTGGGTGGTTCAGCAGTTCCTAATAACTGACTGCACTGCATCTGCACCACGGCAATGGTGGGGCGGAAGTCGGGCTCCTCGTCACTCGGTGCTTATATGAATACGAGCGCGCCACCAACCAGCGTTTCGCTAGGAGAAGCGGTGTTGCAATCCCGGCATTTTGTTCCAGTCTACGGGCGAGATTGTTCGTCATATTAGAACTGCCCCCAGCTCGCCTCAGCTCAGCTCTACAAACCAGTTGCCCTTTCGGGTTCGCTGCGAGTCACGTGTGCGCCGGTTGATGTATGTTTCGGGCTACGCCTAATTGGTCAATGATCTAAATTGCGTACAGTGGAGTGAACACGAGCTTTTACTAACCACTGCATGAGTAGGTAGTGATACTAGAGCCCCTTTTATACATAGCAACCCTTCTGTTTCGAGAATTGTGCGTACAGCTTTTAGCTAGATGGGAAGGGGTGCCTAATGGGAACCTTGAAGCCTACCGACCACTTTCACCGCTTCAAAGATGCGCCAAGCTCGACTCCCGCATTGCAGTATGTCGCGCAGTATATATATTGAACGACCTTGCTTATATCCTAACACGATGGCACCCAACGGCTCAGTGCAGTTGAATGAAGCGTACGCTTGCAGCAAAGATAGATCAACTATGACACTTTCAAGTACCAAACTCACCTCTATGCCATCTCCATCCTCACCAACACTCATTACCAGTACATCCACGGACCCCAAACAAAATCAACAACCTGAACCCTAACTCACCTCATTCCCAACAACCGCATACCCATCCTTCATCCGCATCCCGCCACCCTCACCCTCACCTCCCGCAGCAGCCATCTGCCCCTCCCCCCCCTTTTCCCCCTCCAACCCCACCGAGCTGGGCACCATCCCCTCCGGATCATCTCCCCTCCATACCCCCCACCCCACATACGCCGCGCGATGCAGGCTCAACGTCTCCTCCACCGCCCACTGCTCCCGCATATACCGCCGCCGCCCGTTGCCCTTGCCCCGCAGCCAGCCCACCACCGAATCCACGCTCAGCCCCACCACGATGATCAGCCCGCACACGCCGACCGTCAGCGCCAGCCCCAGCACCGAGAAGTTGGCGTACCCGGCGGCATTGTGCACGAGCTGGTTGGTGCACTGCACGCGCGCGTAGCGATTCAGCGGCGCCGTCACGTTCCACCCAACCGACGACTGGTCGAGCAGCGAGGTCGCCGGGAAGTTCTTGGGCGCGGTCGCCCACTCCACCGCCCAGGCTTGTTCTTTGGCCAGCGAGGTGGCGAACCAGGTGGCTACTTCCGTTTGCCATTGCGTGGGCGGGATGTAGAATTGGATGTTGCTGTAGGCGATTGAGGAGGCTGCGGTTGGTGTGTTAGTTGGGGTGGGGGATTGGGGGTGGGGTGAAGGTGCACAGGCCACTCACCGTTTAACGCTGCGCCGCCGCGGCCGTTGACGTTGGAGTACATGCTCCGGTCGTTGTTCCCGGACAGGAACCGGCCGATCGTCGCGATTTGGTACACGTTGAACCCGAGGAACTTGGTCGGGTCGACGGTGAAGGTGGACAGTGATGTACTCAAGATCCCACCGAGTTTGGTGCACCCGTCCGGCCCGGGCCGGTTGGGGTTGCAGATCTGGTACTGGTCGGTGCATACCATCAAGTTCACCTCGTAGCTCTTGGTCCACATCGACGAGGTGACGTTCGTGCCCTCGATGCTGTAGTTCTGCTGTTCGAGCGCCGTCATCCACGGGTCGTAGCTGGGTTGCAGGTAGTTGATGTTGTTCTGGTTGAGCATCATCATCGTGATGTCCGCGTCGGTTTGATTGATCGCGTCGGTCGGCTTCCATGACTCGAGGCCGTTCAGGAGTCCGCTAGGGTCGGATTTGGCGAAGACGGCGCTAGGGTCGATCAGAGGGGGGTTCTTTGGGGTAGGTGAGGCACTTACCTTAGTGTGTAGCCCACTCCATCGACGCTGGGGATCGGAGTGTACGAGAACGTGTAGTTCAGGTACGGCTCACCCATGTAATACTGATATCCGGCATTGATGTAGACGATCTGGCCCCACGTTGAGTCGTTCTGGACGCTCCCTAGCCCGGACCCGTGCTTGACTGGGGCACAGGTGGTGACTCGCCGGTATTTGATTCGGTTGCGCGGGGGTGCGTTGATCCCAAAGTCCTCGTGCGAATCCAGCAGACCCGTGTCCATTTGCAGGGCCGAGTTGCCGTTGTACGCGCACAGATCAGGAGAGTATGGGCAAGATGCATTCGGGTTCGTGGTAAATGGCAGGCTGGGCCGGACGTAGGTGCTGCAGTCGAGTTCACTCGCGTTCTCCAGGTAGCACCGGCGGACGTACGTGGCAGCGTCGTAGGTGTCCTGCAGACTCTTGGTGTTGCTGACGGTCACATCCGTGGCGTTGAACGAGTAGCCTCCACAGCCTGGGCCGATGATGAGCGTCGACTGGCCGGCCGCCTTGGTGATGTAACTGGTGAACAGACCAGATACTCCGAACAGGATGAGAACGAGGATGGGTAGCAGGGCCAGTGGTAGCGATCGCCCCACAGCCCTGAGCTTTGACGCAGTTCGCCCGCTCTCAAATGGTAACTTGATTAATGCCCAGGCCGCGGCGGCTGCACCTTTGTTGCGCAGAATGACCTGTCGCTGGTAGTGAAGAGCATCCCGCCGCCGATCGGGAGCTGTGGTCCCTGTCTGATGAAGTGCAAAGCTCAGAATGCTCCAGAACAGACTGCCTGCGAGGGAGACAAGTATAGCTAGAAAGGCGCTCAGAATGCCGGAGTCGGTCTGCGACAAAGTCAAGGTGGCTCCCCGGATCGCTCCCTCGGACCAGTCGATCCAGACTCCCGTGTAAGTGTAGAGCGCGGCAGACATGGATCTTACGAGGACTCAAAAACCAAAGGACGACAAATTTCCCAGCAATGATGCAATCTGGGGTCAAGGTACAGGTTGTGAGTTATAAATGCCCAGCTGCTGGGATTTGGACTTTCCCAAAGAGCCTCCTCTCCTCTGCGTCCCGACGCCATTAGGCAGCCGGGGTAAGACTTTCGGCATTTTGGGTGGCTTTCTCAGGCTATGGCAGCGAAGGCTTGAGCAGACACCTACTCTGACCAGGGTGTTGGACCTCAAGTCCAATCGCTTGCAGATGCATCTTTCGCTAGAATGATATATTCACATCATAGCGCGTGCAGATGGCTGATGCCACTAAATGAAAAATGCCGATCGATGCGGTTGGGAATCGGAAACAATTGGCCACTTGACGGGGCTGCAGGGTCTCTGCTCGTGTTCGTGCATGATACGAGGCTGACGCTTTCAACAATGATTCGCTGGGCGCCCGAGTTCTCGTGCGATACCCCGGACCCAACCAGGGGTAAAAGCGCTCTGTCACTACACCACAATGAAGTCAAAGCGTGGGTGTCGTGTGTGTCGCTGCCATTACCTGAAAGTGAGGAGCCTAGGTAGTGCAATCCCAAGCGCACTATTCAGTGCGAGGCATCTACAAGACCAGATTTGTACCATGGTGTTGCATCGAGGCCGACATGCCTCATGTTTCCCCCGTTCCACTGTGTTTAGTACCTGTTCAGATCCGCGGCTGTGGCTGAGCTCCGGGGTCGCACTGCGGCCCAGAAACAACTATGATGTGTTTCATGCGAAAGGACGATGTTTCTCCGTGCCTAAAAACAGGCTCCCACGAACTCAAGATCTGGAGTCAGAGCCTTATCGTGAATCCGATTCCGATGCCCCACTCCCCACATCGATTCTAGATGATGGGAAGCTGCCATGCTTTCATCATTCCATGCTTTAGGGATGCGTTACGCGCCGCTCGAGGGACCCAGGGCAATTAGCTTAACGCATGTACCGAAAGGTGAATCCATGATGCAAATTTAATGTTCTATGCCGCAACTACTGAGAAAGCCTTTCCAGTACTTCCAGAAGTGCGAGTCTGACCCATCAGTTGATCTTGAAGGGTTGCTGATCCTTCTTGAGGTACTGTTATACGAGATGTGGCGTTGCCGGCAAACGAAGCCAGGTATGCTGCCCCTGGCTTTGTGATGATGGGGCATCTCACCAGTCTACTTCTGACTAGCAAAGCTAGCATATTGAACCCGAAAAGGCTGTCAACGATCTGCTGTTTTGGGATGCCATGATATACGGTGAGTTGTAGCAGAGTAAGCTCAGGCGCCGACCGTACAGAAAAGAAGAAGCAGTTTTGCTCACTTTCTGCATGCCAATTGTCGAGGTTGTATTCCGCCCACAGCAACTGGTGAGGTTGAGAGAAATGTTTGCATGCATCAACGATGATGTATTGGCTCTGTGGGTGTTGTATGTGTCATAGCCTTTTCTATCACTTGGGAATCAGGTAGCCTTGCGAGAGGCACGCTTGTGGGCAGCTGAATGCGACCGTTCCCGATTCGCACGTAGGGTGCACAGACCAGTCTGTGTGCCTTGTGACTCGCATGATGTGGCTTGAGTACTTTGCCAGACCGAAGCGGAGAGCGCCCTCTTCGCGATGAGTGGATGATGGCTTGTGGTTATGGTTGTGTTTGATGCAGAGGAAGTTGTGGCAGCAGACTGCAGTGTCCTCCAAATAACTTGGCAGGCCTTGATGCCTTGGTACCTTAGTGCCTGAGAAATCAGCGAGCCGAGGCGGTCAAATTACTGCCGCATCCGCCATCGTTTTGGTCCCCCCAGGAAGGGGGAACTTTCCACCAACTTTCCACCACTGTCAACATCGGCGCTCCCTTGAGAAGTTCATGGATCTAATGTGCTGTCCATCCATCGGCTCCTAGATTCCAGACAGGCTAGACTGACTTGAACATCGAGTCATCTTTGCATGCTGTCATCTCCGATTCTCTGATACTTAGCGTAGTGTTCCTTCAAACCCGACTAGTGACGTGATGCCCCCAATCGAACAAGAATTAAAATATGTCGGCATCATGCTTGTGCTCGATCATGAGCGGCAACAAGGATTCTCACATATTCATGCAGTGATCAACAGGATTTGTGATCATGGAACCAAAGTCGCAGTGTCCAGCAGCACACCACCAACTTCAACGTCAAGGGCGGTGTTGGATCATCCAGGCACAAACTAACCCGTTAGCTTCACACTAATGCTTGTCGCCTCAGTCGAACTCCTGACTAGTGCCTCATCCATGTCGACTTCTTACCCCTCGCAGAGCTCGCTGTGGTCGCGTCTCCTTCACATCGACGCGTTCCCGCCACATAATCACTCCAAAGGCAACGAGCATGCTCTCACATGCTCCCCACAACATGTCCTCACAACCTGCAAAAAAGCGCCGCTTCGGTGGCAAGCGATCGAAGACGGGCTGCCGCACATGCAGAATTCGACGAATCAAATGTGATGAGGCACCCGAGAAGTGCCGGAACTGTACGTCCACCGGACGCCTCTGTGACGGGTACGAAGCCTATCGCCTACCCGTGGCAGCCAAGCGCGGGAAGAACCTTTCCTTCTCGCTTTCTACCCCGGTCAACACCCAGATACGCTGGGTTGTAACATCCGATCAACGTCGCTGCTTTTCATTCTTTTGCGACCGCACCATCACCGATGCTCTGGGGTATTATGATTCCCAGCTATGGGAACAGTTTGTCTTCCAGATGGCGAATATCGAGCCTGCAGTGTGCCACGCCGCCGTCGCCCTGGGGGCCGCTCACCAAGAAGTGGTCTTTCAGGGCATCAATTTCCCCGGCAATGGTAAAGCGGGACGAGGCGTTTGGTATTTCTACGCGCTAGAGGAGTCCGCTCGCGCTTTTGAGCTCCTCCGTCGGCGCAATCCTCAGGACCCGCAGATGCGGCAAGTCACGCTTCTCTGCTGTCTACTCTTCGTGTATTTGAGCCTCTTGCAACGAGACTATGACACTGCGTTCCGACATCTGCAAGCTGGCTTGCGGGTTTCCCAAGAGCTGAGATTAGGCCGCTGCAATCCCCTCTTTGGATCTTCACTCGTGGGCGGCGGAATGAACCCGCATCTCCTCGCGGCCTTCGCCCAGCTCGAAACCCAGTCGACGCATTTCAACCCTCGTGGGTGCTCCCAGCTCTGGGCCAACCAGCCGCCACGGACGCATATCCGCCTCAGCAACGACTGCGACCGCGACTGCGGCCTACTTGGGCAAAGCGTCGACGACCTACGCCTGGCCATGCAGCCCCTCGATAGTGCCATCAACCATTTCTTCCAGCGGTTAGGCACCGCGTCCGCAGAGGAAATCGTGGCCCACTACTCAGACTTCAAGGCGGCCCAAACCCACCTGCTCGCAGACCTTGAGCACGCCACACACTTCCTCGACAACTTTTGTGCCCTCAAATATGCCAGCCTCTCTCCGAAACACAAGCGCGGCGCCGACCTGCTGCGACTGCATCTGATGACCTACTCCGTGGGTCTCCGGATGTCCTTGATAGCGCAGCTCCCGCCCGCCCAGGCTCAGGCATTCTCAGCCGACCACGCGGCCATTCTCTCGTTGGCCCGCACGATCGTCGCCCAGTTCCCCGACCGGCCCACGATCATGGTGGACTCGGGCGTGATCCTGCCGCTGCAGGTCGTCGCCGACTCCTGTCCGGACCTGCACGTGCGCTGGCAGGCCATCCAGGAGCTCCGCGCCTGGCCGCACTACGAGGGCCCGTACGATTCCGTCCTCGCGAGCGTCATCTCCGGCGCCCGCTGCCGGCTCGAACTCCGGGCGCGCATCCGCGCGGAGCTGCGCGGTTTTTTTGATACCGATGGCACGGTGGTGGGGAAGGAGCTCTTCGACAGGATGGTGGACGAAGAGCTGCGGGAGCGGTTGAGGATACTTGCTGTTCCGGGGGGCGATGATGAAGGCTTCCCCCAGGCAAGCGATCAAGCGGATGCGGAGCTCGCGCAGATCATGGCGTCGGCGTCCCTCGATAACTGGACGTGTATTCTTCACCTGAGACGACTCATGAAATGAGATATTGTTAGCACCTTCGTATGGGGGCACGGTCATAGCGGATTCTCTTGAGGTCGACAAGACTGTTCATCGACCAGGGGGAGGCAGTCCCGTCATGTGACTTGTCCACGCCCTGACGCCTGCCAGACTCATACGCAGACAGCAGCAAACTTTCAGGCATACATCCCACATAACCAAGCCTCGGTGCTCATCATCAATGTAATCATTGTCGGGTCTGTGTCGATGTTCCAGTATTTATGAATTGTCTCCAAGGCACGCTGCGCGGATGCACACCCACTCGTCGCATTTGAGAGCAGCTGCCCTCAAGATGTAGGTCAAAAGAAGCTCCGATTGATAACTGAATGGAATAAGTATGGCCTGGAACCGTCATCCGACCCCTGAAAAAACCACTTCCCGTCTCACCACGTGCATGGCGTGTTTGAAAGCCGACTGAACGGCCGTGCTTCGATGCACCCGAACTATTCCCAGGCAATAGAAGCACGATCGCGATATAAACCAAAAAATGGCTCTCATGAATAAGTTCAGGTAGTGTCCACAGGCAGAAACTATTAAAATCGTAGGTTGACCCGGACAATCCAGCGGGGGACTTGTCGAGACCATCTGCGGTGGCCATGTCCACCGCATCGGACCCTCATTCTTGGCGCTCGGCACTTTTGCACCTTATTCAAATGGGAGGGGGGCAAATGTCTCTGAACATGACTAGCAGGCCGTCGTTAGCTTAGGGGAACGGATTCAACAGTCAACGGATCCATCACTATGGTGAAACACAAACACCAGGAGTGAATACGAGCCGGTCGGACATGGTCCGAACGGACAAACCCGGTGTCAACACCGGCTAGCCCTACTTTAGACGGGAGGCTGTTGACAGGATCTCCCATGCTCAACGCAGCAATGCCCGGGCAGCCTCGGAGATTACCACGCGTATCGAGCTCTGAGGGGCTTGAGCTGGACGTGTAAATTCGCACAAATCATGTTCGCAATACTACAGCTTGATAAGCACTTTAAGGGTCTTGGCGTGCAACTTGGCCGCCATTACTAACCACAACCCCTCTTCATCGCCGGTCTTTCTGCTGAAGCTTATATTTAGAATTCTCGATCTTCACGACAAGCTTTGGCAATCTATCGCAGAACGAACTCGAGGAACTAGATCACAACATCTCATTAGGACAGGTACGTAAGGCGTTTGTGAATAATTGCTCGCCCAACGGGCCTGCAAAATCCAGTTGTTGTGTGGAACGCAGTGGAGCAGGCAGTGGGGAGGGTGCGTGGGTAGTGGGTACACCCAAAACGTTCAGTGGAATCACGATTGGGATCGTGCCCCACTTCACAAAGCATGATTCATGACATGTAGTCTAAGTAAAATTAAGTCTTCAATTCTAGCTCGGTCTGAGTCTAAGCTAAAGGAGAGGGGAGGGGGGGGGCAAAAGCCTGCAGGAGTGACACCAGGGATGAGAAATTCCACGTGTCGACGACTGCCAATCTCCACCCCTGGCAAACTGAAACGATGCTCAGGCCTTGCACTCCTGCAACCGTTGCACACTACAAGGAGCAAAATCCAGACTCATATAGACGGATTCGCCGTCTCATGATTGCCCCCCCCCCCCCGTCTCCGGTCCTCCCTCCGGTTTTCCCTCCGGTTCTCTCCCTCTCGTTTTCTTTCCCCCCCTGCAGGTTCGCCCTCGAAATTCTTTCTCCTTCGCCAATGTAATCCGTCTTCTCCAATTCCTTCTTGGAACCTTCCCTCGCCTTTCTCTTCTCCGTCCGGTCTCTCCTTTTGCATCTTTTCCCGACGGCTAGCTGGTCTTCCCGCCCTCCATGGAAGAGATCTGGGAGAGAGATCTCTCGCCGGAGCGGATCGCCTACCTGGCGCAGTCCCGTATCCCCGGCATCATCGCATGCAACACGATTCTCCTCGTGTTCGCGACGGGAGGGCTACTGGTGCGGCTGTTTGTGCGCGTCCGATATCTGACGGGGATCAATCTGGATGATGTGCTGTGTATAACCAGCTGGGTGGGTAGCCCGTCTGTCTTCTGGGCATCGCGATCCCCTACCGTCGATCACTAACGTCAATCTACTCGAATGGTCCAGATCTTCACATTCGCCCTATGCTTTACCACGATGTGGAGTAAGTACACATGTACCTCCCCGAGCAAGAAAGACAGTACGATCGCATGCTAACCGCGCCGGCCCTCCCGCAGTGACCAGATACGGCTTCGGCAAGCATATCGGCACGGTGACGAGCTTCAGCGCTCGATCCATGTTCCTCAAGGTAGGATTCCTGCCTTCCAATCTCGCTGGGAATTGCGACCAACCATACCTAACAACCACTATTCTTTTCCATCAGCTCGACTTCGTCACGATGCTCACCTACGTCCTCGCCCTGGGCGCCATCAAGATCTCCTTCTGCGTGCTGTACCTGCAGATCTTCCCGGGCCGGAAATTCCGGATCGCGTGCTGGTGCCTGCTGGCGATCCTGATCGGCGAGACGGTCGCCGAGACGTTCGTGGTAATCTTCCAGTGCATCCCCGTGCACAAGGCGTGGGACGCGACGGGGCTGGTGGAGGGCTACTGCGTGAACATGACGGCGCTGTACTACTCGAACTTCGCGATCAAGCTAGCGACGGACCTGGCGATCTTCATCATGCCGATCCCGAAGCTGTGGCAGCTGAAGATGACGCGCGGGAAGCGGATGGGGCTGGTGGTGATGTTTAGTTTGGGGTTGTTGTATGTTCCTCTCCGTTGCTTTTGGGCTATGTTCCCCGGTATCGATGCAAGCAACTGACCAATGTTGATGGATACGGCAGGGTCTGCGTCACAAGCATCATCCGCGTCTCGTACATGAACTCCTTCGCCGTCGACCACACCTGTACTTATCCCCCCAACCCAGCACTCTCATCCATATCGCAACTGCTAACAAGGCACAGGGTCAATGGTCAACACCGAACTCTGGTCCTGCGTCGAAGTCGCCGTCGCCCTCTTCATCGCCTGCATCCCCAGCTTCAAGACCATCATCACCCACCGCTTCCCCGTGCTGCAGCGCCTGCTGGGCCTCTCCAGCGAGGGCGACTCCGCCGGCCCGTCCAAGATGTACGGCACCGCCTCGCGCCGCACCTTCCCGGGCCACGGGCCCTCGATGAGCATCAAACTCCACAATGTGACGGGGCCGGGCCACAGCAGTAGCAGCAGTCGCGCCGAGGCGGACACGGGCAACGAGTCGCAGGAGCGCTTCATGTTCCCCGAGGGGATCCACGTGGTGACGAAAGTTAGTGTTAATGAGACGGTCTGATTCCTTTTCCATTTTCGGAGGTCATTGTCGTAGACACGGCTGGTGGGGCGTTTGGGTGGGTGATAATAGATTACTGTACGATTTGGCGCTGGCTGTGTACTGGTGGGTAGTAGATCTAGCCAGTTGGCTGTGGGAGTGCTCGTTCCGTTCCCGTGTCGAGGCCTGTCTGAAGTAGTCCTGTCCTCGGAGCACGGAGGTACAGCGGTAAATAGATAGGGCTTTCGTCCTTCGGACCAGTCCCGGTCGGTGTTCGGTGGATGCTGCGGAGTGGGTCCTCTGCCAAGAAACAATTCAAAATTGATTTTCACTCGTAGAATCCTAGACTACCCCTTGGCTAGCGGCCATGAATTTGATGGCATTTTTCCACGACCCGTGGATCCTGGGGGCTCACGGGGGGCCCGGACAATATACTCTAATCAGGTTAACATCCGCGCTAGTGGCCTTGCGGACCTTGTCGGGATGGGCTGATGGGCTGATGGGCTCGAGGACTTTGGGATCCCGCTCCATGCTATGGGAACTGTTAGTCAATGAAATAGCGCTTGTTTCCCTTGCATTGGGCAAGCTGGGTTTGTCTTGACGGGTGGATGCTCCAGTGTTTAAGATGGTATTATTTGTTCAAGCTAACCAGTTATCAATAGATTTTTGGGGGCGAAAGGATGCAGGGCCTTGACTTGTCGTTCTGGACTGTTGATTGCCACTACTGCACGTCTTGGAAGCTCTGGGCAACTGACTGAGTGGCAAGCACCGTAAGACAACTCTAGACTTTGAAGATGGAGTTAATCTACATCAAGCACGCTAGTGCCGCACCAGGCGAAAGTCTAATTGGGCGTGTGTCCCGTCTTGGCAGGGATCGGCCGTCGGTCCAAGGCTGGCTGGCTTCAGTGCCTTGGTGCCTACCTGGTACTTACATAGTAAACCCGATGCAAGATAAATCCAATGTGTGGGCTGGAGCTAGTTGGCCTTATATCGAGAAGTCAGTCTACTGCGCTGGCTTAAGGAGAACTGTACTCCGCAGTTTATCCCGCGTTTGCAGCTGATTCTTCACTTGTGGGACATGTCGTGTGCGCGAACCCTGTTGTTGGGAACCTCTAAAGCATCGGTTGTCCTTACAAGCTGTGTATAGTACAATGCATACCGCACAGGCATTGCGCGGCGATGGAATTCGCAGTTCCCAGTCCTCCCTCTGCACAGTCTGGTTCAGCGAGATCAGGTTTACATGCATACGTCATAGCACCAGGAACAGAGAGCCGATGGAGTGTTCCTTAACGGCAGGCTAGTGCCACAGGTCGATTGTATCACCAGCCACGTCTTTTTTGTAGCATCAGAGACCCCACTACCTCTAGAACAGTCGATGGGGGTCACCCCAATGAGACAATTGAATGATCAGCAATCTCTCCATTGCGTCAGCCTCGCGCAATTGCCCACCCCGGCGCAAACAGCTATAATGCACCTCATGATATAGCCCTGCCTCGAGCACCGACGGATCCGGCCCAAAGAACAATGGTTAGTGCTCTTGTACCCTCCGTAGTGGAGGCGTTGCGCTTGGCCTGACTTTCTGCAGCGGGGGGGGGGCGCATCGGTCACCGAGGCAGCGAGGCTACAGGGAATCCGAGGCATGGCAAGGAAGGCACGGAGCAGATCGCGGTCCTGACCTCCCTGGCCTACGAACCATGCCCATCGTGCTTTCTTTCTCTTTGATCTCAACGACTCTATTCTGCTGTGTTGGGGTGGCTATAGTGCGAGTCCCGAACGGAGCACACATCCCATGTATTGCGCAACTCAGAGGCTGACAGATCGGATGTCGGTGTGCTACAGTACCAGCTTGATGAAGGTAATTTAATTCAGTCGAGGGCAATAGGGGTCGATAACCCTTCAGCACGAGTGGACGCCTCTACTGAGAGATACTTTGCGTAAATGCTGACCACGTCCGTGTAACCCGCTTCCAGCGTCAGCGCTGCTCGTGATACTTCTTGTTCCCGCTGTGGAACATACGTCCGTGTCTATCGGCAACAGGAGACAAAGTCTGAGGACATGAGCAATGTCTAGCCATTCTTGGAGAAGATTGGTGCAAGGTGTTCGTTGGTCTGCTGCTGTTGCTGCTGCTGCTATCAGGCTAGAAGCGTCTTGTGGCCACAAACAGCGAATGAACCCGGCAAGGTATAGTTTTATGTCTGAGGCGGGAGGCTGCGCCCAGTCGGAGGATAAGTAGATGTCACGGTCATGGACTACATCTCCATTTACAAGTCTTGACCCACAGTGCGCAACCATCAAGCCTTCCGCAAGGCCGGAACTACCCTCGGGTAAGAAGCAGATCGAGTAACGTCCACAAATCCATACTGTGTATCAGCCAAAGTCTAACAGCTCACAAGAGTGAGAACACTCCGCGCTCGATCAAAAACCATATACAATGCACCCGAGACTCTACATTATCCACAAAGGACAAAGCCAAAACTCACAATCCCAGTGCGCAGTGTCTCATAACGAGTTCAAAAACTGCGCCACCAGCTCGTACGCCTCCTGCTTGGCCGCCGCCCCCGTCGTGCCCTCCTTGGCCCGCTTGTCCCACCCATGCGGACAGTGCTCCATGCGCTTGAGCACGACATTCCGGCCGGGCAGCGCCTCGACCGCCGCGGCGATGCGCTCCATCTCCGGCGCGTAGGGATCCTGCGCGGCGGTGATGGCGGCCAGGTTGCGGGGGAAGCGCTCGGGGGCCGCGAACGCGGGCGAGATGCGGGGGTCGTCGGCGTCGCCGTCCCCGTCCGGAAAGTAGCAGCGATGAAAGAACCGCGACAGGCCGGCGGGCATCTTGAGGCGGGTGCCGTCGTCCGGGGCGGCCTTGTCGGCGAAGTCCTCGGCCAGGTCGCACGAGGGGTAGAAGGCGATCGTGGCGTGGATGGCGGCCTCCGGCGGGAAGTCGCGCACCGCCGACACGGCCAGCGCCAGGTTGGCCCCCGCGCTGAAGCCGGAGAGCGCCACGCGGCCCACGTCGAAGGTCGCCGGGTCCTGCTGGACGTGCTGGATCACGTCCTCCACGTCGTGGAACGCCGCCGGGAACGGGTGCTCCGGCGCCAGCCGGTACTGCACGTCCACCACCGTGTACCCCGTGTGCGTGGCGATGAACCGGCAGTACTCGTCGTCCGTGCCGTGGCCGGCCAGGATGAATCCGCTGCCGCACATGTTGATCAGCACGGGGCTGGGGCTGGGGCTGGGTGTCGTGGGCTGAGTGTCCGGGGACGGCCGGTAGATGTGCACCTTGATCGTGCGACCCGCGTCGCGCGATGGCCATTTCGCCGTTTCGTCCGGGTGCGAGCGCGTGAGGGTGCCCATCGCCGCGCGGCCGACGCCGCGGAGTAGCTTGGCTGCCCAGGTCTGGGAGGTGCCTGTCAGACCCATTTTTTTCTTCGGAGGCAGAGAATGTGTGGACTCTAGGTGGGCTCTCCAGGTGTATGTTTCCCAGAACAAGGAAGATTTCTCCGAGATAGTGGGAGATGCAGTGATGCAGGGACGATGACTAATGGGCGTATGTTCAGTTTTACAGAGTGCAGTGACTGAACGGGAAATCCGGATTCCAGCAGGCGGGGTGCGCTCGATGACGTCGCTTCCTCCCCGGCTCGGAGATTTCGGCTGCGGAGAGCTTATCTTATCGCCCACCTTATCTTATCCGACACCACGGTACAGCCCCGGAGATGAGGTCGTTGATGTCATCCTCCGCCCTCGGCGATTCATGAGTCTATCATCAGAAAGCAATTTGTTTACTAGATGAAGGGTGTTTTTCGGGTTGTTTGGTTGTGATGCTATACACCTGCGGAGTATAATGTATTCAAGACTATCTTTACATGCTGTCTTAGGTACCAATATCCCTCTGTATATTCTGGAATGTACTAGTCTGCTACCGACTGGGCCTGTGCAGACTGCGTCACTGGAAATGACTACAACAGGTGGCAATCTTGCCCTACTGGCTCGACCTAAACGAACGAAATGTATTGAGATGAGCTCAAAATACGCTAGACATCTGCAATCTATATTGTCCCAAGCCGAACAGGATTGAACCCGTCAACCCGAGACAACAAACAAGCATCAAGACAAAATCACAGAATGTACCATTCTCACTCTGGGAACGCAATCATTCGACCCACCAACCACCAAGTCCGCATCCACCACACAGCCCCTCAAAGCCCCCTCGCACTCAGCGCCGCCTTCATCGTCTTCTGGAACCCAAACACATTCTCCGGCGAGATCATCGTGTAATGCGACCCCTGCACCTCATGGAACCGCGGCTCCGACCGCGTAAAGTCCCGCCAGAGACTGATGAACTCGTTGAACCACTGCTCCTTGCCCGACGCCACCTCCTTGATCGGATTACAGTAGAAGACGTCCATGCTCGCCACCGAAGGCGAGGGCTCGTAGTTCACCGCGAGATGGTGCAGGTTCTGCCCGACCTGGGCCCAGTTCGCCAAGGCGGCGGGGGAGAGGGCCAGCTCTGCGAACCGCTCCTGATCGATCTCTCCCAGCACACGAGCCAGGATCTTGTCCCTGTCCGAGATCTCCTGGAACTCGCTGCCCAGATCCACGCGTTGACGCTCCGACAGCAACTCCAGGAAATTGCACAGATCCAGCAGCGCCGTCTTCCAGTCCACCTGGCGCATCCGCTCCTTGATGTGCGGCGGCAGGTTGAACGAGCCCAGGAATTTGACCGTGTCGCCGGTGCGCTCCAGCAGCTTGGCTAGCTCGAATGCCACCATCCCCCCGTAGGAATACCCGGCTAGCGCGTAGGGGCCCTGCGGTTGGTGGCGTTTGATTGCGCCGTGGTATTGCTGGACCATGTTGGTCAGGGAGGTCGCTAGGGCTTCGCCGTCGTTGAACCCCGCTGCGCGCAGGGCATAGATGGGCCGGTCGGTGAAGTACTTGGCTAGGTTCATGAAGGCCATCGCCTCGCCGATGCCGGGATGGGCGAGCCAGATGGGGGTTTTGGATCCGCGGCGTTGCAGGGGGACGACGGGGTCGTATGTCGAGTTTGGTGCCGAGGAGGTGGAGGCGGAGGTGGACCCGCGGAGCACATTGGCCAGATCCCGGACGGTGGTGTTGCGCATCAGCGTGCTCAGTGGGATGCTGCCTGGCTGGATGCAGGTGAGGTCTCTCTCCACGTGGCGTTTCAGCTTGATCAGCTCGATCGAGGTGATCCCCAGATCGAGGATGGAGGTCTGCACCCCGAACTCCTCTTCCGTGGCGTGGTCGACCGAGTGGATGAAGATGGCGAGCAGTTGGCGTTCCAACTCGTCTCGGGGTTCTTGTTCTGTGGTCTTGCGGAACAGGGCAAATCGCTCCGCGCTTTCCTCGGCGGCGTTCCGGTACTCGCCCCGCTCATATGCCGCCTTGATCTGTGCGCGTGGCAGCTTGCCCAGCGAGGACTTCGCGACGCTGGCGCGACTCAGCGGCAGGACTTGGGGCCGAGAACCGGTCATCTCCAGACATGTCTGTCGGATGGCGAGGACCGTCCGCACATGTGCCTCGAGATCCTCGCGCTCGTACGAGGGGAGATAGACGATGACGATCTCCTCCGTGTGTCCGTCCGGTGGGAGGGAGGAGAAGCAGCACGCCGAGCCGTAAGTCAGCTGCGGGACCGCCTCATATAGCCCGGCTTCGATATCGGTCGGGTTATATTTGATTGCATTGATGTTGAGGACATCTTTCACCCGGCCTTTGAGGAGCAGATGACCATCCTCGGTCTTGTCGATCATCGCCAGATCCCCCGTGACGAACCATCCGTCACTCGTAAAAGACGATCGTGTGGCCTGTTCGTTGCGGAAATAGCTCCGGAACACCACCGGACCGCTCACTTCCAGATGGCCCAGTGTCCCCGCTGGGACTGGGATGTTGGTCCCGGTGCCATCAGTGACTCGAACCTGAATGCCCGCCATGCAGCGCCCCAGTGACGCGATCGCGTACCCGTGACGCTTGTCGTGCTCGGGGAATCGGGTATTGAAGATCGCACCAGCGCAGGTCTCGGTCATTCCGAAGCCGGGGACAATCACATTGCGTGGTGCCCCGTAGCGAGAAAGCAGGGTGGCGACTTCTTCGCACATCTGGGTGGTGTTGGCCTCCCCGCCGGAGGTGAGGTATTGTAGAGAGCTTAGGTCCCAGCCACCACTCCCGTGGCCTTTCCCCTCCGGCGTCTGCTGCTGCAGCGTAGGATGCATACGCGCGAGGAAGAAGTTTGGAGCGAATGTCCAAGCCACGCGATGTCGCTCGACAAGGCTGAGCAAGTGTCCAGGGTCCATCAGGACGTCTGGCGCCTCGACGAGGACTTGACTGTGCCCTGTGAAGATGGCTTGGAGGTGGATCTCGACCAGCCCGGCCACGTGGTCCAGTCCGACCCAGCTCAGAAATGTCGTGGACGGAGCGATGGGCATGATACCATGTTTGCCAGTGACGGCCGCAGAGATCTGCTCGTGGGTGAGGGCAACCGTTTTGCAGCTCCCTGAGCTTCCGGACGTGAGCATCAGCACGGCAGTCGCATCCGGATGAAGGCTTTGGGCGTTAGCCCTAACTGCATCATCCGAGGAGTGTATATTGCTGTCTTCAACGTGCAGCTTGTCAACACAGGTCGGCACAATCGACTCTTGACCCTCGAATGCAGGCAGCATTCTGGTCGAGGTCAAGCATGCTGGCGAGCTAAGGAGCTCAGACAGATATTCCAAGTGGACCAACCGTCGGTTGGTGTTGTCGGGGAAGGGCGTCGACATCACGGGAATATACCCGGCCAGCAGCGACGCCCAGAGCCATAGTACCCGGTCCCAGTGGTTATCGAAATGCAGCAGGACGATGGACCCGGGTTTGAACTGCAGAGCAGAGCCGGCCTGCCGTGCTAGACGTAGCAGCCGGGCATAGGATATCTCCACCGGCTCGTCTGGGTTCCCAAGGGGGTAGATAAACATCACCCCGCCATCTGGACTGGCGGCAGCAGCCTCCAAAGCCTGTTGAAGTGTCTGTATCATGATCGCTGAGGAATAATACCAGTACCATTAGCTAGACTGCATGATAAGGTTAAACCTAGGATAGGTGCTTACTTAGGTGCTTCAATTGGTTGATGTGTTAGATTGTGAATAATCCTTGAATTGGAGAAGGGCTAAAAAGAAACTCTGCTAGCCAAGCTTTTTGCACAAACAACGATGGAGGTGGATCGTCAAGAAACTATGCCAAGTAAACATCGGTGGAATTTGAATCCTTGATATACCTTGGTACATACGCATAACAAGCCGATATCCGCAACCCCATTGGGACTCCTACACACTAGACATCGCCATGACGTCTGGGTACTAGGGTATTCTTCCCTACAAATTCTCGTCATGTTACCTCTAGAAGCACAAAGACAAGGCTTCTATCGTATTCGATTACAAATCCACACTATCGAAAGACCAACAAGCCCCGATGTTACGACCTATTCAGCCGCATGTGTAACCGTTCGATTGCGAGTATCCGAGTATCCCGAGTTGATTGAATGCTGCACACGACTCGCTCAGAGAGGAGTCACGCGGCCGTCTGAATTGTGCACCACGGTGAGAAATGATATAGTAATAGCGGTCAGAGCAGGACGACTTAGAGGCATTTAGCCCGCCTAAAGGTGGCGATAGTGATACTATTTTCTGGCATCTCTTCACAGCCTTACCCTCTTCACCAGTCTGCTAAGTGCTGCTACTGAGGCACCATGTCCGTCTCCGATCACGATCTCATTCGCAATGCCATCGCTCACTGGCCACTGGCCCTGGACCAAGCCGATCCCCGCCTCTTGAGCGAAGCCTTCACACCGGACGCCGTGATTTACTACCCACCGCCTGTGGGCACACTCCAAGGCATCGACGGGTTGAAGGGCCTAATGGAAGCACACTTCCGGGGCGTCACGACGTACCATTGCTCGGGCACGCAGGTCATCCAGTTGCAAAGTCCCGTCACTGCTACCGCCCGGACCTACGCTATCGGCATACATTTCTTCCCGGGGGAACTTGGCAGGACACCGCGAAGGATCTATGGGTACTACGATGATCGTCTGGTGAAGGGCGCGGAGGGATGGCGGATTGCGGAGCGGAGGGTTGTAGAGCACCTACCCATCAATGCCTTCTGAGGGTGACTTGGGGGGAGGAGGAGGGTTGCCAGATTGCGACATGCAATGGAGAGTAAGATTTGATATCGTCCGGCTCAGCTGTTGGTAGGGTGTTGTGTCCGGGATTCGCCGCTGTCATGTTGTGCGCCTATACACTCAGCGTCGTGGATTATAGTCTGAGAATGAACCTGATATAGCACCAGCCCAACGTGTGTAACCTCCTCCGTAAAAATTGCAGGGTGTATCCCTGCGCATGATACTTGCCACTTATCCTGAGGGATATGTCTATCTCGAGCGATTTGTCTAGCAGAGCCCGATGTGATACCAACCTGTGAGCACATACGAGAAATTCTTCCGTGCGTTCCTCGATAACCTTGCAAAACCATATTTCGCCAGTGATTCGTCGGGATATATGTAGTCAATTGGAAGATAGCCACATCCGGTCAATGCAGTCTTCAAGTGAATCTGGTAACGTAGTACGACGAAGAGACTCTCGTATAATTTGTAAGCATCAATGTGGAGAAGGCAGGGGTACCCCAGCACCGCAAAGCTTATCTTCCGTCAGCGACAGCATGTACTTACGGAGTTGCTCCACTCCGGCTGTGTCATCCAGCGATTTCGAATCCCGGGGGTGAGTGTTGTATGCGTCAGGTGCGGCTCTGCGATGTACTTGACTCCTCCGTAAAAGGTTCTCTACCTTGTGAGCTACACAAGACGCAGGACTGGACGTAAAGTCTTCCAAAGTAGGATGGATATTGTCATAGGCAAGGAACTTGGACATGAAAGCTAAAAAAAAAAACTGCCGTATGAGAGGCTCTCAAATATGGTCAACTTGATAAATCAGCAGGGTCAATATTCAACCTAATGTGGCTATGTACAGCCCGTAGATATAGATTGGTAGGAAAGCCGATACCCACAATCTGGAGCGCTGAAAACAAGGCCTCACCAGTCTCAACCACCGCGAGTGGCTTCGAACGTGGTGACAAACCCCGGAGTCAGAATCCAGACAGTGCCTTTGCAATCTGGGCAGGTAATACGACCCCGCATCGCAGGACTCCCAGCACTGTGAAGAACCCATTCACCTGTATCCTGTAACACTTTTCGTTTGCGATGACTAGCAAGAGCGTCAGAACACGAGCATTGTGTCTGTTGAACGTGCTAGTTTTGTAGTGTCTCGGAAGGAAGAGGAATGTATTCGCTTAACAGAATTCGAATCTCAGGTGTTGTGTTGGCCACCAAAAACGGAAACGCTGTTGTCATCAGCAGGGGGCTTTCTGTTTACGTGAAGGTTGTTTTAGTCATTTGTAGCATTGCCTACTACGACTTCCAGTATATCACAAGCTCACTAAAAGCGGCATCGGGTTAGGCGGGCTATTGTGCAACTAGAGGCGGGAGAAGGCCACGGTTATAGAATGGATATGCATACAACTGTATAGATGAATCTTTCTGCCTGCAATTCAATGCTGGATATAGACCTTCTGCCACCGACACAAACTGTAAACTCTCTTGCTAGAGCCCCTGCACAAGCGCATGGTAGGATAGAATACAATTTGTGTTCACAAATTGTGCTTGAATGAAATATAAGACTTCCACACATATCAGATGCTAGCTCACGCTGGTCCCTCCTCTGCCTAGGATATTTAAACAACACGTATCCATTGGTGACCTGACTTTCCGACGCCATTCATCTTAACTTATCTCCAAAGAACTCATCTCCACTCATCGAAGCAAGACAAAACCGCAACGCATAACAGGATGTGTCAAACAGCGACAATGAGCATACTGCCCCTCCTAACGCCAATGCCCCCGGACGAGATCTTCAACCTGAATCGTGCCTACGCCAAGGACGATAGCCCACGCAAGGTGAATCTCAGTCTGGGAGCCTATCGCACGGATGACAGCGAGCCTTGGCCTCTGCCAGTTGTACAGGAAGCCGAGAAGCGTCACCTGGCAGAGGTCGACCGATCTCGGCATGAATACACGTCCATTCAAGGCGACGTAACCTTCCTTGAGCTGGCCAGGGACTTGCTATTTGGCTTCAGCAGCCACTCCTCATATAGCGAGAAGCAAAATGCAATCAAATCGCGCATCGCCTCCGTGCAGACCATCGCAGGCACTGGTGCGAATCACCTCGGGGCCCTATTCCTGGCATCACACCTGAAGCCCCGAGCCGTCTGGCTCTCGGATCCCTCGTGGGACAATCACCAGAGAATATGGGAGCTGGTCGGCGTCCCCTGCAAGAGCTATCCTTACTACTCGCCTTCCACTCGTTCCCTCGATTTCGCGGGGATGATGTCCACTCTCGAATCCGAGGCGCAAGAGCACGATGTTATCCTTCTCCAAGCCTGCGCCCACAACCCGACCGGGGTGGACCCCAGCAAAGAGCAATGGAAAGCCCTGGCAAACTTGGTCGAGTCCAAGCGTCTGTTCCCTTTCTTTGATTCTGCGTACCAGGGCCTGGTCTCTGGATCCGCGTACAAGGACAGCTGGCCGATTCGGCACTTCCTGGCCGAGAAGCCCAACATAGACTTCTGCGTTGCACAAAGTCTGTCCAAGAACTTTGGTCTGTACGGGCAGCGAGTCGGCGCGTTCCATTATGTTCTTGGGGAAGGGACACGGAATGCCCCTGATGTCATCGTCAACAACCTTTGCCATCTCATCCGCAGCGAGTATTCGGTCGCTCCCACAGCGGGCAGTAGACTTGTCAGGACGATATTGTCTAATTCTAGAATGAACGTGCAGTGGAAAAGCAATCTGAGGACCATGAGTCAGCGTCTGACAGCCATGCGACAAGCCCTGTACGATGAGCTGATCCGGCTCGAAGCACCAGGCTCGTGGCGGCATATCGTTGAACAGGTTTGAGTCCCGATCTTGATTTATCCCGACACACGAGCTCTGACTAACCTCCTGTACCTTGTAGAACGGCATGTTCTGCTACACGGACCTGACCCCGGCGCAGGTCGAAGTCCTGAAGATCAAATACCACATCTATTTGCTGAAATCTGGGAGGATATCGATCAGCGGCTGTAAGTTACACTGCGCCCGAGTCATCTCTCCTGTCCGATCACGAGCACGTCTTGCGACACTTGATTTCAACGAGTGTTCTAATTTTGTCGAGGACAGTGAGCACCAAGAACGTCGAATACGTCGCTAGAGCAATCTACCAAGTGGTGAGGACTGTTGAGAGGGTTTAAGCTTGCGGGTTATCGCAACATGGTTCGCAGGATAGATTCTCTTATTGTCATCGTCATCATGATCCACTCAGCTCACACGAGATCCCTTTCACAACTTACTAGAGTCGGATCAAGAACCGAGTGTGTGCAACGTCAACATGGGAATGCTCGAGTGAAAGGGATCAAGGGTCTGGAAAACGTTTTGGGAGGCGGAGGGGTACATGTATACGAGCGGTGCGACGTATGTTGACTGGATGCAAAAAGCAATATGAAAACGTGGCCCGATGCGAGATAGATGACCTGACACGATGGGCACGGTAGAATATTGTCCGGAAGAATCGTGTCATCTCAGCTCGGCCATTCCGATCGCTACTTGACACTCGTTGCTTCTGTTAGATTCGTATGCCATTGCCCTGCCATACCCTGACTTCTACCTACACGTGGGGTCCCTGAGACCCTGCATGCAATGTCATACCGCTCCTTTTTTCTTCGCAATTAATCGTTCTTCCTGCTATTAACCTTTTCTATCTTGCATATTCTGTCGTGGTTGCATGGAAACATTTATTCGGGGAGCCCTATCGTGGTAGATGCGCTTGGCAGGACGATAATATCCCCATAAATTCCAGGAAGCCGAGTGAATACTCCGAGAGCTGAGTCGACCCAGCCAGCCCAAGCTTTCAACTCGTTTATATGAAAGCACAATTGGCTGGCCCGTTCACGAGGATAACTACTACGCTTGGCAAGAGAGCAGGGTAAGCTCAGGCAGACCGGTGACACTTATGATATCGTGAGATGGAGCTGAATGCTTCAGACTGGAAGTATCTGGCTGTGCGTAGATGATATAAACTGCTTCATATCTGCCGCACAACATACAGGTCCGTGACCCGCATCGTCCGATCAGTCAACATATCTCGATTATATTCAACTCCGTAGCATACTTCCACAGCATGGCAACCATGGCGCAAGGCAATCTACCCACCGCGCCATCTCCATACATCTCTCTCAGTCAGTCCCTACTCTTCCATACCCAGGATGAACACGACTGGTGGCACCGCGCGGCGCCCGTTCTTGCCCGAATGCTGCACAACGCCGACTATGAGATCCACAAACAGTACCAGTACCTGGCCTTCTTTGCCCAGCACGTCGTCCCCGCGCTGGGTCCATCTCCAGCCAACCCGCGCCCCAACCTCTACCGGGGCGTCTTCAACCTTGAGTTTAGCCAGAACTTTCAGGAGTCAGGCTGCATTATCCGCCTGGCGTTCCTCCCCGTGAACTACCTCGCCGGGGTCCCCGGCAAAGACCCGTTCAACCGACTCTCTACCCCCGAGGTGCTCGCCCGATACGCTCAGGTCGACGGCATCCATCTCGACCTTCAACTCTACCAGCAACTGGTCAGCGACCTCACCCTGAACAAAAAGGAAGAGGACCACTTGCTGTCCACGGAAAGCCCCTTGCCGCCGGTCTTCAAAACCCAGAGTGGCATCGCCCTGGACCTACGCAAGGAGGGCAAGATGGTCGTCAAGCTGTACACCTTCGTCGTCGGCAAATCTATGGCGACGGCCACGCCCGCGTCGACGCTGGCCCTCGACGCCGTCCGCAAGGTGGACCAGGGCGCCGCCAGCCGTTTCCGCACAGGCATACGGCCCATCCAGGCCTTTCTAGACGAGAAGCAGGGCACCCCGGACGCGATGATACCCGCGTCCCCGACCTCCTTCCACCCGCGCGGTATGATCCAGTTCGGCTGCGACCTGGTGGATCTCGCGCGCACGCGCTTCAAGTTCTACATCCACGACTACATCGTGAATACGGACCGACTGGCGGAGCTGTGGACGTTGGGTGGGAGGCTGCGGGAGCGCGACTGTCCCGGCATCGAGAAGGGGCTGGGGATCCTGCACGAGCTGTGGTCGATCCTCCAGGTCCGCGAAGGGTATCATCTGCCGTTTGCCTGTGCGCCGAAGGCGGGTGAGCGCGGGTCGGTCGTGGCTCCCGATCCAGCCAAGATGATTGCTACTAGTAGTTCTACTACCTCCAAGCCACAATTCTACTACGACCAGCAGTTCCTGATCGTCAACTACGAGATCCACCCTGGCGACCCCTGGCCCGTGCCCAAGGTGTACTTCCCGCTGTTTGGCATGACGGAGGATGCGGTCATCGACGCGGTGGTCGCGTTCTTTGAGCGGCTGGGGTGGGCGCAGCAGGCGCGCGTGTATCGGGAGAATATGGTCGCTTGCTTGTGAGCTATCCTTTTCTTCTCTTTGGGTACCGTTTGTTGGCTATTTGTGGTAACCCGATACTGCTGGTAAGAGACATGAATGACGTACTGACATCGTCTTGCACGCAGCTCGACTCGCGACTTGGAGAAGACGACGGATATCCAGGTCTGGCTCTCGTTCTCCTATTCCCCTAAGAAGGGGCCGTATACTACTGTGTATTACCGAAGCCTGTGAGCGCCGAGGATGGTTGGAAGGGTGGATGGTTGAGCGTTTAATTGCAGTCTGGATTGTTACCTTTCAGCTGGCTATGTGTGTACTTTCGGTTTTATGATTTAATAATGAAGAATGTACTTCTATTCCGTAGTTCGTGGCCGCATCGGATTTACTAAATCTCGCTAGGAATCATGAACTTTTAGTGCTATGGTTTTGCAATCAGTAGTGGGCGGGGAATATTAGGATTTGTTCTCTCCTAGCTACAGCCTGCCTTTCATTAAATGGAAGGGCTTAACTCTAGGTCCCAATTCGTCCGAGGGTCTCTGAAAAAGTCCTTTGTTCATCATCAACTGATTGTATCACTTCGAGCAATGACTTCGGTTAATTTTTTTATGACAAGCTGTGGAACATCCTGCACGAGATAGACTACACTAAACCGTGACTCACAACAGAGAGACTTTATGAGTGGAGGCCTAAGTAATTCTAGCTACAAAAATACTCAGATCGTAGCAAGCTTAGTCAACCTAGGGTTTGAATGTCCGCATCTAGTCTACTGTCCTGCCTCGAACAATACGGAGGAGTGAGTCGGCAAGCGTCGCGTCACGCAACCTGCGTCATCGTCCATATCAGTTCAGAATATCTCGTAATCAAGCCCAACCATCACACAAAAGTCTACACCCGACAGATCCCCTCCTCATCCCAATCCTCACTCCCAACTCCCATCCGCACAATGAACAACCCATCGGGGTCCCACCTCTGCTTGATCGCATACAACCGTTCGTAGTTGTCTCCCCAAAATGCTCGCCGGGAGTCTGGCTGCTCGATATCGACAACATTGTAGTATACCCCTAGCGAGGGTACCTGCAGAGCCCTCACAAATGGCAATTGACTATTGACCATCGTCTTCGTCAAGGATGTTGGTGGCAGCGTCCGTCGAATCGTCAGCAACAGCTCAGCCTCGCGCCACCCAGGGAGCAAGGCGCTCTCGATGACGTCCTTGTTGGCTTTGACCTGCCCACCGACTGACATCAGGATCTCCACTGAGTCTCCCACTATATACTCCAGATTGGACAGCACGTTCATTATATGAGAGGTCCCATTGGGAGAGAAGAAGAGATCCTCAGAGATCAGCACCGATCCTTCGACGAGTCCGTAGCCGCCCCCGTTAAGCTGGCGCGGGATGTTGAGCCAGGCGGACATCTCCGGGTACACGGTCAATTCGGAAGTGTACGCCGAGGAGAGACCCTGAGCCTCGAGAGCATCATGCATCATGTCGAGGGGTTGTTCGATCGGCCCTGTATCGCTGGTGTTGACGAAGAGTACGTGGGCCTCCAGCACCGCGCGATCCTCCAGGAATCGCGGCACGATGATGGCGCTGGTCTTGTTGTCCAGGCGCTTTAGCGCGGGCAGCAGGTTGGTGAGCTCGGCGGTGATGGCCCAGATGGCTTGATCCCCACTGCCAGTGGTTCCATTCTGTTGCCGGGGAAGATTGGCCGTCAGGAGGAAATGCACGGCTGGGACGTCGGGGTACGTGCGGATCGTGGTACGGACTACCACTCCGAACGTGCCCCCGCCTCCTCCGCGCAGGGCCCAGAAAAGGTCTTCGTTCTGGTATTCATTCGCCACCACCAGATCGCCCTAGCATGTAAACAGTGGTTAGCAATCACGCACAGCAACAGCACCATGGACCTAGAACCAAGGGGTAGGGGGGAAGGCACCTCAGCAGTAACAACCTCAAACTCCAGCACATTATCCGACCCAATCCCATACGCAGGCCCCAGAAATCCCAGTCCGCCGCCCTGCACAAACCCGCCCGATGCCGCGACAGAACTACAAGTGCCGGTCACCATATTCACCCCTTCCTTCTTGCCGGCGGCTAGGGCTTCGAGCCCTAACACCCCGGCCCCGAGGGCGAGCGCCGACCCACGAGACGTCCCTCCACCCTGTGGAATGAAGTCTGACGCGAAGTTCATCTTCTTCAGAAAACTCACGTTGATCTGGAAGGAGCCCAGCCCACTCGATCGGCCGATCCCGTCGTGGCCCATGTTGCGGATGGCGACGTGCAGGTTGTGTTGGCGTGCGAACCGCACCGCTTTCTGGATGTCCTGGGCGGAGTGCGCCAGTACCGCGTACAGAGGGATTCGGCCCTGACTGCAGGGAATGGGGCGGGGGGTGTCGACGAAGCAGCTTCCGTTGTCGTATCGCTGGGTTTCCCAGGAGACTGCTTGGAGGGCGCCTGCTGAGGATTGTTGTGTTAGTGGATACGCCTCTTAAGCAATGTGAAATCGCTGTGCAGTAGTAGAAGCTATGGAAGGATGTGCTCACCTGCTTCGGCGATGCGCCAAAGCGAGTCATGCGTGGAGTTTCTGGCGAAAGCGCATCCCGCTGGGTCGTAGTCTCTACCATGGCAGACCGAACCAACCGGTCGGATCCGGACCAGATGCCCGTTTACGGTGCGGTTGAACGCATTCCATTCTCGGGATGAAGGCCAGCAGGGGTCATTTGGCATACAGCGGCAGTCCTGCGAACCACGACCGGTTGGAGTGGAAATCGTCTCTCTGGCTGCTATCAATAGCAGTAGCCAGACAACGACAATAGCAGAAGACGAGATAAACATCGTAGCTCTATGAAAGTCCTATGCTCGCTCATAGATCCCCCGTCGCCGAACTGCGGTATGAGACGCTCATAAGTAAAGTATTCCCCTGATCAGGCTGCCAATCCATCCATGCGATTTTACATCGGTGAAGTGAAGCCCTTCACATAATTCTCCCACTGGACGGCAGTCACTATCTCGCGCAGGGAAACCCATACTTTCCTCGAGCTTATCTCATCGTCTGATGGTCGTGACTTGTGGCTCCCAGGGCTATGCTGGTTGAAATGTGGAAGACGGAATACGAACGAGTCAGTCATCACCGGGTCAATCACGAGATTCCAGCATTCTGCTGACTATATTTGCAACCTGGCACCCAGAGGCAGAATACAAATTCTCGCCGAACACTCGACCAGCGTACACCCCTTTCACGAATTATACGATGTATTGCTATTCTGGATGGTTCCATCCGTGCGAGGCCGCCGTGCAAGCCCAGATCTCTGTACGACGGTAACGCGCATGCATCTCGTGCTCCAGAACAAGTGTTGGCTCTTCCTCCCGGAATTATCCTTTCTTGGCGGAAAGTCAGATTATGAGAGTTGGCAATACAGGGAGGCTTAGCCACAATGTCAAAATGGGTTGCAACTGTCCTAGGTTTTGGGTGGCAGTCGCATCACCGCGACGGAGTGTTGAAGATGTTATCTCTGGTTAGCAATTACTGTAGAGTGCCCAATCAATTATCATTCCTCATAAGTGGTTAGTTCTAAACTACCAAGTCGGTTGACGTAGTAACCGTCTTTTCTAGTGATACAAATTCTTTCCCATCCTTAGTTGGCCCTCGTCATCGTTGACTCTAGACGGGATGGACGATGTGACCTCTTTTAAGTGCTAGGATCCGGTCTCGGAGCATCTGGTTACTTCTTGGCTCGTGGTACGCGTGCAGATAAGTCCATGCGGTTTGTCAACCCCGCCTCGACATATTTATCTCCCGGGCCCACCCCTAAAACCTATCACTGCCTGCTATCAATCATACGGGATAGTCGTCTTTGAAGCGATAGAACTTCATTGTTCGAATATTAGGAGGGAAACGAGACATGGGAAAAGAAATTCGACAAAAGTCTCTGTCTTAGATCAGACTTCAGCAACCCAAGTACTGCTCACGTCTGGAGTGTTGAAAGAGCGATTGATAGCAAAGAATCCCAACCAAAAGTCAGAACAGCATAGACCCCCAACAAACTACCCAACTTGAGTGTCTCCTCCCCTGGACCCGGGGGTACCAACCGACAAACATGCATGCCCACCTGGAAGAAGCTCCATTGCAAGGCCCCTCTCCTGAGACAATCATATACCCCTAATAGACTCGGGTAGCCACATGCCAGGCCCTCCGCCCTTGCCCGCCACAGCGCGCCTCCGTACACCAGCTGCGAACGCAAAGGCAGCCGCGCACACACGAAGCGATCCATGAACGATCGCTCAGACCATCCGCGCCACAAAGTGGTGGCGGCAGCGATACCCTTTTTGTGATCGCAGGAGTGGAATGTAATCAACGTGCCGAGCAGATCAGTATCAGGGACATAGAGGGGCGCGGAGTGTGCATCTGCATCGAAGCCCTTGGGGGTCATCAGACAATTCTGGATGGCTTTTTGTGGCGGATCGGCACTCTAATGACGCTAGGAAAACTTCTGGGTTTCCCTGCGCCTCTTTTAGCTTCAATAAATTCATCATTGACTTCGACTTTGGTGATCGGGAGATGGGCACCCTGTGGATGGATGTGAGAAAGATAAAACTGGGCCGGAAGCAATTCGGGGTTGGGATCTGAAATGATCAAGCAAGCTTCATTCACGCTGAGGCTACTAGATTCACCATGGCTCTCCCGTCCAAACCGGCCACAACGGTCATCATCATCGGCGCCGGGTTTTCCGGAGTGGCTATGGGATGTCAACTGAAACGCAACTATGATCTGGAAGACTATTGTATCTACGACCGCTGCTCTGGGATCGGAGGTACCTGGTAACAACAGATGTTTGTTCACCACCAAACCCTGCTGCTTTGATACATTTGTTAGCATTTCACCGGTCAACAAGGCACGGTACTAATCTTTACGGCTAGACCCAGGCTGCGGTGTAGATATCCCGGAATAAGCTACAGCCTCTCCTTTGCGAAGAATTTTTCGTTCACAAAATTGTTCCCTCAACAGTCCGAGGTTTTGGACTACATTTCTGACGTGGCCCGGACTTATGGTGTGAACACTTCGTTGGGAACGTGGAGTGGAAAGGTGCCACTTGGAAGGAGGATACCCAGACCTGGCTCCTGCAATTCGAGGACCTGCACACTGGCCGGCATTTCACGCAAGCCTGCCGTATTTTGATCTCCGCCGTTGGCGGGGTGGTCAATCCTCATCCTTTCACGGTGCCAGGCGTCGAAAGATTCAAAGGTCCGATTGTACACACTGCTGAGTGGAGGTCGGACTTCGACCTCCGATATAAGCACGTCGCCGTCATTGGCAATGCGAGTGAGTCTCTTCTCATTTTGTGCTGTTGTCTTTCCCTTTCTCGTTGCACGAGACGATATTGACGCCTCAAGGCTCGTCCGTACAGTTGGTACCAGCAATCATTTATGAAGTTAAGACCATTACACATTTCATGAGGGTATGAACGTTCCCATTCTGCCTGTCATGCGAGGATGCACCCAGATCATGAAGCACATGCTAACATTGTAGAATCCTAGACACCCCATTACCTGGTCTCCACCGAAAACAAATGACATCCCTCCATTATGGCGCAGGATTCTTTGCTATGTCCCAGGACTGCTGTGGCTCCTCCGCGCACTCATGTTCTTATACATGGAGACAGCATGGCCCCAGTTTAACAAGACCCGTTGGGGAAGCAGGACCCGCCAGAAATCCGTACAATGCAGTTTGAACTATGTCCAAACGACCGCACCTCGTATGACAATCCCTGCGGGCATCTAGCCGCGTAGCGCACAAATACTCACAATGGGGCTAGGTCGATACTGGGATATGTTAAACCCCTCATACGAATTTGGGTGCAAGGTGAGCGACCACGGCAGCAGACGCCACGGATTGAGAAGAATCAAACGAAAGAGAAACCAAAATAAATGATCACTGCTAAGCTGAAAACTTTCCAACCATAGAGGCGCGTCTTCGACCAAGGGTATTTGCCCTGCCTACATCGAGATAACATCCGCCTTACCGACGACCCAATTGTCGAGATCCTACCAACCGCGATCAGAATCCAGTCCGGTGATCAGATATCTACTGATGTCATAATATATTACACCATTGGTGTTACACCTGGCCGTCCTGATCCCCGGCCCAACCATTATAAAAAGAAGCCCTGAAAAAGCAGCATCTAACATCAGTCCACTCAGATCCTCGCCACCGGCTTCAGCTCGACACAGTATGACACCCCGCTCTATAGCCGCGAAGGTATATCCCGCCAGCAGCATTGGCAGGAACTTGGTTCCAATATGGCGTTTGAGTCTGTCGCGATGCACAGCTTTCCGAATTTCTTCTACATCCTGAGCCCTCGTTCGGGACGCGGGCACACGTCGACTTTATTCTCTATCGAAAAGCAAGTTCTCCCTTCTTATCGACTTTTCCACATGGTCCCTTACCGCCTGCCCCCCGCCTATAATTTCGAGGCCGTCTTGAACATATTGATTGAGTCATGCCCTACCAGCCATATGGACCTGGTCATCTCGGTAATCGCGCCCTGCTTATATAGACCCACGAAGGCTGCTTATTGTGCTACGGCGTGAGCCAGGGCTGGACGACTGTGATGTCAATTGGAATGTTGACAGGTTACGTTTGGTCCAGGATCTGCGGCTGCCGCCCCCTTGCATAAGGCCTTGACTTCGGAGCCGCGAGTTAGCCCAGACGTAATTATTCAAGGTTCCTCAGAGGATCTTATAGATGTCAAAAGAGGTGGGGTCTTGAAATCTTGCTGCCCATGCGGTACGACGTTGCTCGATGCCTCTTACTGATCTGCCTGAATCGGGAATACAATGCGTTGAACTATGCACAGTGGTCGAACCTTGATTACACTCCCACTTATTCCAGCGGTAAGGTGCTCTTCAAGACCAGAAATCAGTCTGCGGCCGCTCGCAGTGGGTCCTCTGATCTGATCGTGGTCGCATAACGGTGACGAAGTTCGGCATGTCCACGATGCGACCCAAGGGAGTGGAGCATGACGTGTCCGCAGAAGCCTTCTCGCTTGTCTGCATGGATGTCTGTCGCATGGTTGGCGCTGAGTGGACTGTTTATCGGGAGAGTACCCCGACGTCCTCAATTGGTTGTGGCATGATTGAAGAAGCACACTTGACCCGGAGTATGATGTCAATAGTTCTACTGCCATAAACAGGTCCCTATTCCCGCCAAAGGCCGATAGAGCATGCCTGGAAAATCTGAAGCAAGTACAGGACGCTATCCAGTCGTATGGTAATGATCGATAGTGCAGCTAGAGAGAGCCCATTCTTTGACCTCGTAGTTCACTATCCCCTCGACAATGAGACCCGGCGGACATTGTCAAGAGATGATATAAGGCATCATTCTGCATCAGCATGTGAACAGTCTACGTTTGTATCGTGGCCATGACTCCCTTGTAGATGAATGTATATTTGTCTCTAGACATTGGTAAATTGTTCTGCATGAAACAAGTTTGGGAGCCCTGCGCGTACGTTCCTCTTGGCCTCCACGTCTACGCGGACGGTCGACAGTACGTTTCATTCCCATCATCTAGGCATTTCATCCGTGCTAATATCTCATTGGGTGTGGTTGAGTTGAATGGCAGTCATTCACGCGCGATATATCTGTTCTACCCGGAGGATTTGTCTCTTGCCCACCCCTTGACTTCTGATCCTTAAATTTGTTGCCTGCATTGTCCAGTAAAACGTGCGACACCTAGAATTGGAGAAGGAACGAGTACGATATCCCACCTACCAACCTGGCAATTATACTACTATTCCTCTTGATCTGTAAAACTGGCTTCCACCTGGCAAAAACGCATATCACAGTAGCCGGTGTAAAAACCCAACGAGCGTCAACTAAGGCACCCCTTGCCGTAGTCTGGATTGGAATGAGAAGGAATGAAAAGCTATACCAGCACACTTCAACGATGCAAAACAGCCCTGTACCGTATTTTCCCACTCTTGAGCATCTGCATCGCTTCTTCTATCCCCGCTTGTGTCAGCGGAAACTCCATGATGGTGGGGTAGATCTTCTTCCGAGCGGCAAACCCCAGCAGATCCAGCACGATCTGGCGGGAGGCAATAAAGGACGACTGAATGCATATTCCATGCTGGATCAGGGGCGCGAAAGAGACCTCGATCGGTTCAAAGGACGCCGTGATAAAGAACATGGTGCTGTTGTTGGCCATCAACGGGACCGATCTGGTTGGATGGGATACGGATAGCCGGTCAGCGGAAAGGCCTTCTGCGTGTCGGTATGTGTCAGCAAAGCAAGGGAAGTACTCACGTATCAAGACTCTTCCCCGGTTGCCCGCAGACCAGAAGATGCTGTACCGGCTCAAACATCTCATCAAGTACGTGGTCACCTCCAAAGAGGTGGAATTCCGCGGCCCCAAAATCCAGGGCTTCCTGTCGTTTGCCCTCGGTGCGCGAGAACACCACCACGTGGCATCCGATCGCGTTCGCCAGCTTGATGGCCATGTGGCCGACGCCGCCGATGCCGAGGACGCCCACGCGCTGGCCGGGTCGGATGTTGTACTGCGTCAGACAGGTCCAGACGGTGGCGCCGGCGCAGAGCAGTGGCGCGGCGTAGGCGGAATCGTACCCGTCCGGGATAGGGAAGGCCCAGTCGGCGTCCCAGACTGTGCCATGGCTGAGGGACCCGAGGTCGTGGTCGTGCGTCAGGTACATGCGTCCGTCGGGGCAGTACTGGGACCAGCCTGTATCGGGTCGTGACGTTAGCCGTGCTGCCCAGGGAGGAAGGGTGTGGTAACGAGCAAACCGCGATATCAACCAGGGGTGGGAGCAGACGTTCATACCCGTAAGACACTGGTTACATGCACGGCACGTCTTTCGCACGTATCCAAATCCGACTCGGTCTCCAACGCGAACGGAGGTGACCTCCGGGCCGACGTGCTTCACGATCCCGATTCCTTCGTGTCCAAGCACCAGACCATTGTGCATGAAGTGCTCGTCCGTACCGCAGAGCCCTGAATGGGTGGTTTCGATGTACACCTCGTTGGCTCCGAGTTTTCGAGTAGTCGTGTCTGGGATGATCCTCTGGTCGGCGGACCCCCGGAAGACGGGAAATGTGAGCTCCATGTTATTGGTATTCGCCAATTTAGATCGAAATAAGTAGAAGAAAGCACGAGAATTGTCTCGGAAGTGTTGGTATATATGTATGAGTTTCTTGTCAGTGAGAAGAAGTATGCTGTGTAGATACTTGCAAGAAAGTCGGATAGTAAGCCCGATAGAAGATCGTAAATATTTATCAGTTTCTTCATGGTGAAGGATCGATCGGGGTGCAGTGTTAGGGCGATCTATATGATGTCAATGAATGCAGGGTGCTGGGTCTAACTGTTTGCAGGGAACTAATTATCCCTGGGCCGATGATTGTGGTACACAAATGACGATTGCTCTGTTCATCCTTGCTTCTGGGGTCGATGGTGTAGCAGAGGCCGCGCCCACAGATAGACTGCATGCAGCTTGTGTAGTACCACCCTGAACAAAAGTAGTCCACTCATCCACACAAGAGGAGATCAAGCTAGGATACTACGTAAACTTGATCCGTCAATCTGAGATACGACCATGCCACATCCATAAGCGTATGAAAGTTCTAAACCTCAACTTTGTGGTAGAGCACTCATGTGCATCGCATGATTGTCAATAGCCGGACGGCGGAGCGGTGACGAAGTTGCCCTTACACACGTAATATATGGTTTACTCAGTGGCAAGGACTATCACATACGACCACAGGGTGTGGAAAACAGGGCTTCCCGTCCGCTCAGCCGTACTTAAGCCACACGCCGGGAGGTTAGTAGTTGGGTGGGTGACCACCAGCGAATCCCTTCTGTTGTATGTTTTTGGTTGTTGGGTCTATTTGCTCAATTTGTCCTTGCCATGAATATGTAATCCGTAGACGCAATCGGTTATCCGTTGGGCGAATGAAGCGGATATTGGAGACGATCTGAACGCCACAACAAAAGCGACAGATAGAGAGGTAGGAGTGCTAAGAACATTGAGGCTTTTTGTTTTCCTTCCAAATCACCCCAACTCACTTCACGCATGAGCCTCCTTGTTCTTCTCGCTCATAGCAGCGCTGATTGAGGAACCGTAGTACCCGACGTCTTCTAAGTCTTGGTCTGTGTCATCGACTCTGATCAGCTTTTCGGTCTGTTCTGTTTGAAAGGCGGAGGGAGTGGTGGTGGTGGTAAAAGCGCAAGGGCCGAGAACGACGCCAACCTACAAATTTCGAAGCCGTATTCAATAACAACCTCTACGTATTCCAACTGTACGCCCTTAGTTCTCTATACTGCAGAGCTCCAAATAGATAGTTTCAATATACATTTTGTTGAGTCTCGACTTCTAAATAATTATATGGACAATGATTCTCCAATTGGCAGAATGTTATAAAACAAAAAATATAACCTTTATTGCGCCAGTAGCCGTGTTCATTAATTCAAATCGAAATAATACAGTGACTATAACAGACAAAAAAAGATAACAGTTGACCCAGAGAACTAATATACATATGTAAAATCTTTCTTCATTCAAAACAGTGTGTTGAGAAAATAATAATAGACAAGTTGAATAACCAATTTAATAAAACTAGAATATACCTGTATATTTTCTTCAAATGAACTATCAAACAACAAGTAGTCTTAAATTGAGGTGTATGATATCAATCCATGCAGAGAGCCAGATCTGGCATTATAGAACCATACAATCATCCCTGGACCATCAGTTATAGTACAATTATGACGAGTGGTCTCTTCAGTCTTGCTTGTGGGGTTGCTCATGTCTTAGTATGAGCCGCGCCTGCACATGGACTGCATGCAGCTTGTATAACGTACATCCGATCGGCTCTTCAATACTGTTTTCCGATATTGCAACTCCGCCTTACTTGAACTTCAAGCCCTGACCCCCTGACAGAGCATTCGTATGAATTGAACGATTGTTGATCGATGGAGAGTAGGGCGCTGACAAAGGTGCCCTAATCAGTTGGGCAACAGCGAATTCCTAAGACTGTGTTAAGCATCGATAGCTCCTACCTATTAGATGTTAGCCCTGCCCTCTACCCAATCTTCCACAGATTCCTTTCAGGTATTCAAAGCATGCCTGCATCCTTGGATGTAGATCCAGCACGGCCATGCGGGTCCACCCATGATGCCACCTCTCAAAACCTACACCGCATGGACGAACTGCAAGTTGCCGCAGCTGATCGAGGGCATAACTAAGCTACAACCATAAGGGAAGAGGGCAAAGACAAAGTAAAAGCCAGAAGGTCATGGGAGAGATAACGAAAACGTTGTCGAACTCACGAGTCGCATAAAGTCACATCTAGATCCCATTCGACTAGCTTCCAAGCTTCTCACTCAGCCTTTGCACCGTAGCTGACAAGCAACCGACAGGCAGCATCATGCCCTTCCGCCAGGGATAGCAAGCTTCTACCCAGCAAATCTCGAGTATTGACGTCAGCTCCATGCTTGAGCAAAAGGTCTAGAATTTCTGTCTTTCCTTCGAATGCCGCGTAGCAGATTGATGTGTCGCTTAATCCATCTCTGAGAGTGAGATCCACCCCGCTCTCCAGGAAAGCCTTTACTACTTCCACATGCCCATTTATGACAGCTAGTCGCAGTGGAATGGCCCAAGATTCACTGCTGGAAGTGACATCAACGGCATGCTCTAGAATCATTTGAACCAGATTTACGTCTCCTTCCTCGGCGCGGCTCGCCAGGAATGTGCGGCCCGTGAGGCTTGGAGGCCCAACACCGGCCTTTTCGACCTTGATCAGATATTCAACCACAGAATGGAGGTCAGACTGAAAAGCGAAGTCGAGAGCCGCATGGCTGTCGGAAGAACAGAGCTGCCGCGCTAAGGGTGTAACGGGGTCCTCGTAGGTGATCGTACATGAACTGAAATGCCTCGCCCAGTTCTGTGTGGCATATTCCTCGAGTAAGTCGAATTCCTTGTGTTTCTCGGATGCAAGATACCGTACGCTGACCTCAGCTAATAGTCGGTTCGCGTCCTGGATGTTGACGGAGCCTTTCCAAGCGGTCGTCGTATCAGTGGCCTCCAACCGAGGCGCAGGTTCCGCTCGCACCAAGAACTCCCTGGCTGTTTGATGGAGCAAGTACACTTGGGAGTGAATCACAACCACAAACAGACCACATATTTGTCGGAGTGTCTTTTTGAACTCATCCGGCAACTCTAGATAGTCTTCAATATCCACAGATTCTTTGAAGGCCTGGTCGCAGGCGACCACCAGGCTCATTTCGCTCACGGATAGCGGTCGCTCTGCGGCAAGAATAGTATGCAAGACTGTTTTCGCTCGCTCAGGCGCCGGGCTTCGACGTAGGATTTTCTCGTAGGCGTCGTCAACCGTGGAAGGAAGTTGACTGATTGCTGCCCGGATATTCCCCTTGGTAAAGCCGGGAGTAGTTCGGATGACATCCATGGTCAGGGTGACCCAGAGATAAGTACGGTCGACCACTGGCATGAGCTCGTCGAGTAACATCTGGCATTGCTCGGAGGTGAGACCACGTTCGCGAGCAATGTCCTCGACCCGTTTCTGAGTGACAAGATTGATCTCCTTCGATATTTGATCTATCTCCTCCTCGCCGTCACCGCTGAGATGAATCATTGACAGGTCCCCTTGAGCACCTTGAAACTCTCGGTAGATATCGAGATATGGCCTGCTGGTGACGAGGAACTTCACATTGCCAGTTCCCAAGCCTCCCCGGGAAGAACGGACAACGCCTTCTATCAAACGGCCGCGGCTCACCTTCTCGCATTCATCGAGGGCGTCCAAGATGCAAATCATCCCACCGAAACTCGGGTCCGCCACCACACTGGTAAATATAGACCAGAGATCATTGAGGGACTTGGTCAACCTATCGCCGTCCGTGCCGAACTTGGCCAGTATGGGTTCCCGCAGCAGCTGTGGGTTGGACAAGAAGATCTGACGCAAAATTGCACTGACCGCACTGACCGCAGTGTTCTGATCCGAGAAATCATCCTTGAAGAAGAAGTAGCAAATTGTGGCTTCCTTCCTGGCGGGGAGAAAGTCATCCACGAGGTACCTGGCCAACACAGATTTGCCGCAGCCTGGATCGGCCGACACCCAGAGCAGACTAGAACCCTCGGCCTGATGCCACTGCTTGAACAGGGAATGCTGTGTGAACCATTCGCATGTGCCGGGCACTCGGTCATCGTTTCGGTCTTTTCGGTCTTTGTATGGACAGGTATACAGAGCACGCAGGAGTTTCATGGCCTTTTTGTCACGATCAATTAAGATCTGACGCGTGGCTTCGTGCTGTTGCGTGCTTTGGATTGCCCTGAGTCGCTGTTCCACATCGGCAGCCCCGATTATCTGAGCGTCCTTCTCCGCATTGACTTCGAGAGACTTGATGTTTTGCAACACATCATCCCATCCTTCGTGTTCGAAAGCGTCGCCGAGCAGCCGTACTATACTGCGTTTTCCCAGGTAATGCATTGCACGGGCTTGGAACTCGAGGATAGCAGCGTATAGGTCGGTCAAATGGTCTTCAAACTTCTTCAGCAGATCGGCTTCGTGCCCTCGTGGAGAATCCGAGGCATTCTTGCCGGAGCGGTAAACATCTTCCATCACCTGGAAGCGACACATCAAACTCGAGGTATAGTCTAATGTTTGAAGAAGAACTGCCTGTTGACTGGTTGCTTGCAAAGCGAACATGAATACGACCGACAGCCCAGCACATGCCAGTGCTGCTGGGGGGCTTGCGCTGGCAGCCGTATCAACAAGTCCCTTTACCACCAACACCTTTTCGAAGAGACCATTCACCAAGTCCTGGACCACCACCGATTGATCACCGAATTGTATCTTCCATTTCTGCTTCTCCAACGCGTTCACTCGTTTCTGAAACAGCCTGTCTAACTGGACCTGACGGCCGGCAGTGCCAATCGGTTGCAGCTCCTCACCTAACTCCTCAGCCAGCGTCTCATATACTGCTTGAAGGAGTCGCTGCTTATCCCGGTCGCTATTCAAGTTATCCTCTGCTCTCTGCCAGAGATTCGGGTTTGGGCTTCGGACGTTGGCCGCCGTCTGATATTGTAGTAACGGGGTCTTCTGGGTGGACTTCTCTGCGCCTCGTGCGGGTGCATTTTTAGGGGGATGTGCTTCTGCGAGGGTATTTTTTGACTGACGAAAGAACAATCTCCGCAGCTTAGCTCTAAGCATTCGAAAGTGCATCTTCCTTGCCATCGTCTACGGGCGCGAAGAGAGGCGATATGGGCGTATCAGTCGGCGCCTGTGTGCAAAGGCTGTCCACACCGTGATTTTTGAAAACTTCCTGGATGTAGGCGAACGAACCTCTGGCAACGATGCAGCGTTATGTAGATCCTGATTTTCGGAAACTTTTCAAGGTGGGACTTGTCAAGATGGCTTGCGTGGAATTCATAATTGCTTTTTTTCAGTCCCTCATTCGTTGCTGGTGTCCGGGCTCCTTTGGCTTCAGCTTTCCCAACTTGGTCAACCTATTGTGCAAAGTGCGCCTGCAAAGCCTTTGATTCTTATTTCCGATGGATCTGCTCAGTAGAGAATGAGAAAGAATATTTGGAAAAGACCATGGGCCTGGTTTCGACTCGGTTTTTGAGGATTATCATTCTGATCCCGATTGTCTCCACCCACATCAGCGCTAAAGCCACCGGACTCGCATTGGTGCAGGCAGGGCTACGACCGTCGGCCCAATCACCGATTCAGCTCGGGCTGTGACACGAGAATGAATGCGCCAGCGCATAGAACTGTTTCTCCATCTTCCTACAGTCCCCCACGTCAACCTGCCGTTCGCTTAACACAACAATGAGGGGGGTGTGGGGAGCTGAGAAATTAGCTGTGGCGGATCCAACCGCACCCGGAGCATCAACCATGCGCTGCCACCTGGAATCCAGCCATCCTTTTCAGGCTTGAGGACCCCGTCTTTTCAAAATCACAAGACAGAGTTCCCAATCCCTGGACACGACACCTAGTATGTCCGTCATGCCTGTCTCCATAGCAGAATCAACATTTGTGCCTGTCACCTCGCGACAAGCTCAGATCCGGAACGGCGCCAACCCTACAACGATCTCCAAATTCATCATCCCCCTGCTACAATGGAGTCGCGATCAATTACCCCTTTCTGCCTCGGCACTTCTCCTGGAGACCTCGAGTTCCTCAGTGATCCAATGGATCCGTGAAGAACGCTTGCGCCTCCTCCCTGCTGAAACGACTTCTTATGACAAGGTGCTAGAATGGGCCCAGGTCCTCGTTCAGAGGCTAGACGCAGTAGAGAAAGTCGTCGGCTCATTTGTGGCCGATATCTACCTTGCCACTAGACTTGCTTATGGCTACTTTGCCGTCGTACTCGAGGTTTGATTTCCTGCAACCCAGCTCGCGTCATTAGTCTGTCGTGTCCACGTCAATCTCTTTGAGGATGATAGATAACCGCTTTCAGCTCGCAGCAGAGAACGCCACACCTCTCAAACATATCTTTGTCGTTGTTCTTGACATCTCAACCCCGTTCCAAAGTATACTGCGCGCAACAGACCTTGGCGTTAGCGAAGAGATCGTGGAACAACTCGCTTTGGCTCTAGTCGACTTGGTGGCTCTCATCTCTTCCTTGTTCGCCCAGCTTTACAAAGCTATTCTGGGACTAGGTGATGGGTCCTTCGTTCTCAACGACATCCACAATCAATATGCTAGCCAGATCGACACATTTCAGAATCGCTGCGAGAGGGTCAGAGTGGCCATCTCAAGGCATCGGTTGCAGGGAGCAGCTCAGGGCCTTGTGAAAGGTACAGACTTCTATGGCTGGTTTGAATCTTTTGAATCGCTCCGAGAATTGACAGAGTAATCAAATTCACATTTCCAACAGGTGATGACTTCGACGCAATCCGTTTCTGGCTAGCACCTGGTGATCCTGTATTGGCGCGTCTCGACGAAAATGTAACAAGTCGCTCCTTGAATCGAGTAGAGATGACTTTTCTGTGGATGTCCCGTCATGTTTGGCGATGGCGAATGGATCAGAGCACTCATATTCACCTGATCGGCCGTTCGGGCTCGGGGAAGACTGTTCTAACCCACGTGATTCGGGAGTATTTACAGGGTAAATCCGCTGCCGCCTCTCCCCTGACTCTGTCTCTGTCCATCAGTAAGTATATGACGCCGCGCAGTAGCTGCCCAATATGCCGTTGTCTAACCGACTCTCGACAGGTACCAGAATCCCAGCAGAGGGCACCATGCGTTCCATTGCCCGGAGCCTCTTGCATCAATTGTTCACTCAATCCATCGGTCACACTCCACTGCTGGTAGTGCTGAGTGAGTCATTCGAGCATAGTCAGCGAACTGCAGACAGCAATGCTTATGACAATCTGTTGTGGGATACCCTGAAGCGCGCACTGACATGTCTCGACCTCGACAACCAGGTATTCCTGGTCGTAGATGGTGTCGACGAGGCCCTGTGCGAGGAAATGACCTTGCTGCGCAAACTGATCTCGATTATCCCAGAGACGGCGAATGTGAAACTAATCACACTCGGAACCCAAAATCGTCCGACAGCCAGTGGTCAGACCCTCTCAGGTCAGGTCCTCTTAGAAGTGACGGAACATCTGGTTTCCGCCGATATCTCCACCGTGGTTGAAACCTCTTTGGTGGGTGGTGCTATTTTCCCCAAGCTCCCTAGCAACGATAAAGAGACTATTATCACCGATCTCACTGCGATCAGCGAGGGCTCTTTCCTGTGGGCAAAGCTTGCCTGCCGGCACATTCGTGACCAGGAAAGCCCCGATCAACTTTGCGAGGCCATGGATCTTCTACGCACCACCAAGCCCAGTGTTTCCGACTTCATTCATCTTTGTTTGAACAGACAGGATGTGAGCATGGAAACGAGAAGAATGCTGGTCATGCTTGCCGTCGCCCAGCGTCCTTTGCGCGTAGCAGAGCTCCAGACCCTGGCCTCAATCCTCGTTGAGCAGCAAAAGGTTCCTGCTAGTGAAACCAAAGAAGAAAGTTCTGTTCTGTACAGACTACACGGCCTCAACCACTTGATTTCATTGTCGAGCAATACGCTTTCCCTGCAACATTCCCTGATCAAAGACGCAGTATTGAAGCTCGTGTCCCCCGGTAGCCCGGTCCACCCCAACGTGGATCCCGCCATCGACTTTCTGACACGGCTTTTCATCTGCCTCAAATGCTCGATCGGAGAGTCGAGCGAGCCAGTCCTCACGCCCCTTGATCAAGACACGGCCACAAGCTTGCAACACAGCCAGGACCTCCTTCCATACGCTTGGCGGTACTGGCCGGTCCATTACCAAAACCTGTCCGCCATACCCCACGACCATACCTCCCGGCTTGCACAGCGGCTCACCCCTTACTTGCCAGTGTCGACAGCCTGCATTCGACTCCAGAGTACGCTCTGGGCCGGGCTCCCGCTGCCGGATTGCCTCCGCTATCACGAGCTCACAACCGATCTCTACCGCACGGCCATGGGACCCAACCACGTGGCCACCCTGCAATGCACGATCCTCCTGGCCGGGCTGTACGATCGACTTCAGTATGTCGACCAAGCCAGCCGGATGTTTTATGATGCAGCGATGAGCAGCCGGGCGTCATTGACGGCGCGGCATCCGTTAACGCTGCAGTTGGCCGGCAAACTCCTGGAGCTGACCGCAGGCCCAGAGGTCACCGATTGCCAGTCCGAAACCATGCATTGGAGAGGAGAATGCTTGGCCCTCTCCGTCGAATGCCTCGAGCTTCAGCATGGAGAGACGTCGGACGAGGCGGGTGCGGCGAGGAGACTTCTGGCTGAGCATCAACATCAAACGCTGGGTGAATAGCCTCTTACAAAATAAGGTCTGACCTTCTCACACACATGATCTGGGACAATGCATTGAGAGCCCTGTGGAGGGGGCACTACGCGAGATGACTACACCATTTTATCCAGTACATTTTACACGATATAATTCGGGGGCCTGTTTCCAGGCTTGCCCCAGTATCTGAAAGCGAAGGGGGACGGGAAGGGTGGCTTTTAATACCTTCCTAGAATATCCAACAGCTTTCCAAAGAAAAAACATAGAACAGTATACGTGAGATCGTAAAGACCGGGATTTCACCCTATCTTCCCTTTAATAACATACGGATAAGTAGCCACCACTCCGACCCGTGGGTGAAATAATGTAAAGCGAAGGGACATGGATCTTCGGCCGGCTCATGGCTCAGAAATAGACAGCCGCAATTTCACACGGCTGAAGTTCCCCGAGGGAATGCCAGAGAACGAGGTATAATTTACCATACATCTTCATTAGTTTGTCTTGTGTGTTATAAACTGTCCAACTTCCACTGATCTACGTATAGTTCAGCCTGGTGTGCCTAGGTAACAACCATTTCCGGAGGCGGCTTTTCACCGTCACGGGTCACTCTGACTCCTCGCAGATGACTAATCATCTTGGCCTTAGAAGATATGGTGTTGCCTTACCAGGAGGCATCAGGATTGACTTCCTTTTGGGTTGAATGGAGGAAGCCTAAATCATGTCTTTCCGAAGAAGTCATCATATATACACACACAAAGATATATACGATCTCCAACCATCCTAGTCCGCCGGTAGCAGTTTCGTTCCTCCGTCTCACTCGAGCTCCTCACATCTCGGAAAGGTCATATCAGCTTTGCCCTAACTTCCAAATAGCCATCGAAAGTCACACCTCGCATTCAACACGAAAGATTTCACACACAATGTGCGTCACTGAAATCGGTGTCATGGGCGTCAAGCCTTGCCTCGACGTCATGAACGACGACACACCAGAGGGCCGGATCTTGAGCAAGCTATATAACTATGTTGTTGCCGCACCCGGGGGCCCACTTCGAGTATATTGGGGCCTCGAGGCTGAAGATCCGTCCTACCTCTGGGCATTCTTTGACTGGGACTCGCTAGAGGCCCACCATAACTTTGCTACGACGTAAGTAAAGGCCTCTCTCCATTCGTCCCAGCTCCCTCTCTGACAACAGTACCATAGACTGGGCCAAGAAGCTGTCAAGGATCTGCCGAAAATCTTGACGCGTGGCGGGTTCACCAAGCACATTACCGCCACGCCCTCTCTGCCAGCCACCCTGCAGTCCGCTGTCACACAGGTCATCTTGACGTACTTTGCGTCGGATCGGCTGCCCACTGTAACAGACGCAGCCATTGCGCATCTCGAGGACTGGCAGGAGAACGACATCGAGATTCTCGCAGGTGTTCAGGCTCTGAGCTACGGATGGGGCGTGGAGAAGGACTTCCCCGTCAGGGGCGGTTCTCCAGACCAGAGAGCATCGATCTTCCTATCTGTGTTCGGGTTCAATGATGTTGCTGCGCAAAGAACTTTTAGGGAGTCGTTGGCACTTGAGAAATTGCTGGGGCGGATCCGGGGCACGGAGGGGTTCGTCAAGCTGGAGGTTTTCTCGGTTTATTTTCGGTCCACGAGCAGGAACAATGAGGGAGACTCCCGGAAAATGTAAGGTTTTCTCGCAAGATGGGTATCACGTGTGAGAGCGCAAATGCCAGCAAGGGCTACACAGTATGAGATTTTTCAGTTGGGCACAGCACTTTTGTTAGGTTGTATCAGGTTCATTAGTACGGTTCTGAGAGAGCGCTCTGGTTCGAAGGGGCCTATTAATCCATTAGCCCAATGGAGAGATGTTGCAAGTATCGGCCGGACAGGTTCTCATATATCTCGTAGGGCTAGGTACTACTCTAATTTCAGGTTTTTATAACGGGAACTTTAAGGTCTCTACAAATGGCATGGCATATTCCGCTGAAAAGGAGAGGAGAATACAAAGACAAAGAGAATCAGGAGGATTTGAAATGACACATTCTAGGATAACCCCCAAGCTTACATATATCAATGAAGCTCTTCGTCTCTGAAGACACCTGTGTATCTTAACAAAGCAAAAAGCAAGAGAAGAGACAAAGAGAGAAGGAAAATACTCCTCTTTGGCCTCTGTGATTTATCTCCAGAGCGGTATTCTCCGGCTGTTGCTCCTGCCGATCATTAGATGCAAATACCCAATCTCTAAACGACAAGGCCTATATATATTACCATGCCTCGATGTTGATATGCTGTGATAGTAACCTCAACGGGTCATAGTAGCAAACACAACACTCGCCACCACAGCTCACAAGCCCGTTTCACTGACCTTGTCCAGCCTCAGGTTTCCCGACCCCTTCGTCAAGAACTATCCAGCACCATGCTCGCCCTGGAGGACCTCGCCATTCTCTGCATGTCATGCAGCGTCTGCTACTGCAGCTGGTACTTCTCCAATGGCCCACTCCGTCGCTGGGCCCGCAACACGCCCCATGGCCCGCGACTCTTGCTGATCTACGGCAGCTTTCTCGTGAGCATCGCCTCGAACCAACTGTGGTCGAACTACATGGCTGACCAGCGGCTCCCGCTGGTTCTCCGAGCCTACCGTCTCCAGCAGCAGACTGCGCTGGGCAATACGTCGACTCCTTTGAACGCCACCGAGGCGCTGATCGCCCTAAGTAACGTGGAGATGCTCATCGGGAACCCGGAGCTGGCAGCGTGGCTGCTCAATCCGTGGTCCTTGCTGGTGATGAATATCCTGTCGGTCAATCTCTTGATTGCGGGATTTTTCGCTCTGGAACTGGCGCTGACGGTTATCTGGCTTCCAGGTGTTGCCGATGATGAGTAGATCAGGGACCTTGTGGATTACCTGCACAGGCAGAGCAAACGATGTAGCTTAATGTGCATGTAAGACTGCCATGAAAACTCTTTTGACTTGACACTAAGCATGGATTGCTATTTAGGTGAGCCTTTCCCTCCGTGTGTTTCTTGATGCACTTGTCTATTTTGCTGTTGATATTTTCGAGTTATCACACAGATTGGACCTTTTAATCTCAAAAGAAAATGTAAAAAGAGAACATGTTTCACATAAGCCGGCTACTAAACTATGTTATATTAATTTCAAAATTTCTTTCACAAATCAACATTAAGATCTGGGTCCATCTAAATCAACTCACCCGGAGTACCTCGTCGGGACTTTTGTGAAAGTGTGCTGGGGCGCTCATAGTATCCTTCTGCCTTAATCACAGTAATTTAGAATGAATAACTTTGCAGGAGTTACTGAATGTTTTTGTAAATCTCTTCTGAGATCCAAGTGCTTCAGCACGCAATATTGATTCTTTGTGTTTACCTTTTTAGTCTGCCGGGTATCGTCCGACGAGCTAAGAGTCGATGAGATATCTGCACCCAAAGTCTAAAGTGTAGCCCGTTTCACTGAGCGAAATAGGAGAGCATCACCATGGTGAGTAGATATAGAAACAGGACGGGCAAGCCAGCAAACCGGAAAGGCTCCTCATAGGTTTCAGACGATCGACCGGGAACGGACCTTTTCACTACTGATTGTCAATAGCAAGGCCCAGAGAGACATATTTTGAAGATAAGAGAAAAGCTCCTGAAGGCTTTCTTCACCATCACTATCTCTGCAGGCGGGTGGGTCCTTTCACCATACAGCTATACCCCCGAGCAGAGAATCAAATCAATTGAACCTTCTAAATAACCGGCTACCACCATCACAACACCCTCATCAAACCACGAACCATATATTACACAACATTTTCGAACAAAACAACAAATAAGATCAGACATAATCATCTGTCACCCACCCCCTTCCCTTCCTCGAAGAGAACATCGTTTTAATACACCATTCACAACAGCGAACCATCATCGCCATCATGTACGATCTGCCCGACGCCCTCATCCTCCCCATCGTCACCAAAATCCACCCGCTCAATTACATGCTTCTAACCAACCTTGACATTCCCAAAGCCAACCGCGCCCAGCTGCGTGGTTCCCGCACCAGCACCCTCATCGTTCCGGTAACCAGCACCGTAGGCTTGGTGCATCTATGCAGCTGCGCCATCTCCTTCCAGCAGACGAGCAGACACACCGACCTGGCGCTGGCAGCCCATCACCCTTCGCAACTAGATCGCCACGGTATCCGAATTTATCACACTGAACACTACCGAGGCGAGTTCCGCTTTACCCATTTTGATGAAGGGTGTGCGCTTGGACAAAGATATATTGGATTGGAGGATATGTGGGCACCTTTTTATCTTTCACAACGAGAGGATGAAGAGCTCATTAGCAAGGAATGATGGAGTATGACTGGGCGGGATTAACAGAATTACATGTGTAGAGGAACGGGTTGTGGATGACAGTATCGACCCCTGAAAGACATGTTTTATTTGCATTTAGCTGAGCAGACCTAGTGACGTTGGTTGAGGAATTGCTGAGGCCAGGAGGGTAGGTGCACTGGCTTAAGAATGTTAAGTCTCTCGCCGGTGACCTCTATTTCCATGTCTTCTCAGCAGAAAATAAGCCGCATCCGAGGCATCTTGGTTCTGCGAGAGCAGAAGAGCCAAAGCAAAAAAGAATGACCAGACTGGGGCTCGATCCCAGGACCTTATCGGTGTTAACGATACGTGATAACCAACTACACCATCCGGCCAATTGATATTATACGGTCTGCGTTTGTGCATTGTATCCCTGCAAAAACTATAATCACATGCTTGCTCTCATTTACTCGCATCTGTCCTCGACACCTCGCATATGCCGCCTCTATGCAGAATGCAGAATGCAGATATTCACAAGGTGACAAGCCACTGACAAGCCACCCGAAAGACCCACTTGCCCGAGCGAGTGTCCACCCTCTCAATTCGACAGCGATCACAACAGTAAATCCAGACAGCAACAGCACGCGAACGCTGAAAGTAACCCTGCGCAGCATTCCTCCTCTCCGCTTATGTTTTTCTGTGTGGCTGGAGCAGGCTGTTGCGGCGGCAGCGGAGCCGAGTACTGCATGGACTGTGGCGGTGCAGCTCCAGCCGGATAGCCCGAGACAGGGGGATAACCCGAGGCCGGGGGGTAATAAGTGTTGTTGGGCGGACCGGGCGGTGGCGGTGCCGAAGGCGGTGCGCTGTATTCAGGGTGGCTCGGAGGCGGCCCGGGCTGTATTAGGAGGTTATGGTCAATTCAAGCACTTGTAGGGCTGTAGTACGGCGCGAACGGAAGCTTACTGGTGGTTGATAACGAGTCTCGGTTGACATGGTGTGTGGGATTGGACGACTTGACGCTGGTTAAGGTATGACAAGACTTTGTCGCTACGTTGCAGAGGCAGAAATGGTAGGCATATATACCTGAATGGCGCTGCCGATATTTAAGATGAGGTATGCCGGAAGGCTATAGAACCTTAGTGACTAACGAAGTAAAGTCTGGATATCTCTCTGCATGCGCCAGGCGTCATTCTCAGTTTCCTGAACTTCCGGAATCCTGCGGAAGTTCCCTCCGATAGGAACATCGGTGCCTGTTGACTCCATAATAATGACCAATTCGCTCCCCAAGGGGAACAATAAGAGGATCGGCCGCCACTAACAGCATAAGCTTTGCGGAAGCACCGTGCCGATATTCTTGGCTCGGGTTAGGCAGCCATTAAATATGATGTCATGTAGGGAGTAACCCTTTTCCGCCCAGTATATATTGTCGGCCTGTACCCCACCATCGTCTCGGTCTCATCTCATCTCACCAAAGAACTCCACAATCAGAAAAAAATGCCACCACCACCAATGCCTCGTGTGCCTGAGGGCTGGCGCCCTCAGTTCGATGACAGATACCAGGAATGGTGCGATCACCTTGCCGCAAACAAAATTCGCGCTTCCAGATACTCGCAGAGTACTAATGACCCAATCCCACAGGTACTTTGTCAATCTGCACACGGGACAGTCACAATGGGAACGTCCCGACCGACCAGCCCAGCCAAACGGGCCAGCACCACCCCCCAACGGCCCACCCCCCAGCTACGATGCCAGCACAGGTCGCAGGACCCCGAACAATGACAGAGGCTCCCCGTGGCCACCGAACCGCGACAGCCGAAGCCCCTATCCACCGCAGCCGGGCTACGGCTACAACAACAACAACAATCCGTACCCGCCCCAAAACTACAACACCCCGCCTCCACAACCAAACCCCTACAACCAGTATCCCAACCAGTACCCCCACCAATACAACAATCCTTACCCAAACCAATATCAGAACCCCTATCCGAACCAATACCCCGCGCAATACGCTCAGCCGCCCATGCAGCAGCAACCGCAGCCTCAGCCGGAGCAGAAGAAGAAAAAGCGGGGGCTGGGGATGGGCGGCGCCGCGGCCCTGGGAATCGGGGGTGGCTTGCTGGGAGGATTGCTTCTGGGCGAGGGAATCGAGCATCTGGAGCACGACTTTGATGGCCCGCCGCCTGGGGATTTTGGCCCGGGGCCGGACTTCGGTCCGGGGCCAGATGATGGGTTCTGGTGAGGGGAATGCATTGATGGGTTGCTGTATAGCGAATCCTTTTCCCGGATAGGATAATGATTGTGGATAGGGGATCACATTACACAGACAGGTTTGGGGTTCGTCACGGGATTTATGAACTATGTTTATGAAATGTTAATGATATTTTTGATGAAGATGGAGACCATCAAATGTGAAGAACCTATAGTGATCACTACCGTGAAGCATTCTTCTAAGCGATGCCCACTATTCTTGTAGACGTTTTCTTCCCGCATAAAATTATGTCTATTCCTGTTATCTTTCAATCTTACCGAATCTTCCAAGATAGTAACGAGTGTAAGATATTCATAAAGACATGATTACTACCTAGTATCATAGAACCCTTCGAGCGAGGCGCTTTTCTCCACATGATACCAGTCCTCATCGTCCTCCTGTATGCATAGACTGTCCTTGATAATTCTCTTTTTTTGTATTTGTTTTTGATCTTCTTCTACCATTTGTATTTTCAGAGCAGCCTTCATTTTAGCGCTGGCTCTACGATTACACACTTGGCGGGTCCTTTGAACGGTGGTTACCTTAGAACTTTTTGCGGAAGACAATTCCGGGGGGCATGAGAGTAGGATGTCATAAACTCCGCAAAGTCTGAGTCATTGATCACCTGTAGTAATTTAAATTAATACCACTCCCCATCAAGCCAACGGCATTCCTCCAACTCGACTAGCATGCCCTTCGCGACGCCATGGACAATCCAAGCTTTCCGACTATAGGACTCTTCGAACCGATCTCCAAACCAGTCCCAAGCGATCTGATACAGAATTCACATTCAATGGCTCACAGGAACTTCCGTATCCCCGAGATCCTCGAAATGATCCTGCTGGGCCTGGACATGAAGACCCTGCTCCTTTCGACGCGAGTCTGTCGCGCGTGGAACGCCCTCATCCGATCCTCCCCCAGCATCCAGAAGGCACTATTCTTCCGTCCAGCCGATCCTGTCCCCAGCCAGGCCAGAGCCAAGAATCCCCTCGTAGAGGAAAAGGTCTGGCACGACTTTCTGCACCCGCGCCTCTTCTCGCGTCTCGCAGGTGCCGCTTACTTCTCCGCCTTCCCGCTGATCGAATCGGAAGAGATCGACAAGGCCTATCTCCGCCCCGAGGCAAGCTGGCGCCGGATGCTGCTAGAGCAGCCCCCGACCTCCTTCGTGTATGATCGGAATCTCGTCAAATTATACTTGCCCCGCGACCGCATTTCGGATCCTGGAGGCATTGCTTGCATCCCGGCCGGGGACTTTGTTCGACTGCAGCATGTGGCGGCCTATATTCATTCCGGGTTCCTGTTCCCCGGCGTATATCCGTCGATGTTCTGGGCAGATGGTCCAGCCGTGCCGTCGGTTCGTCGCACGGTGGAAGCCGGCTTTTTTTTCCGGCACTACCAGGAGCATGACTTCGTTGTCATCACGCAAAGCCTGTTCTGGGCTCGTCACCCGTCTGTAGTTCTTCCGCCTTTGGACCGGGTGGCGTTACGCTCGCCGGGTGTTTGGAAGCGGGTGATGAGCCCTGCTCAGCAGCACTGACCCGTAGGGATGCAGGTGTAGAGATGCCCGATGGCTGACTCTTTAGATTCTTTCGTAGAATCCTTGCTCGGAAAAGAAGTTTGACTTGTTAAGTTTTTGCTTCGCAGGAGAGAGTACTTTCTTTTAGCTTGGATGACATTCTCGGTAGAGGCCAATGCATTCAGTTTGTTATCTTTCTATTCTGCGCGGATACATGTTGGACTCCTGATTTTGTAGTTATACCTCCTTTGTCTTTACCATGACACAATGATCCCCACGCCCCGAATAATATCTCTCGGTAAAAATATGCTGGACGCTATTGCGAAGCAGGCAGCATAGGCTAAGCACATAGAGTACCCGGGCTCTCTGGTATGTCCACTCGATTTCTTCATAGAGGTTTGTCAGCTATCACTTAAGCTTTATAAACCGGTCGATTGCTTCTACCTGGGCGTCGCTAAAATATGACGTCTGGGCCTCGTCAATGAAGTCACTGGGACGCAAGACTTGTGAAACTCTTCACGGGTTAAGTAGGAATCACCCAGTTTGTGCAGACTCTTCTTGACTGTAGTTGCAGTCAATCGGCCTGTCCGGGTCTCGGGTGGGGAGGCTTTCCTGCTTCCAATGTGGAAAACTCTAATACCTTTATACCCTCTTGTTCATTAGTTGGTAAGTTGAACAGAGCCTCGTGGCAAACGGAGATACTCGCCTTAACTCATCCACTTTCGCGCTGCTTGTCGGTACGGCTTTTTGCTCATGTAGTCTTTCCGCAGCTAATTGCGCATGGCTGGCTTTGCATCTTTCATGTGTCCCTCGATCCCGTTGACATATCGTGGGTTGTGTGCATTGAACTACGTCTTGGACAATGGGATCTCCAGGCTTTGGTGCGATTAACGACTATCAATCATTAACATCCCACCCGCCCGTCTATTGCAATCGTCTGCATAGCGTGCGTGGGTGTACGATGCTTTTGCTGTAGTTATGTCAATCGTCTGTCTCCTCTGCAGTGATTGGACTCGAACGAGCTTACCGTAGTACCTGATCCAGCCAGCAGTACTTGACGCGACATGTCTCGCACTCTGGACTACTTATCGACCACATACATGTAGTGAACGTCATTTTTGGGTCCTCTGTAGTGCACCAACGCACTAGCAATTTCTCAACTGGCGATAGAACAGTCGGGTTAATTCCGGTAATGCTTTCAGACAAGAAAGTTTTCAAGCAAAGAGGCAATCGCAACCCCGGAACCCAGTACTCAATGCGCAGTGCAGCAGGCGCTTGTTAGGAACGAACCGGCTGTACTTCCGCGTGAGGGAGGAGTAGACACCTGATCCACGTGCACGGAAACAATTGTTGCATTTCTACCCAGTTCTCCGCTGATACAGTCGCGGAACGCCCTTTTGCTAATGGATCGCGACAGTATCTATCCACACGCCTGGTCGGACGGTGGTTACCGGTCAGCACTAGACACGAGGATACCCTCACAGAGCTGGGTTGAACAGCCAGTTGCATATAATCCGACTAGCCAATGTACAGTACAGACTATACAATAGGCTTGCGGATTCACGGCCGCTCGCGACTAGACAGGGGCTATTTGTCGGTGTAGGGGGCCGAATACGACGGGTGCTGACTCGCTGCAGCCGGTGAAAAACGCCGTAGAGGACAGCTCGACGTAGAGCAAGGTTCCCTACTCTCCTTTGCTGACTCTAACTGATCATGAGTGTGCCCACGGCATGCGGGAAGGTTTGTGGAATCGCAGGGACTGTTATAATACTTCGTATGAGTAGATGATACTACACAGCTCTTGATCGAACAAGGATAGCATCGCGCGGAGTTTTTCTTGTTGGTCGGGGGGCAACAGGCGTTCGCCACCGGGCTCTGTGGGCGCCAGTCCGGTCTCGTGTTGTTATGTGGAAGTTTAAGGCTGTCTGTGTGGTCTGCCAAGCATATCTCAGTTGCACAGATACACAAATATAAAAGAAAAAGACTCTGGTCCAAAGTTGGAAAGACAACTGACCTTCTTCGCAGGGATCGGTTGTTGGGAAGGATGGATGATGAGAAGACAGAAGGCTGGTGGAGGTTGGAAGATGGGAGAAGAAACAAAGAAGATGAAATGTTGGAAGAGATGTATGTTATTTCTCAATGGAGTAGGATGAATCACAATGCCATAGTCAGTGAATCCCAGGCTCGGAGAATTTGATACAAGCTGGGAAGAAAGTAGACAATGGCTCAATAGGATCAGTAAATCAAGACAGTAAATTCAATTGATAGCTCTTCTTTGACAAATGATAAGATAAGTGAATAAGCTCTTAGATTAATAATGTCTATTCAATTTATCTATGTGGAACAAGGAACAAACCTCTTACTTTCCTCCTACTCTCATGCTCTTACTTTTCCCACCTCTCTTCCCAACATACATCCTTCTTTCCTCTCTC